AGAGTTCCAAGTGCCGATTGCACATGCTGGTGTGCGCCACACCGCTGGCCCTTGCCTTGCGTTCTCATGTTGCCCTGACGCGCACGGGCCAGCCATAAGCCTGTGCGCAGCAGGTTGCACAAAAACGCACGCAGACCCGGTCCGAAGAGGGACTGCCGTTGGCGTGGCGGCGCGTTGTTGCCCGTGACGAACATGACTGCTTGAGAATTGCCTGCCGTTGTTATGAACATTGCGTTGCGCGAACGTTTGGTTTTGACGGAACACAATGAGGCGCCGAATGAAAGCGGGCCGCATGTATCATGGAACAGTTCAGCCACACTGCCACCCCACTTCGCAGAGGGCATTTTTCAATCGCATGCCCTTTTGGGTTTGTGGCGCAAGGCCGCAAATCCGACGCTGCTTTCAGCTCGCTTGAATACGTTACTTCATGCAGTTCGGGCAAGCGGTTGCCAGCGCAATGTCGTGGACAGCACAGTCTACTGAAAAAAACCACGCTGCAGCTATCTCGCTTCGCCTGTCATCGGTGATGACATGGATGTTCATGTCCGCGTCACGGATGGGAGCTTCGTCCTGGCGCCGCGCGCACTCGCTCAACCGGCGTGGCCTGTGAGGCGAACCGTGGAGCTGTGCGTCACGCTACGCTGTGAAATAATATTGGGCGCGGACGCTGCATGGAAGCCGCTAGCGCTTGACATCGCACGTGGAGGCATCTTGTTCGTACTGCTTCGTTGCAACGCCACCTTGGGCCACAACGGCGCGTCATGACAGCGCATGGAATGGTACATGCTTTTTGCTACATAATTCACCTATCGCCGCAACGCGCCAACCCCAGTATCGCGCTTGATCTGCGGCGACAACGGGTCAGGCGAGTCCTGAGAAAATTTAGAAAACCGCGTGCCACTGCGGTCGACGTTGCCAACGGGCACACTAACGGAAGGGACAGTGTTCTGGCAAAGCATGTCGGCGCTCAGCGTGGTGTCATGAAACGTGCGTAGCCAAGACCTGAGCAATGCTGCAGGGCATCCCAGGAGTCAACTGATTGCGGACGTCAGCAGCCCACAGGTTCCATGTGGCCAAATAGTGTCGTCGCCGCGAGCCGCTTCCCGGCTCACCGCCCCTTATGCCTTGCAGCAAGCCGTTAAATGCTGACACGTGGGAGGATGTGGTCATCGAAACGGAGGCGGAAACGACGAGTGCCGGTTGGTTTCGACTAGGATTGATGCCGAAAAAATCGGCGTACTGGCCCATGTATTTGCCACCAATGTTCTTTTCGCACATACACACGGTGGATCACTTTGAAAACCATATGCAACACCGCTGCAAGCATTCTAGGGTCGCTGCTTCCGCAGCGCACCACCGGTGGCACGAAACATCCTTCGAGCCAAACGTTGGCAGGGCAGCCTGCTGGCGAGCGATCACGAATGGCGCTTGCCCACCAACGCTGACCGATGGCCGTGTTGCTGGCAGCACAGGTCGTTGTGAACAACCGTGCTCAAGCTGGGCCGCACGCAGGTGCCTGGTTGACAGCTTTACCAGCGAGCTTGCCACCACACGGCCCCCGCAAGCAATGCAGCTTGCCTTGCCACCGTTTGCGCCTCCCGTTTCCTCTAAGTGAGTCGTGCTTCCCATCCCCGGGACGTGGCGGATTGTGGCAGGCTCGTTGCTGTGTTCGGGGATTGTGCTTTGGCCTGCCCTCACACTGCGCTTCTGGTTTGGCGAGCAAAGATCGCCGAGCGGACGTGGGTCGCAGGCGACGCCATTGTAGCTGACGGTCAGGTAGTCCCGCGGCGTTGGCTTTCGGACACCACTAGTGTCGCTGTGCTGCCATGAAGCCGAACGGCGCAAATGAACCGCCACCCAGAGCTCAATGCTCGGACGGGCGCATCAAGTTTCTGACGGGGCGGCTTCGTTCTGTTGCCCGTGCACCCGCTTCCAGGGGTTTGTCTTAGTCTTGCAGGTGTGCTTTGCTGGGCTTGCGCAGTCGATGTAGGCCCGAGCGAGCGCCGTACGCGCCGTGTTCCCCCCAGTCCGTGAGCTCGGCCTCGACCTCCCCGCTCGCCCCGCTGACGGACCGAGCCCCGCGCGATCCTGCCAGCTCGAGTGATGATGCTTTGTTGTGTTTGTCCGGAGCACGTCCTAGATTATTTGTTTATTTTGTCTCGCGCATTTTTTTACGCCAGAGCCGGCAAGCACGCGGCAGCCGTGGTTTGGCCATCCTGCTGGCGCACGGGAGTCAGCCAGGAGGGTCGTCAACATTGGCAGCGGCAGACAGAGGAAGGCCGAGGAGGCTGGAAAGGAAGGCCAGGGCAGCTGTGCAGGCAAAGAGCCCGGAGCAGTGCTGGAGCTCAAGGCCAAGGACAACGAGCCGGGCTGCGCACATAGAGAGGTTCAAAGCGGAAACTTAATTGGCAATAGTGCGTGAATGCTTTTCAAGCATTTTCCAGCAGCCTGTCCCATGTCCTTATAGGGCACTAGCTTGACTCGAACGGGCAAAGGCAAAGGCGACGTACGACCTTATCAGCCGCGGGCAATGTTGTAAGCTCCTCGCCGCACGCCCGGCGCCTGCGCACAGCTGCCCTTCGTGCGCACGTGGTATGCTCGTGCCTTCACATTTGTGTGGGCCGCAGGGACTGACATGCACGCTCTCGCTCAAGCCAGGGGCGGTGAGCAAGGGGACCTATGGGACCTTTTGATGCCGTCTCACTCGGCATCACCCCGGCGTTGCGCATTGCAGAGCATCTGCCATCGACCTGCTTCCATGAGGCCGAGCAAGGAATGTTGTGCTCGGCGCGCTGCCCCGGAGCATCGTTCGTCCAGACCCACTTGCATGGCATATTGGACCGCCAGGCCACCCTGCCGCGCGATCTCTTGCCCTCCCGGGGAGGCCCACTCGAGCGCAAGCTTGGTGCGGGATTTCAACGCTGATGTTGAGCGCCCGGACGAGCGACGCGCAAAGGTGATCGAAAAAAAAAAAGGTGATCGCTCTGCCGTTTGCATGCCCGCCGGATCGCTGGAGAATCAACGGTGCGTTGGCCGTTGTGGAGTACTCATTGTGGACGTTCACTTCCAGCGACGCGCTTGAACCCAGATTCGCGGTGCAGTGCACGCAATGCTTGGGGGTCTCGCCACCGAAGCAGAAGCGCATGCGAAAAATCTCGCGACGCTGCGTGGCTTGGGACTGCAATCGGCGGAAAGCCCGGCGTCTGGCGGACCCGCCTCCCCGCTGTCGCCGGCGGGTACGACGTCCTCACCTGCGCACCGAGTCTCGCGCGCTGCTGCAGGCAGAAGGCTAGGAGGCCCGCCCAGCAATCCTCCAAGGACCCCGCTTGGCCCGGCCGGAGCATTGCCGCATGGTTGACAGTTTACGCGTTGCGCAGATGCAGCCAAGTCTTTGTTGACAGCGTGCTACAGCCAGCCATGTCTAAAACCATGCGTCCAAGCGCCCGGGCCTTGGTGCGCTCGCAATGGGAACCTCCAGCAGGGTCATGGCTCACCGACCATTCCAGCAGAAAAACTCTGCAGCTCGTATGCCGCCCCTTGCGCATGCCGCTCCCCATCAGCTACGGCAGATGCGGACCGACATGGACCGACCGGTTTTCGAAGCGCGAGAATGCAGAGCGCGTCGCCCCGGCGGCCTATTGGGCTGCGTGGGCGGACGCGTTGCCCGTGTTGCAGCAGCGGCGCCCCGACGCCGCAGAGCGCTGCTTGCAGGAACTCGCGGCCGGGGCACGAGCAGGCGCGCCCTGCCGCCGCCCGAGCCGCAAATGAGCCAGGTCTTGGGGGACCGGGCTGGCACCGTAGCGCAGTTCTCGCACTTCACACACGATGTTGCCGGCTTTGACCCCTGACGCCCGAGCCATGTTTGCCGGACCTGATGCACCTCGCCTTGTGGTGCCGCCTCCGACTCCCCTTGCCGATTGCCTGCGCCCGCTGCGGAGGGGATGGTTTGGAGCGAGATGAGCGAGTCGATGGGTTGGGGGACCACTTCGCGGCTTGTCCGCGCACCGGTCTCTTAGCACGACGAGGCTTCGTGCTCGAGCAGGCATGGGTGCACGTCGTGCGCGAGGCGGTCGGCCCGGAAGGGCGAGTGGTACCGCAGCAGTGGTTCGCCGATACAACCGCTATGGGCGTGCGGCCGGATGACCGACGGCGCCTTGATCTCGTCGTCTATGGCGCAACCCAGCGCGGCAAAGCCCTCCGGTGTGACGCGACGCTCGTGTCCCCGCTTGGGCGGGATGGCAGACCCGCCCGCGGTGCCGCTGACCGCGACGGTGCCGCACTGGAGGCTGCTGCGCGACCCAAGCATGCGCGCTGGGCCACAGCGCCTGTGCGTGTGGCTGTCGAAGTCGGAGGGCGCTGGAACGACGAGTCCCAAACGTCGCTCAAGTGTCGGGGCCGCCTACGTCGCCTGCTGGCCTTCTTTTTCTTTTTTTTGCAATCGCGTGCGTGTGCGCTCGCCGAAATCTCTTCTCACTGCCCGTCGCCACAGGGCCACTGTTGATGGGGAATTGTTGGGGTTGAGCTACCTTATCAGTACTGCCTCCGAAACGGCTCATCCCACCCTTGCCTTTCCGTGCCTGAAGGGCTTGTCGTCGTTCCCAGCCCTGCCGCGCTTGGGCTTCCGGCGTAGTCTTCTCTATAATGGCATTGGGGCTGCAAAGCAGCAAGAAAAAGGAACGGGTGAGAAAAGTGCCCGCTTCCACGGTTTTGCGGAAGGCCCGAATTTTCCGATGAGCGACGGTGACAAATGGTGCCCGAAAAAAAGACTCGTGATGGCCGTTGTCTCCCAAGCTTCAATTGTAATTTATGGGTGGAGATCGTGGGGCATGTTGCCGGCGTGACGGTCAGGCCAGGCCATGAGTTGTGACAGCTACTTTGCGGCACGGGCCCGCTGCCAGTCGTGTTGCCACCCGACCAGGGCAGATATGCAGCTTGGGAGTTCATCATCAATGCCGGATGCCACAGCAGAATGTAACATGCTAGTGCGTTCATGCCAACCCATGAGCAGGCCAAATCTCCTGCCAGCTGGTGCGACTCGTCTTCCACCCGGTGCTCGTTGGGTGGCTGCTCGCCTGGAGCCCGGCATTTCCCGACGTGCGTGCGCAGATGTATCAGGGGCAGACTGTTAGTTTGTGTTGTTTTGTTTTGTGCAGGTGGCAGTGGCCAATACCACTTCCTCAATGCTGACCATTTGGTCCATGACCAGCAGCATGAGGCATGCAATGGGTATGCGCGCTTTGGTCCGAAACTTGTGTGCAGCATTGTATTGCTCTGTGAGTGCTGTGTCTTTCTTGTGGCATTTCTGCGCCAGGCATCTCAACAGGTAATGTGGAATCAGCGCCGCGACCTCCAGGCAAGTTGCTTGGAATCGCAGTTCGAACACAGATTGACTTTGCGCAGTCTTGGAGGAACAAGATCGTGAAAGAAGTGCGCGACTGCTGGACCATTTTTCGGAAGACATGTCGATGTCTCACTTGCCTATTACACTTAGCCCACAGTACATGTTTTTTGTGCCTTGTTGATCACTCGGCATTGGGGATTTCAATCAGTGTAGTCATGTGCTGCTGTTTCAGGTCGATGACGACGCAAGAAAAGGTCCGGTGCACTACAAGCCACACATGGTGTTTGCTGGTGCTTGATCCTGCACAGTTGCTGGCCGTTCGCTCTGCCACATATGATATCAATGGCAAGGCAGGTGTCCGTTGTTTTTTTGCTCAGCGTTGGCCGGCGTGACATGTTAATAATTGTGTTTCCAAGGTATTTGCCACAGGCAAACAGCCCACGGCTCCACCAAAACAGAGTGGCCGAGGGCATTGGCTGACGCAGGCAAGATAGTGGCAAGATGGACGGATGTGAAGAGGGCAAAAGGCCACAATGAGATGTTTCGAGGTGAATGGTTTAACCAACCGCTACAACATCATTAACGGCATGGCGTGGAAGCCTCAGAGAGATGTTTACTCGAGCCGGGCCCCGGAGTTGTTGCGATCTTCTGTTGGGGTTTGCAACTTTGGGTTTTTGGTTATACCGAAGTTCCACGTATGCCGCAACAGCACAGCGAAGCTCTGTATGTGCAGACAGAAAGATGGCAGTTACTTATATGGGCGGGCTTATGAAAGTTCGGGGTGCGGCCGACAGATTTCGTTGTCGAGGATCAACCCAGCCATTTCGCGCCATCGCGATGCAGAGCTTCAAAGGCTGGTGCGACGGTACGCAGTGGCACTTGGTAAATGAATTCATGAGTTGCTTTCGTGTTGCCATCGCTGCTGTTGCAGGCTTTCCCAAACTTTGTCCGGCCTTCCTGCCGGAAACGTCCAGCCTCTGCGTGAAGCCCTCGAGCATCACGTTGAAAGCGAAGAGAAGACAAACGAAAGAAAATATAACAGTCTTGCACGTGGCGCACACTGCAGTGCAGCAAGCGGCGGGACTCAGGTGATGTGGCCTGCTATGATATTCCGGGCTTCGTGCCGCTGAGGCACGGGACCTGTACTGTGGCGGTTTGTGGCTCCTATGTTGCAAGAACCGTCGAATGCGTCAATTTTGAATGCAGGCAGCGGCAATTGCCTGGGGGGGTCGAAAGAACATATACATTGAACAGCTGAAACCAGTTGTGCATGTTTTGGATCTGAGTTTGACGCGGCGGCCACATGCATGCCACCAGTGCCCGGATATGCTCACAGATGTTGACAGGTTTTCGTAATTCTTTTATTGCATCCGTTTGTCCTCTCATCATTGTGCTGATATTGCCGTGGGGCAATCCCGAATGGGATTCTAGAAGTGCTGGAGCGCAAAGCGACCGAGCACAGATTTGACCAAATGCAAGCCGAAGCCCCAGTCGAAAAGACCGCCATTCGGAGCATTTCCGGGTCTGATGTCGAGCATGCGGCCAGTTCCGGAGTGCAGCGTGCCGCAGCAGGGCAAAGGTTCCTAGTGGCCATGTTGGCGGGTGGTTAGGAGGGTAGAATGGCCTTTTGTACAGCTTGTCCATTCAGCCCGTGCGGTCCTGAGTCATGTGTGCATACTGTCACAGCATCGAAGGAGCATTGGTTTGCAGGAAGTACTCTCCAGGCTGTGATGCTGTCGGCAACTTCTGGAATGCTGGTGGCAGAACGAGCAGGTGCCGGCTTCACGCACTTGCCTTAGGCGAGTTCAGAGGAGCCTGCCCGGTAGCGGTTCTCAAAGCCTTTTGCCCGAGGTTGCACCGCTCGGAAACAGTTGCTGGATGCTTATTGTTTCCTGCCGCTCAGATTCCGACCCTGATGTGGATGCCATCGTCGTTTTTGTTGTAAGTTTAGCGTTCCAGGCTCATTCCGCCGGGCTGTGTCGACCTTAACAATGTCAAAGTTCGTAGACACGGAAGCAGCTTCTCCCGTGTGGAGTCCTTGTGAAAATCTTCAAGGTCAAGGATTTTTCGTCCCAAAAATGCATTCCACAGACCCACTGCTATCTTAGTTTTGGCATGTAGTTGTAGCAGCAGCTCCTTGATTTAGACGGCTTCTTCCGGGAACAGGCCGGAACACCGAAGTGCAAAAATTGACATTGAATCAGCGCAGCCTGTTCACAAAGAAGCCCCCCAGCGACATGAAGCAGAGAGCGGTTCAGACCTTGAAAGGCCCAACGTCTCTTGAGGTTGGACCGCAAGAACTCTGCGGCGTCATCTCGGGCTGATGGCCCAGACGTCAGGAAACTGTAGCTGTTCACTGCGCCCCAACCTACACGTGCCCACGCCCGCGCCACACCTGCATGTGACCATTTTGTTGAAGACGGCAAGGCCAGGGGACGATCGGAAGGTTTCGCTTGCAAGCACAGCGATGGATACAAGTCTGTCGACCCAGATGGCCCCCCTTGTTTGGTCATTTTTTGTTTTAATTAAGACTTCTTAAGTTGATTTTTTCAAGTGGAATGTCCTTGTCATCATTTTCGTTCTCAGGCCTTTGGGTGCCCCGGTGCCCCCTGAGAGAGTCGTCGAGATCAACAACTCCACCTTGATCAAGGCAAAGCAGAAGATGCGCAAGTGCTCGAAGCAAGTGCTTTCTGCGAGTGCTCGGAACCTGAAGGTTGAGAAGATCAAGCAGGCTGTGGGGCGTGATGCCGGCACCCAAAAGTTACTCAACATCTCTGCTGGTACTCAAACTGATAACGCTTGCAAGCAATCAGGCCAGTTCACAGCACCAAGACAAGAAAGACAAAGAAAGAACCCGCCGCCGACTGCTTGGATTGAGCCTAGCAGGTGTCACTTGTATCACTGACCCGCTCTTCAAGAGCAAGAGTTGCAAAGGAAAAGAGCAAGAAGTTGAGCGACCAACTTCGCCGGATGCAAAGGCAGCATTACATCCTTCCAAGTGGGTTGTGGACTCTCTGTGGGGTGAAGTGCAGGATGTCATCAAAGATGAACAGACTGTTGCAGAAGAAGCAGGTTTGGAGGCATGGCGGTCTGCGTCTTTACTGCTGATGGCGCACTGTCGGTATGCAGACGATGGCTCTCGTGCAGGCCGACCGGGAAGAGATGCAGAGCCTTTCGCGTCTTCCTCATGCGTTGTACGGGACCCGAGCCGTTGGCTATTGTTGACTTGATCAAGGTCGAGCAGCACTTTTTCTTTAGCCTGCGAGCTTTCTGTCATGTTCTTGCCGGCTTGCATTCAGAGTTGCGCACCTCGGCTCGCAGGAAAGATTTGCCACGTTGTGGACAGGTCCAAGAGCGGCAGGCAATGTGTGTGTGTGTGTGTTTTTTTTTTTTTGTTTGGGTTCTTGTTGTTTATTGAGATGATCGACATTGTTGGTGCGTGTTTTTGCAATACACATCTTACTGGCAGCCAAGTAGCCAATGAAGTACGAAGCCTTGGCCACCAACTGCTTGCGAAGAAACATGCCTCTTTGCAGGAGAAGGACGGCTTCAAGGAGTTGTGGGCCTCCTACATTCTCGCTGTGTGTGGTACATGTGCCCGCGTGCATGAAGCGGAAGACTCACCAGAACATCCAGAACTTGCGGGAACGGAAGACCACCCGTCATCATAAAGTGGCCTGGGCATAGCTCGCACCATCACCAGCAGCACAAGTCATGTCTGATGTCTGCGAACGTCATGTGGGCGGGGCAAGCAAGGCAAAGCGATGAGAAAAAGACGATGAACGAAGCAATCATCACCCCCTAAACAATGCGTCGAATCCAAAGGGGGCAGTACAAGTGGTGGACTTGCGTGTTTAGATTCCGTCTTCCTTTCTCGTCAATGGATTTCGACCCCTTAAAAATTTCACTTGCGGAAAGATGGAATCAGATCCCCCCCCCTTTCCTTGGGGCCTATGAAGGCTTATGTAGGCTGTTGTTTGTTGGATCTTTTGATTTGGGGGTTCCTTTTGGAGGGTTCCCCTTATAATGGGAATAAACCCTGAAGCCGCCAAAGTTAACTTGAGCCCCCACAAACTAAACCCTTAACCCTACGACCCTAAGCCGTAAAACGGCCTGAGCAATTTATTTCTTTCTCTCTCCCTCTCTTTCTCTCCCTTGTATGCCACTCATATGCAAAAAGCCGTGGCTGCACGAGCTGGGCTTCTCATGGGCTTTGCCAATATTTCAACTCTCAATTTCTCACCTCGCCGGGTCCTGTGCCAGCGCGTTATGTTGTAGCTTCAGATGTAAAATTCACGAGGAAGCGTCGGTATGCAATTTTACTTGCGCTGATTTTTTTATTGCAAGTCTCGAGATCGGCTAGATGGGATCCATCGGGTGGACCGCCGAGATTCTGCTTTGGCAACGCTTGACGGGATGATAAATGGAATCTACGAGAGCGACACGCAGAGAAACCAGATCAACAAGATCCTCATAACAAGGCCAAAGGAGGGGAGGGAGGAGTAAGAGGAAGACGAGCGCGAGAAGGAGTGTACAGTTTTGGCCGTGCTCTGCTGCTGCTCTAGGATGCTGCATCACATCCTTGGCGTGGTGTGTGGATGCCTGCAGTACCTGTCTTCTGTCTAAAAAAAATTCAGGCTGTGGTGTTAAATGGAACGTTCCGACTGTGCTCCGTGGAAAGTAGTCGGTGCCACCACTCTCGACAATGATTTCCAATCCAGGGCCGCGTGACAGAAGAGAAACGGACGGAAGAGAGGGACGAAGCTGACCAAGGAAGCTGCACATCAAGGGCTCTTATAGGAGAGTGGAGCAGGCCGGCGGAATAGAGCCCTTTGCCAGCTCTTGCTCTTGCTTGGTTCTGCTTGATCTTGCCGATGATCTAGGTGAAAGCTGACGCAGATGCAGCATATGAGGCCGGGTTTCTCTTTTTCGGCCGCGCCTTTGGAGATCAGTGCATGGAGGCCAAGAATGAGAGCACGCAGTTGATGCTGACTTCCTCCAGGCGGACGCACGTGCGGTGACGGAATTTTGCTTGATTTCAGTCCCAGAATCGTGCCAGGCAATGGGGACGAGAAGCTCCGAGCTCAGTCTGCTGTTTCCTGCGATGCTGCGGCTGTGGCGTCCAACCCTTCTGTTGGCAACACGCAAAGGTATCTTACGAGGACGCTGGAAGCGCATTCCTGACGTTCAAGCCTTGACATAGTCCATGGTTCATGTGCCATCATGCTTTGTACTTGAGCTTTGTTGGCTTTGACATGAAATGCCGATACAAGGTCCATAGAGATTCCCCAAAGCGCACGTGATGGCCACCGCCAGGTGCATCTGTACAGAAGATGGCAACGCCAGCAAGCACTGGGCTGCGCAGGTCCGGCTGCAGCAGCCGCAGCAGCCCCTCTCAGCCAGAAGGCCGTCAAGACAAGTACAGCTACCGAAGGCTGGAAGACAGAAGATGGGCTAGAGCCACTTCAACGGGCCTTATCACGAGGTCAGCCAGAAGCGGGGGGCAAACTGGTTGCCATCCTTGTCCGAGTACTTGGCCTGTGCCTCAGCAGTTCGTTTCGCTTGACTCTTGGTGTTGATTGGTGCCCTGAACATGCCTAAACCCATCCTAAACCTTAAACCCTAACCACTGAATCCTAAACTTAATGGTGCTTGCAGGCTTTGGATGGTCCTGGAGTGAGGGGCTTTGCTTCCTTTCAATGCGAACTTGTGAAACTCACACTTTTTTCACGCGCTGATGGACCAGTGGACCATGTCCAGTGCAAGTTCTCATTGAAAGCAATTCCTTGTGCCAAATTCCAGGTTCCAGCAACTTCTGGAGAAAGGTCAGAACGTGCAGACGTTGTCAGGCCATGGTTGTTCCCACTGAAAGTTGAGAGGGGCCCAATTCCAAGTCCAGCCATGTTTAAGGCGTAAAATAGTGCAAAGAATGATGGAAGAGACCAGCAGAGCCCACGGTTGTCTTGCCATTGGCTGTGTAGGCACAAGGAATTGATCAACAAGATTGTTTCCGAGCTTCTTCCTCTACCAAAAGGTGCTCGATGCAACTTCTGGCTCTTTGACAGATGTGGACTGCCAGTGTTGACTGGCCAGGCACGCGCCCAAACTATGGCAGCCTACTTGATGAGGTCGGAGATTTGCTCGGTCATGTTCTGTCCTGGAAGCCATCTCTTGCAGGGAAAAGCTGGTGCTGGCAAAGGTGCTGCCGCTGGTTTTGTTGGCTTTGTCAGTCCAGATATGCTCCTCTGCTCTGTCAAGGTCGGTGGATGCAACGTCGCAAGCAACTGGAGAAGGATGCGAGTGTGCACCTCTTTGTTACACTTGTGGTCACTAGATCGGTGGTGGGCCTTGCAGGATCTGGCTGCTGCCTGGACAGACAAGGCTTTCTATCAAAGGCTGGCGCGCCAGTCGCCTGCTAGCACTTTCATGACGTGGATCGCAAGTGCCTGTGCTCAGGTGCAACCCTTTCGTGGCTCAACGGGATGCCGAGGAGATGCGGCAGCGCTGCAGCGGCCTCAAAAACACCATGGGGACGCTGGCCGCGTGCGGTGGTTTGCGTGTGAGGAGTTACACTAGTTCCACGGTGACACTCCGTGTTTTTGTTGGCCTGGCCTGCTCAGTAGAGCCTTCGAACGTGTGACATGGCTTTTGCTTTGATGACTGGTCATGAATGTCCCCAGATCATGGCGACGATTACAAGCTGGCGACCATCGAGCGCTTCCTTAAAGATCTGTGCCTCATTTGCAGTCCTCGTGAAGCTTCAAGGGCTGCAACTTGCGAGTTTGGAATTTGGACCCCTTGTGGCTATTGATGTTGACTGCCAGGGGGGTCAATGAGGAGCAGAAGGGTATACCTGGCACAGTGGAGATGGAACGTGTGCGAAGCTTAGGGGAACAGAACATCCGTGCTTAGAGAAGTCAAAAGATGACGACGACGTGTTGTGCTTCTGCCGGCAGGCATCCAGCAATCCTGCGGATGGCACTGGCATTTCGGGTACTGCAGGAATTGTTGCAAGCGCTTGGAGTTGTGGTGCCTAGATTCCAGGCCTAGATTTCCGTGTGCTATGCTTGAGTTGCAGCTGCCGCAGAGGACCTACCAGTCCGGTGCAAGATGCCGTGTCCACCCCAGTGTGCGAGCGTGAGCCATGCTAAAGACTGAACGATCTGGAAGGCTCTGGTCTGGCAAGAGTTATGCGAACTCACTCCGCTCATTCTTGACACAAAGGGCAACAAGTTATGATAAGGCATCACCTCGCCGCTGATTCCGGTTTACCAGGTGGCAGTCGGGTAGCCGTAGTCAGGTTGCGCCCTGGCGGGTGGCAACGTTGTGGCAGGCGGGCATGACCTTCTTATGGAGCCCCTTGTGAATTGCGCATCGTGCCATTCCAGGCATGGCGGCGGAGTCCGCGCGAAGCCATGCCACTGCTTGGGTAGACAAAGTCGGGTTTTTGGAGCCTGTGGGCTCCAAGATGATCCTGGCACAGGCAGGGCCCAATCAGCCCCGGTAAGTAGTCAGCACTGGTGGAGCCCCCTGTTTACGTCCTTTCATGACGTCAGCCCTTCAATTGCGACTCGTGCTCTTGTTTTGTTGCCAGAGGCCCAGCTCCAGGACTACATTGTGAGACTGGCGGCGATACCTGCCATCCAAGGGCCCTTAGAATACATTGCGGAGGCCACAAACCGCAAAAGCACCGCAATTGGCAAAAGCACAGAGCCCTCTGAGACCGATGAGCCCTTTGCGCAAGGTGGGCATAGTGCAAGACGTCTCGCATGCCGCGCTTGGCCAGCGAAAGATGTCCCCAGAAGCTTGTCATCACACGCAGCTGTGTGCTCGTTTGGAAACTGGCTTGGGCGACCCGATGCCAAGGAGACCATGCTCTGGTTGTTTCTCATACTGGCCAATTTAGTGGCGCCCTCAGACTCGGCGGAAGCTAGATGATCTGGACCCTGCTTTCGGCGTTTGTGAGCTGAACCTGGCCAGGCGCTGGTGGCCCTTGTAGTTGTGCCCAAGGCAGGCCATCGCTTGAGTTTCTGTCCAGATGGTCCAGATGGTGCATCACTGCATCTTTTGGGAGCAGGCGAAATTGCAAGTGTGGTCCTTCTTCTACTTCTTCTTGGCCCGCCGCTGGTTTGCAGTGTGCAGAAGCCTTCCTTGCGGGTTCTGGGTGCTGGGGTTCTTGCACAGACTGAGCCGTCCTGTGTCATGTGTAAGGTGACAAGAAGCCTGGCCCTGAGCCAATGCCACGCTGCAACAGTCACTCGTTGCTGTGCTTGCGTGATGAGATGCTTCACAAAGTGGCAGGCCTTGTAAGCCAACAGACATGAAGTTGGAGAAAGCATCGCAGAATTGCAAGCGGATGAAGAAGCTTGTCTCGATGTTCGTGCTACGGAGCATGTCAACTGCATGCCAGTAGGGCGATCTTGCCAGTTGTCCGATGTGATTTTTCAAGTGTAGCCGATAGGGAGGAAGTTGAAGATTGGAAGGAGGTTGAATGGCGCATTGCGTGTTCCTGATCTAAGGATCGTCTTCATTCGCCACGGTGAGTCGCAGTGGAATTCGGTGTTTAACGAGGCAGGTCGAAGTTCTTGACCCTGTGCATGCTGGCTCGGCAAAAGTCCTGGCAGGGCTGGAAGATTTTTCTGCCTTTCCGCTTGGTCCGGGCTTTGATAAAGGAGGCCTGATTGCTTGCCTGAGAACATGGGGACATAGCTCTTCCTGTTCTATGCCAGGCAATGATGACCTTTCAGAGAGATTCCATTTTCTATGATTCGCCGCTGAATGACAAGGGCATCCAGCAAGGTTGGCGGTCACAAGTCTCGTACTGTGTCGCGCGCATGATTCAGAGCGTGCGACATGTCCTGCGATTGCACGGGAAATTGGCAACACTGTGCTAAACTTGGATATTCATGTTAAAGCTTAACCAATTGTAAGTGTACTTATAACTGTACTCATAACCATATTAGGGCAATAAGTACCATGAACCTCCAAGTATGGTGTGCAGGCTGGGATTTGCTTTCTTTCCTGACTTCGCAGCCGGCGGGCACCGGCCTGAATTCTCTGAAAGCTCGCAGTTCGTTTAGATGGTTTTGGTCCCACAGCTCCTTCAGCCAGCTGTGAGTCTCCAGTTTTGAGTTCCTGGACTCTCGAGTTGTTGACATGTTGTCGCAATGAAGTGGAAACTTTTCGATGGTTTGTGCGTTTACCTTGCTGTGAGGTTGTCGAGAGCCTGGAGCTTGCCAAAAGCCTGCAGAGCTGCTGCAAGTCGAAGATCTTGTCTGGACCTTTACCTTGGTTCAAGAAGTCCAAAGTACCCACCAGGGGGGCGTGTGGGAGCCTGAGCACCTAGGTGTCCATCATCCGTGGCGATGCGGGTGAGAGTGTGGTAGTGACCTGGAATACCATTCAGCTTACTCTTGCTCGGCCGAGCGGCCCTGGAATGTGTGGCCGTGAATAGCACTATCACCTTGCTGCGTGAGACGTTGAGGTGTCCTCCATATTGCGGCGGGCTGTGTCTACCGTCCTTCTAGGTTTGAGCCCACGGTTGCTGAAATCGCAGCTCTCCTGAGATTGTGGTTGATTATGTCGGCAACGGTTCTCGCAATCATTCAGGCGTGCTTAGCAGAACGTGCAGGAAATGTGTGTGTGTGTGTGTCCCAGGACATTTGCGAAAGACCGCGTTCACTTGATGACTTCCCTGCAGGAGTGGGATTATGGCCGTGTAGTGTCTGCAAGCAGATGCGACTCATAATGGCATTAATTATTAGTGTGCAGCCAGTGTTGGTTGAGAGTTTGCAAGCCACTCATGTGGCCTTGCAGGAAATCAGCCGTGTGCTCAGTTGCAGTTGCAGTTCGCGGAGTACTGACCAGACGAGAAAGAGAGAGAACGCGAGAGGGACAGAAAGATTAAGATCGAGAGAGTCTGGGAAATGAAGAGAGGGAGCGAGAGGGAAGGGGGGCGACCTCCCCCTCCCCCAATGGGGGGAGGTTATTTGCGCAGAAAGAAAGGGGTAGGACGACAGAGAGAGAGAGAGAGAGATGTGGGGGACATTCCTCAAATGCCATTCAAGTCTGAAAGAGATGGAGTCTTTTGTCAGTTTAAAGCCTCCACTGTTGGGAGGAGGGTCGGAACTAAGGGAACGGCAGTCAAGACAGGACTTGAGGGGCAAACACAGCATGACCCCTTGCAGGGCACGCATTTGCCTTTGATGTGACCCTCGGCGGTGTCCTCTGCCATCGCTTTGGTTTCTGTTGGCAGCTCTTCGGGGGTGTCCTGTGGCGTTCTTTTGTGGTCTTCACGAGGACTTCTGGACAAAGTATCGCATTTCACTCCTCCTCGCTTCCTCAGCCTTCCCATGTACAGGCGTCAGGTCAAGGGGGTTCGCGCCTGGACCTTGCCTGCCAAGAAGAATAGAGACAGGGTTGACGGCAACAGGGTGTGAGGGGCCTTGGGGGTTTTCTGAGTCCGCTGCGGAGAGTGTGCTCACCGTCAGGCTACTGCTTGGAAACGTCGGGCGCGCAGGAGTGTGGGGTGACGGGGTTCGCAAGAGGAAGAGGAAGAGGAAGAGGAAGAGGAAGAGGAAGAGGAAGAGGAAGAGGAAGAGGAAGCGGAAGCGGAAGCGGAAGAGGACGAGGACGAGGAAGAGAGTGAGGGTGAGGATGAGGAAGAGAAAGAATCAAACCCATCCTTTCAAACACCTGACGCCTTATGTCAGCGCGTCGGCCTGGGCTTGGGAGTTTCAGAGACTCCCGAATACAGCACTTCGCACGTGGGAAAGGGCGGCCATGCCGGACCCTGTGCTGCCAGAAAGTAAGAAAGGAAGGAACGGGAAGGAAAGGTCAAATGAGTACAAAGAAAGTTGAAGATCAAGACAGAACGAAAGAAACAACCAGATACTGTAGGAACCAGATACAGAAAGAAAGAAGCAATGACAAACGAGAGCGAGCGCCAACCGGCTGGGGGCGAGGCACAGCGCCCATTAAAGGACTCCGTCGATTCGACCAGCGGGGCAAGATTGCCGAAGTTGATTATCCAGGCCCGCGAAGACTTTAAAATGAGAGATCTTCAAAAAAAGCAGAGACACGTCAGACCAGGGTCCTTTGTGTGCCCTGGGAGAGGTGGGGGTGGGGGGGGTTTTGGCACGGCGGAGGCGGCATGGTTGGGTTAAAGATCTGGCCGCCCAGGCCCGTAAGAAGAAGAAGGGGGAATGGGGGAAGGTTGCTTCGTGCTCTTTATATGTGAAGCAAAGACTGGGGGGCAGAGAGCTTTTCATGTTGACTTCCCTGATGGATGCCGTCACACTGCCTCTGTAACGGATCCCAAGTGCTGAAGGCAGAGTGGTCTGTCAAGTCTGAGGCAGAAATGTTGACACGCTTTCGGTCACACCAGCTCGGTCGATCCCAAAGTGTCCTCCGGATGAGGCAGCTTGCGAATTCGGAGCTCCCGGGTTACAAGTCGGTGTGCATGGTATCTTGGAACCAGTGGCCAGGCCAAGTTGAAGAACATTGGTGACCTGATGCTTCTTTGGCTGCACTTCAAGCCTGGCCTTCCGGCTGAGGCTTAGTTGGGACCGCCCCGCATGAGGTCACATTGGTACAAGACGCGACTAGATCATCGGCACCACTTGGGCAACAAGACCTTGTCCATGAAGGCACCACCATGTTTCAAGCACGGGGATATACGGGGATTGTGCATGGGATCGTTTCCTACTGCCGGACAAGACAGGCGGACAAGCGGCAAAAACAGTTCGTGAAGTGGGTTTTTGAGCAAAAGGACGTGGACTGCATCATTGCATCCTGGCCGAGACATGAGAAACGAGTGTCCATGCACTGTGCGCCAACGTCTTATTTGTTTTTTCCGCAAACGTGGAACTCATCCGAGCAGCTGTTAAACTGGAGCTTTTTCGGCATGATTTGTCATCGCTAATGCTAGGGCTGGAATCTTGCACTGATGCAACTCGCAAGGCGCAGCCGCAGCTCTTTCAAGTGAGCCTGGGGTGCACAAGCTACCAAGGTTGCAGGTCACTCGCTCTGGTTTCGAGAATTCTTCAAGAGTGGCTCATCTGCAAGTGGTAAGGATAGTCTCTGAGCTGAGGGTCTCTGCCGCCAGTTGAGTCGACGTGTGCACAAGGCTTTATGCCAAAATCGGCGACACATGTCGCCAAGACTACCAAAATGGTCAACTGCGGCGTGCAACCCTTATGTGTGGTGGTGCTACCTAATCGAGCCGTTCCGTCCACTTCCTGCTCCAGCTGAGTGCCGAGGTTGTCGCCTTCGACTTGTATCGAAACATCCAGCATTCAACAGAAGTCATCCGCTACTGATCTGGACTTATGCCTGAAGCTGCGTTCACTATGGGACGGTCGTGGTTCTTAACTTCTGATTTTTCTAGTACCGGTTCGGGGGGGGGGGGGGGGGGGGGGGGAGGTTTTGGGTCGGCTGGGAGCCACTGCCTCTTGAAGCCTGTTGTGCTTTTCCAACCAATTTCACGTTTCCTCTAAGATTGGCTGAACTCCGCATGAAACTGTTCATTACCTTCCACTTTTTTTGTTGCTCCAGAGCCGACTGAACCTTTTCTCAAGCGTGGTTCAGGGTTTTGTTTTGTTTTGGGTTTCAGAGATGTAGCGCACCTGCTCGATATCACTTCGTCTGTAACATGGCGGAAAGAAAGTTGAGGCGGGGGTGGGTTGGGGGGGGTTTCTTTCGGGGCAACGTGGGGCTTACACAAAAGAATGTTGGGTGCAACTGCACATTTGACAACATGCCGGCTCATGTTGCGAAACGCTTTGGTAAGCAGTAGTAGAACCGGGAAGCAGAGGCCAACAATAATTCGAGAGTTGGGGGGGGGGGACGGGACCAGCAGCAAAGGCATCCCTCCTGAGAGCATCAAGGTGCCTTGGCGAGACTGCTGTGAGCGACGACGTCTCCCAAAGCATATAATAGTAATATTCAGAATAAGAAACATACTGTTAATGGTTCAGGAGATCTATGGTGGCTTCGAGGTAAAGGGAAAAAAGAAGAAGGCCCGGCATGTCTGCGAAGCAGCTAGAAGCTGCAAGGTGCAATCGTCATGTTCCTTGCCTGCCCTGCCCGAATTGTGAGAATGATGCTGCTTCATGCGAGGCCTGACATTCGCAGTGAGATGTCTGCCTGTAAATGTTTTGGGCTGAAATTGCCCCAGAGTTAGTGCACAGAACGATAAAGACTGCGCTTTAGGCGTTTCAGTGGCGCCAGAACCAATAAGCCGGGCAACCCAAAGCAATGTACAAGACCGAACAGGGGGATGCCGAAGAATCTAGTGACCTAGTGTGTTCGAAGGCATGCCGTCAAGAGCAGTCAATCGTTTTGCCATCGCTTTGGAAATGCAGCGTTTGAGCGCCAAAAGAAAGCCGGCGTTTTGTGTGGCATCTCCAGGCGAATGCCCAAGAGGGCAGATCCGTTTACCGCTTCATGTCGAGGTGTTGCTGGACAAGCGTCGGGGTGTTGACCTCGACGACGAGTTCAACAAGGTAGACACTGTCAAAGCGTCACTGGATCAGCCTCGAGCTTGGATGTGCAAATATGTGCAAGCTTGAGCAGAAGCACAGGCCGTGGAGCGCTTGAACAACCAGCGCAAGAATGAGCTCTTGAATGAGCCGGTGAAGCTGGTGGCAGTGCCTTGGGTAGGTTTGTGCTGCATCGGTTTAAATGACAATCTCTGCCCTGTCTCCAAGCACACCACGCCCTAGGCACGCACACGCGTTCGTGCCATCCAGCAGAAGGCAGGGCCCTTTTGTGGATCAACGCGTCTTGAGCAGCAAGACGTACCCCCCAACAGGCCATGTCGCAGCTGCGTGAGCCAGATAGGCAGGAGAGGCTTGGTTCTTTTTCACTTCAGGTACATGTGCAGCCCGCTGGTGGCAATCTTGGTTTGTCAAGTACTGCAGGTCGCCATATGCAGGGCTCCGCATAGCTCTCAAGGAGTACCAGGCAGCGTTATTTTTCCAGAGCGGGAGCTGCAGTTGCTTTGCCGAATATGCGGCACTGCTGGATGCAGGCCATGCGAGATCAAGCACGTGAAAGGTTGCAGGCTCCGGCCTGCTATGCGCACGCATTGTGAATCGAAGAATGACAAGAACATAGAACTGAACAGCCAAAAAGTCCGAACCCCGAAGAAAGAAGATCGTTTCAGGGCACCCCGACTGCGAACTGACTTCGCCGATTTTTTTCGAAGCTGCTTCGCGGCATAGGCAAGAACAGTTCAACAGGGAAAGGCAACACGACTGTAGAACAAACACTCGGCTATCCTCTCAACTCCTTGTAACCACCAGCCTTTTTCATGAAGAGCTTATGGTTTGCGAGGATGGGTTTTGCTGGCAGGAGACCCTGGAGAGCCAAGAGAAGTCCAGGATGGCTTCAGTCGAAGCTCCCAAGAGGCAGAGTGCGGCAATTAAAAGCAATCAAACAGCTAACGACGGTATTTCATGCAAAGAACACCTACCACGCACGAAGCAAACAAAATAATCACGGCTGTTTCGAAGCGCAACACCTGGCCAGGAAAACTTTGCTGTCCGGAAGTCCGGTCCAGGCCATGCCTGCGGTCCTCTGTTACCCAGCTGCATCATGTTGGCGCCAGGATCTTGAGCCCAGCGATGGCCACCAGCATCAGTGGTGAGTGGCGCTGTTCATGCTGGTGTTCATGGTGTGGGGGCGAGTGGCTGGCAATTAAATGTCATTGCCCGTGCAATTGGAGGTACAGGTCCCTTCTTGAACAGATCCGGACACTGGAGGCGGAGGACGTTTCCAAGGCGGAGCACCGGCGGAGCACAACACAACTTGCGCGGGCAACCGCGGGAAACTCGTGAAAAAGCTGCTGGAGACCCGTGAGGCCATGTACATGTTGCTGGACTCCGCCAGGGCCGCCAGTCGTTTTCTGTAAGCTCTTAAGACCCGACAAAAAAACCCAAGCAGAAGCACCTTTAAGTCTGCCATTCGAGGTGAAGGAGGTCTTGGACCAAGGAGCCGAGAAGCGGCCTGAGACTGGGGCCATCATGGGCCTTGTTAGGACTTCGGGGCGCCTTCTTCTGAGGGCGTGGAGAGCAGATTCTGCTGGTACGCCCGAGTCAGGTTTGAAGCCGACGACTTCTGGCGATGCATCTCTGAGTTTCAAGCCGATGACGTGACTTTTGCCATGGCATCCCTTCTCGGCTCAGTGCTTCGCGCTTAGCTTGAATGCGCGTGGCACATGCCGAATGCTGACTTCAAATCTTCGAGACCTGCCGACGTTAAGACCTGCAAGAAAGGATTCGTGGCATGGATGGATTGACCGGCCCTTCTGTGGCGCGAGCTTTGCAGCAACAATGCGGCGACTTGAATCCAGAGGTTCCCTGGCCATGTTAGCTTGAGTGGCAAAGTCTGGCGGGTACACCACGCAGTTACCCCTCTCCCTCCATACCCCCGTTTGTCCTTGAGGCCCCTTTTGGCCCCTTTGTACCCCCCTTATACCCCCCTTATACCCCCCTTATACCCCTTATAATATTATACCACCCCGTAGAACCATCCGAGGTGGCCGATGTGTTGAATGCGCAGTAGCTCGTTTTAGTGCAGTTTTCCCAGCGTGGGGTGGTGGGAAAAGATGGAGCAGTGTTGCTCCCAAACCGGCTGTTGAAGACCTATTTTGCGGCACTGTTTGACTTGTGGTCGTTTCCAGACCCCTTGAGCCCCTCTGAGTTTCACCGTCGCATGGCACGCTTCCAAAGCTGGGAGGTTTACATTATTGGTTAGGCATCGGCATGACCTCTCCGTATCTGCGTGTTCCATGCAGCATAAAAAGTTGCGCGCGAATACCGTGCGCTCCAACACGTTTCTTGGTGCAAAGCGCCGTTATCGCAGGATCGAGCAGGCATGCTTGCACGCCCTGCAGAAAGGTCGCGTGGCTTCACCACAAAGCGGACTTGACCCACTCGCGTCCTCCATAAACAGATTGTTTCTACCATCCGTCAGCTTGAGCTCTAGCAACTCGGAGCCGGGTTACATGTCATGGCCGTCCTCTTCTCAGCTTCGTCGTGTGAGTCTGGTTTATGTGCCTCGATCCAGTGATCGAAGCTTCCGCTTCTTTGTCTGAGGCGCATAGCATCCGAACCTGGTTGTTGATTGCCCTGCTTTTTGCACTGTCCCTGGATTTCCGAGCGGAGTCCTAGCAAATTTCAATCCCAAGTTGTTGACGACGCAGGCAGTTCGCGCAGGTGCAGACGAGGAGGCTGAAGTCTCTGAGTCCCAGACCGACGACCAGTTTTTGGAGGACCGAAGCTTGTTCAGAAACTTTTGTGCGAATCACAGCCAGCAGCTCGCAGTTTCCGCTTGATTGCAGCAGGAGAACCGTCAGCCCTGCCCCTGGATTTTTTTGATTCGGTATCTGGGCAGTAGATGACGACTTCATGCACCAAGGCGTGATGAGGTCACCGAGACTTCCTCAGGTCTGCAGTACGAGGCGTCGTGTGGGCCAGCTTTTGCATTAGTACACAATTAATATACAACGAATATACAAAATGACATACAATAATATGCAATAATATACAATAATATACAATAATATACAATAATATACAATAATATACAATAATATACAATAATATACAATAATATACAATAGTTTACAATATTATACAATAATGCACAATTATATACAATAACATGCAACAAGATACAATAATATACAATAATATACAATTAATATACAATTAATATGCATAACATGTGGTCATACACAAAAATATACAACGAGAAACAGTAATAATATACAAATATACAATTATATACAATAGTATACAATAATATGCAATAATATACAATAATATACAATGATACACAAGAATACACAAGAATATACAATAATATGCAGTAATATACAATAATATACAAGAATACACAATAACATACAATAGTATACAATACTATACAAGAATATACAAAGATGGGATCTGGCTGAAGGTGCTGAAGAGTGGCCCGGCTGATGGCTCTCACCCTGAAGCCCAGTCAAAGATCGCACTCGGCTGAGATTCCATCGTTGTTGGCTTCAGCCTTCCTCACTTGCAAATGGGGGTTCACGAAAATAAGAGACCCCTAAACTAGATCCCCAAGTAGTAGGATTCCCTTCTATTGAAGACCCCAACCAGGTACCCCTAATTTCCGGAAACCCCCAAATGTAAAAACTTGCACTGCAAAACGGGCAATGCATGTTGGCTCAAGCATTGGAGCTTGAGTGCATAGAAGGGATGGCAATGCACAGCGCTTTCCGTCAGAGAGGTTGCCATGGGAAAAATGGGAAAGGCGGCCTTTCCGAAGCTTAGCCCCAGCTTTTGTTGGAGCCATGTTGAAGTAGGCCGCTGCAGTGTACAGCTTGGCAGGCCACTAGAGAGAAGAGCCGTGATGGCAAGATCGACAAGCAGCTTTGTCGGCTGAAATGCCTGCCTTAGCTCTTTTGGCCGCTTTGTGTTTTTCTCCCCCGGGGTCCTTGAGCACTCTGAACCCGAAGCCCTCGACCCGAAAAGGGCCGTGTCTTCAACTCTTCAAGAAGTTCGCGGCCCCTGAAACTTGCCACCTCTTCGCCGCAAAGCCTAGACGCCTGAACTCCTCGCCTCGTCCCCCCCGAACTTCAACCCTATAAGAACACTCCCGAGTCTTCCACAAATGTTGCGATGTTCACCCTGAAACTAACAGTCCTTAATGGGGATTATCATAGGGGTACGATAATCCCCATTAAGGACTGTTAGTATAAGGGGGAACATGGGGAACATCATGGAACATCCCAACCTATAAGAACCATCCCGAGTCTTCCCACAAAGTGACACATGAAGAAAGGGTCGTAGCACCTTGGGGTTGCGTGTCAGAAGTGATCCGAGGAAAGGCGCAAAGCTGCCCAAAGCTAAAGAGCCAAAGCCGACGGCAGCAAGCCAGGATGCAGCGCTTGTTTCTGTTTGTCAGAGAGAGAGTAGCGACGCAGTGTGCCATGCTGGGAGAAGTAGCAATCTTTGGAGGGCATGTGTGTGGGTAGGCTTGCTGCACAAGCGCCTGGGGCGTGCAAGGACTTAGACGACGGTGAGAAAGCAAGGCTTTCAGAAGAAGCAATTGCTGCCATCCAGCGTCTTGATTCGGTTACCGGTTCCCGGCTTGTTGAACTGCAAGTACTTGGGGCACTCTCCTAAGGCAAGGTGTGCGTACAGCCGGCAACCAAAAAGCTGGTGCACCTTTTGTTCCCGAAGGGTGGTCAGACAAATACAAACCGGCTTTGGGCGCCTACAAACAGCTGCTTGGCTGCTTTCTGAGCGAGCCGAGCGAGCAGGGTCTGTTCACCGATGTGTACAAAAACCCATGGAGGGAATAGGGCTGTGTCCCCGGCAAGGTTCTTGAAAGATCACCCTGACAAGTTCACGTGCAGATCTCGGCTGGAGTTCTTTTTTGGCTAAGTGCACTATCACCACAAAGCGATGTCCCAGGTTGGTTCCTGACAAGGACGGAAACTTTGTGATCAGGCAATCTGTGTTGGGCTGGATGCAGCTTGCCAGCGCGCACAGGGGGACAGTCGTGTCGAATTTACAGGCTGCCAGATCAGCTGGATGCCCCGAGCATTCCCGACAAAAAGGCTCGAGCAGCCTGTTGTCCCAGGCTCCATGCTGCCTGGTGCCTTCTGTGTGCGCTTTGAATGCGCAGGTTTGGGAGAAGCACTTGGTCAAAGCGTGGATGGCCTACTGCAAGGCAACATGGCCGCCAATGTTGTGGCGCCTTTTGTGCTCTCAGAAAGCTTTTGCCGTGAGGTAGTCCCGCGACCTCAGCGGGACTTCAAGGAAGGTTTTCTCGCCATGCTGCCCAAGCATGCTCTGCGACTGCGTGGTGCAAAGCCACCTTTGTGGCTCTGCTTGCAAGGGCTCGCAAGCCGCCAGTAAATCTTTCTGCAGGGGTGTTTTGCCTTGTATTTTGATCAGCCTCGATTTCTGGTGTTTGTTGAAGTAACCTCTCTTAGACTGCCTCCTACATGGCACGGCCTTGTGTCACTTAGGTCGCCAAAGAGCGCGCCCGCTCAGTCGCCGCGGTTGTCCCCGAAGCTGTCCCCAAAGCAATCTCCGAAGCTGCCACCCAGCCTTCCAACGGGTGTGGAGAGGAAAGGCTTGAAAGGCCAGATGGGATGACTGCTGACGACAAGCGCTGGTTTCTAGCGTCGGGGGGGGGGGGTCAGGCAAGAAAGAAGCGGGCTCCAAAGTCGAAGGCGTGAAGAAGAAGAAGAAGGCCAAGGCGCGCAGGACATCTCTGAACCAAAAATGGCAGGAAGTGCGAATTTCAAAAACCTGCACCGGGTGGGCAGGCGATCTGACCCTGGCAATCTGTAGAGCATCTGCGTGGCCTACAGCTGAACAAGCGGAAGATGCGAGAACAAAAAGTTGCCCTTGGAAGCTCTGGCAGTGAAGCTTCAAACAGGTGTACGATAAGGGACCCCAGAGTTTTGACCCCTACTAGTAGGATCCCCTACAAAAAGAACCCCAATTGGCCCAATAATGGTAAACCCCCTTATAGCAAGGATTCGGTGAGCCGAGGTATGCCATTATCGAGGCACCTTGCTCAATGGCACAGAGCGTGATGCTCGGTGGATCCGAAAAAGTTTGAGCGTCCGGCAGCACCCTAAAGCCCAAAACCCAAAACCCTAAACCCTCTGCTTGTGCAAGGTTCGATAGCTCTCACAAGCGCGGCTCTCCGGCTTCTTTCAAGCCTGCCAATCTTGTTCCTGGCTTCCAAGAGGCCGGGCTGCTTGTGTCTGGAGTTTCGGTTTTAGGGGTTGCAAGCACGCAGCACGAAGATTTCTCATGGTCAGGCGTTGCTCATGTCTGGCACTCAGACGTGCGGCGGCGCTCATGTGACCACAATGCATGGCTCCTTCTGAACCGCACTTGGCAGGGAGCCGCAACCACACTAGGGGCAAAGCAAGTTTTAAAACCACTCGCAATGGAACCACCATTTAGGTGAGGTACCCCTGCACATATACACATACATATATATATATATGTGTATGTGTGGAAAAGCCGCCCTAAAAGGAGTTCTAATCGAGAACAGCCCCTTGTGCAGAACAGCTGTTGGAAACGGAGCGGTTGTAAATGCGGGGACACGTCTTCGTTGCGATCGGCAGTATGCCGTTTGACAACCAAGATTGCAGTGTTGTGCAGTTCTCGTTCTCACGCTTGGGTGGTTTCAGCCGCGTTTTGCATGTCGATCGGTCGTGACAATGTTTGCCTTAGATAGCACCAGCGAGAAGGATGAAGCCTGGCGACACCTGGAGGATTTGGATACCCAGTGCGTGAGCTGCTAAGTGATCCTTTTTTGCCCTTCTTCTTCTTCTTCTTGGATCCGGAAAACATGTTCGTGCCTTCATGTCAGGATCGGTTATGGCTCTCGCGGTGCTGGAGGTTGGGGTCGAAGCCAATCGAAGTGCCCTCTATGACTGCCACACGTCTGTGTTTTGCCTGGTGTTTTTCCAGGCGCCATCCCGCCAGACACTGCCATCTCCTTCGAGCTAGAGCTGCTAGAGGCGAGCAGAAAGCGAGCAGCGCAAAGAGGAAGCTTGAAGAAAGAAGCCTGCGCCTGCAGAGGTGAGCCCTCCCGCGGAAGGGTTGGCATGGTTGTGGGAGCAAGCGTCCTCAAATCCAATGCCGTTCGCATCTCAGCGGAGAGTTGATTGTTCTGCGAGTGTTCTGCGTTGGTGTCTGCATTGATGCATGCCGAGGGTCGCCATTGCCTGCCTCGCCATATTCCAGCTGCTGCAGGGTTACTTTCAGAAGGGTGCTCCTTCTGACCTCAAGGTTCGGCTGCCTGCTCTTCGGGAGTTCCTCCATCACCTTGGCTCGCGAAAGGAGTTGTCAATGTCCGATGCATCTTCAGAGGAGAACCCCAAGGTGAGTGCTGAAGTTACACCCAGTTCAGAAGGCACCTGAAGCCACTGCACGCGCCGAGGTGTTCTTCAGCGTGAAGATCGGCGAGGAAGAGCCCGCGCGGGTGGTCTAAGTAGATTGCCAGCGTAGGCAAAGCGGCAAAGCGCAAGCGCCTGACATGGAGGTGGAGATGGAGCTTTTTGCCAAAAGCTATCCGAAGACCGTGGAGCGTCCCAGCAGCAGAAGGAGCGGCCTGGAGAAGAGTGCTGTTGTATGAAACTGCCAGCTCAGGAACTTCCGTGCCCTCTGCACCGGAGAGAAGGAGGGGGTCTTGCTTCTTTCCGCTTCCTTCTTCGTTTCCCATGGGCCGCTCACAGCCAGGGCAAGGGCAAGTCCGGCAAGCCTCTGACCTTCAAAGGTGCCTGGCAGCAAAGTGCCTATCTGTCGCAGCACTTACGCCCTAGCCCGGCAGACAAGTGGATCGCGCAGCGAGAGCCCGAACACCTCTCAAAGGAGTCAGGAAGAAGGAGTACTAGGATTTTCTGGGATGGGCATCGGCTCTCTGCAAGACTGAGGAATGGAGCTTTGCCATGTTTTGTCGCGAGAAGCGCAATTGGTAGATTCGTTCGGTCTCTGTTGGCCGCTTTGGCAAAACTGCGTGGAGGAAACTCTAATTACGGGCAAGGAAGACCACAAACACAAACCTTGGCCGAAGTTTGGCCACCGCCGGGCATCCAGGATTTCAGGCTGAAGGGCCTTGCTGGGGAAGTACTGGGCGGCAACTGGTGGGTGGCGCAGCCGGCTCTTTTTATCTGGAGACTAATTTCCCTTACAGAGACAAGAGGAGAGAGCAACTCCTTGGCCTCTTCATCTCAGCCTGTCGTCCGGAATGTCTGCGGTTGTTTTTGCAAGATACTTCGGCCCAGAGATGCCTGATCAGGCAGCTCATTTCACAGGATCATTCCGGGCTTCATGTGCCAGGGCGGTGCCTGGCCCCAAGTGTACGCTAGTCAGATTACTCAGCACCTCGTTTCATTCGACATTCCTCAGGACTTCACCAATGCGAATGGCACTGGTGGCGAGCCAGCTACCTCGGTTGGTTGTGGGCTGAATTAACCGGTGCATGTGGAGAGCATAGGTCAATCTACGGGGAGAAGTTTGAGGACGAGTGGACGAACGGATACATCACGCAAGCTCCCTGCAACACTTGCATTGCGAGTTTCGAGCAGCTATACACGTGGACTTGCGCACGAATTCGGCAAACGTGTGGCATCTTGCATGGCAGCAGTCGTCCATCATGATGCAGTGCTTCTTTCAGTTCAGCCAAGGCACAGTAAAGGGGGGCTGCTCTCCATGGCAAACGCGGGCAAGGTCCAGGGTTGCCCCAGAGGCCTTGTGACGTCCATTCGTTGCCTTTCCAAAGAGGACACCAATGGCTCACAATTTTTTATCACGCTGGCGGCTTGCTGCGGGCTCAGAGTGCGTGGTGCACCAGGGCAGACATAGACACACACCTTCTAACGACGGCCTTTCGTCTCGGTAACTGCCACAAGTTCTCCTCGCAAGATGGCAGTATCAGCACGGTCAGTTTCACGTTGCAGCTGAGCATGCAGAGGGGGCACATGTGCCAGCAAACAACCGAATCTTTCGTGTTGTTCAGGTACGCACCTGGATGGGAAGCATGTGCTCTTTGGCCAGGTAACTGATGGTATGGCCGAGCCCCTATTTCTGTCATGCTTAGAACGGCACTGTGAAGCCTTATGAACTTTGCAAGCTTAGGACGCTGTCAACAAAATGGGTGCAACAGGCACACTGCCCATTGTTGCAGTGGCAACCTGCCATGACTAGACTACATCGCAGCGGAAGGGGTGAGGTTTTCATATCATGAGCCGTTCCTGAAGGCCAGGGCAATGGGACCCCGAAGGACAAGGCAGCACAGGGATCGCAACTTCTGTTTTTTTGCACGATCGTTTCATTCCTTTAGACGCCCTTGTCCAATTCTGTCGCATTGGTACACCCGAGGTAGTGACAGGAAGCTTAGCAGGAGCACAGGACGACATACACCTCTGGGCAAGTCAGGTGATTATCGTGGACTCTGGCGAGGTGAAGACTAAGTCCACCTGAGTTGCGTGCTCAAGTTTCACTTGAGTGAAGTTTAGTGTTGGCATGAAGGTGGCGTGCGGAGGCCGTTCGAAAGACCCGTCTGGGGGTTGTTTTACATTTTTGGTTACCCTCAAGCCTACACGATACCTATGATGCCTTTTCCTAAATAGGATCCCGTTTCCACGGGCCCGGAAGTGACCCTAATCTAGAGCAACCTCCGTCTAATTTCATCAGCGTCCTTCTCCTGGTCTTCTGAGTGGCTTGTGTCGACATCTGTGTGGCTGCTTGTGTCACCTCTTGGCCCACCGTAGACGGAGACATGGTGATTGTGCTGTTTGAACATGCTGCTTATTTCTTTGTTTTCATGATTGCAAAGCACCGTTAAAAGAACCAAAAAAAGAGCTCGTGAGAAACCCGCAGGGCTGTGTCAGGTGTAGCCCCTTCCCCAAATACAAGCCAGCTCCAAGTCCGGCAAGAACCTACAGGAGCCGATGATGTTGCGTCTGCAGTGCAGTGGATGATGGCGACCTCCAGGATGCTGCCGTCAGCCTTGAAGAAATGGACGCAGAACCTGATGCTCGATGTCTTGTTGCCACTGGTTGCGTCGATGCTTCTCCTGCGCGCTCGACGCTTGCCTGGTGGTGGCAGGGTGGCTTCAGCGTTGCTGCTTTCCTGTGCCGGGTGGGCTGCTGTGAAGCGGCTTTGGCTGAGAGTTGGGCTTCAGGTATCTTCGCACTTGCGAAGTTCTTGCGTGAAGCACGGTGTTCCATCCGCTTTCGGGACATGGACTGCATTCTGCCCTTGCTGCAAGCGACCCATGAGCCTTCAACTCGAGCAGTGCCCAGCACAGGAAAGTCCTCCTCCATCGGTTCGTGGTAAATATGCTTTTCTAATCTGTCTGTGGGGTGCATCTCGTGAGTATTTGCTTGGTGCCTTGGTACTGGGATACTCTATTCGGCAGACCGGTTCGAAGCACGATCGCGTTTGCCTTTACACCAGTGATGTGCCGAATGCGCACATCCAACTGCTTTCCAAGCTTTGGATCTGCAAGCCCATAAGCCACATCGATGTGGCCATGGAGCAGCTGAGCTTTCCTGATAAAGAGGATCGCTTCGCCAAGGTCTTCACCAAGTTAAACGGCCTTGCCTTAACAGAGTATGAGAAGCTTCTGATGATGGATATCGACCTCCTGGTGCGTTCGAACATCGACGATCTCTTTGAGTTGACCCCACCAGCTGCCCTGAGACGTGGCATGAACGAGATCTTTCTCGGCCACGGCGACGCCGTAGATGGCCGAATGTTCTTCTTAGGCACAGACAAGTCCATGCCCCGATGGTCTTGGGGACAAGGCACAGGGATCAATGCCGGTGTTATGCTGTGGCGACCTGACCAAGCTGTACCTATATCCCCCTTGGGAATTATTGTTTGTGTTTTTGTTCATATAATACCCAAGAGAGTATTAAGAAACATTCTTATTCAGGCTCTAAGGGGAGTATAGGTACTGGATCAGATGCTCGATGAGTTGACTGAGCCCAACCATCCAGAGCATGTGAAAGGCAATGGCCCGGAGCAAGACTACCTCAGCCGCTTCTGGGCAGACGCACCATGGACTTATATTGGTGTGGAGTACAACTTCCAGCTTCATCAAATGTTCTTTGCATTGCACCCAGACAGGGCCCACTATGCGGAAAGGTCGGTCTTGCTGCAAACACCTGAGAAAATCCGAGTTGTGCATTTCTCTGGAAAGCCGACCGCAAAGCCATGGCACCGTGTGCTGGACAAAGCGTGGCAAGATTTTTGGCCAGATCGATCGCGCGACGCCGAGTATGTCGAGCGCTTTGCTGAAGAATTTATGGGGTACTGGCTATGGGTCAAGCGTGATCGTGAAAAGTTTGAGGCCCAGTCCAGCGGAAATTCCTGGGATATGGTTGGCTTGGAGCTGAATGAGGATGGAGAGTTTTTCCGACATTACAAGGATGGTCGGGAACCTGGTTGGCTGGAAATACCAGAGGCAGCTTCGCAAGGTGCGATGAACTTGCTGTCTGCAGCCTTAGGGGAGTGGTTCGACTCTTTGCAGAAACTGCAGCAGGAATTTCACATAGATTTTGCGCACTTAACAAGCAATGGGCCCGTGGCTCGTGCTCACTTGGATTTTGCGCCATTAATAAGCAACGGGTCCATGGCTCGTGCGCCGGTGCAACAGGTGCCAGGGGTCCCGCGACTCAAGCAGTTGGCATGGCGCCGTCATGGTGGCCGAGGTGGATGGTTTGTGGAGGCAGACAAGACAGAAGCAACGATTCCGACGGCCAAGCTGACTGCTGTGTGTGGGATATCGGAGGAATCCGCATTTGTTTCTTTGCGGGACTCCAGAACCGAGACCTATGAGGACGAAGGCTCACATGTCCAGGGTTTGTATGTGAAACTGGCAGGGTTCAAGGCAGGTCGGCACTTTGAGCTACCCGACATCCTCACGGAAGAATCGTTGGCTCCGATCCATTTCTGGGTTGACAGCGTGCCAAGTCAGGCGATCGTTTTGCTGGTTGTGGTTGGGCTCCCAGCAGTCTCGAATTTGCCAACGATTCTGGAGACACTCGCGCCTCTCGGTGTGCCCCAAGTACTCCCACCCAAGGACTCTCGAGTCCTGGCCTGCATCTCAGGCCCGAGGACCCGTGAAGAGAGCTCAGAGGAGACCCCATGTGCACATCATGCGTCGCCAGACGTGGCCTACGCATCTTTGCTAATGGAAGATACTTCTCTATAGATGCTGTCCTATTGAAAAGAGAGCAGAGCACTAATGCTGGGCGCATGACGATTCAGTCGTTGTTTGTTATTCTTTTGTTGGGGCCTTGGGGGGGGGGGGGGGCAGGGCGCACCAACAATTGTCAACGATGCAGCAACAAGGTCTTGTGATTTGTTCGTGCTGGTCATGCTTGGTTCAAGTCACGTCCAGCCATGCCATGCATTGACAAGTTTTGCTGCCATGGTGGCCTCGCATACGCCGAAGCACTGCGACACTTTCCCGCCACATTTGGAATCATCGCTGGAAGATTTGAATCAGATTTTGGGCGAATTCTCTGAAAGTGGTGCAGATGGGGCGGATGCTGAAATCGAGCAGAAGATTTGCAGCGTGTTGACCAGCTCGGATGCCACAACCAGCTTGCTTTACCGTGAAACAGCAGAGCATGCTGGATTGTTTGCCCGGAGATCAACGCTACATGTATTGAAAGGAGCAGCTTCAGGACGACCACGTTTGCAACAGGCGCTCTCTTCCTTCTTTGTGTCTGTTGCAAATCTTGGGGACCAACTTCCCATGACGGCAGCTTTGGTGTTGGGCGGGGCTTTGCTCGCGTTCCGACAAGGTTCTGAACGTGCTTTGCCGGCAGACATTGTGTCGGCTCTCCAGCTTGTGCAGTATTGGCTCGCTGGGGAAGCTCTGGAGGCTGTTGTAGTTGCATTAATGCAGCGGAGCCACGTGTTTTTGCCGCAAGTTGCTGATGCAACCTCTGGTTGGTTATGCGGTTTGCAGGATTACTTGGCAGTTGCATGTACGAAAGTTTTGCCTGTGCCTTCCGGACGAGATTTCGCACAGTGGTTGGATTCTTCATATTTGAGCCGGCTTGCGGAAGCGCAGCGCTTCTCCATGTGTTCCGAGCCGCACGCTTTTGAGAACTTCGAGTCCAAGCCATGGTGTTGGGACTTTTTAGGTCGCATGTCCCTCCGAAATGCCTCTGCATTGGCAGCTGCTTTTTGCAAGGCGGCGTTCAATTCGATTGATGATGCGGTCATGCTTGGAAAGTCGATTTCAAAATTGGCGGAGCAGAGCCCGCCAGCAAGCAGGGCGTTGGTGTGTGCAATTCTGTGCGAGGCAGAGTCTTTTTTCAAGCAGTCGAGTTGTGGAATCTTCTCGCGCGTGCCCGAGGGTGTTGCCCGTCTGTCAGCGTTGCTGCATCCATCGTTGGGAGCCGGTCTCCCTGTTCAGCAGCTCCTCGCTGTGCAAATTTGGCAAACACGACGTGGCAGTGAATTGGCATGCCCGGTAGTTTTTGCCTTGGTCGACACGCTGCACGCAGCTGGAGCTACATGTTGGTGGGAAGCCTATTCGCACTGGCTAGAGGTCTGGGCCGATCCCTCTTACTTTCAGTCGTCAGACATTGTTGCTGAACGGAGCTTGGCACTGAGACTTGCCAGAGCAGTCCGCAGACACATCCCGGACCAAGATCCGATACCTGGACAGTCATCGAAGTGTTTCTTGCAAGGTATTCATCTAAGACTGTCGGCGCAGACGCGGGAACGACGCTTGTATGGCATGGCCGTGGCAGAACTACTAGCCGAGTGTCGCGGTTTTGCAACCGACGAGGGGCGGACACAGCTTCGATTCGATGGCTTTGACAGGCGCGCTGGGAGTCTTTGAGTTTGCTTTGTCTGGGTTCGCGAATGTCCAGCATGTCTCCCAGAAGCTTTCACCTCGCACCCAAGAAGCCTTAAAGCTGCGCCGCGATGATTATGAGCATGCCCTCAAACCCTAGACCCTCCCTACATGCACGTGACAAGGACCGCTGCACCGGATGCTCAGATAAACTTGAGAAGGGCGTAGGGGAGGCTTTCAGTGGGCTTTCAGTGGGCTTTCAGTGGGGTTTTATTGGGCTTTTAGTGGTTTTCAGGCTTCTTGGGCTTCAGGGTGTTTGGCTTTTAGGGGCCGGTGTCCAGTCATGGGGCAGGCTTGAATGGGCCCAGGTTGCGGACCTTCAACTGGCTGGTGCCGACTTCGAGGTCGTCTCTCGGTCAAATTAGAGACCCTTTCCTTCATATTCTCAAGCCCTGGTTCCACAGGCACCTGCGCAGTTTGTGACAGAAACGGACGAGGACGTTCCAGCTGTCGTTGCTGCTGTGCCGGTGGTTCAGCAGGAGGAGCCGCTGTCAATCCTTGCGTTTTGCAACTCCGCGCAGGCTTCATAGAAGATTGCGCTTTGCACCAGGAGCCGTCTCAGGTCAATGCGTGCCAGCCCGCGCCTGAGACGAAGCCAGAAGCGGTGCCGGAAGAGGACAGCGATGACGAGGAGGACTGCCATCCATTACGTGCAACCCTTAGGCACCTTCTCAACACCGACATGATTGGAAGGCAAAGCAAGTGAACATGCAATCGTCTGAGGTGGCCTGGCTCCCTTGACACCTCTGGATGCTCAGAATGACTCCTGCTCTGATTTGCTCCTGGTGCAGTCACTGCCTCACCGCCAGACTAGTTTCAACAGAACTGTTGGCAACAATTCGTGCAGTGCAGGCATCCGGCTTTTCTCCAAAGTGCCTATGAGATGCTGCAGGGCACCCATAGCCGTGGATGAGCAAGACTTGTGACACTTGTTGAGTGAAGCTGATTTTGTCGTGGCTAGGCTGGGGCCTGTGAAGATTGCGTCGACTCCGCTCAGTGACGAGGCTTGCGGGGGATGTGCGGGTTTCGGTCGTTCTTTGTCCCCCGACGCTGTTTGCTGCAGAGTTAGATGCAGGATAGCAGCAGTTGGCAGCATGGAAGCAGGGAGATTTCAACAGGCTTCTGATGTCTCTTGTTTCTGAGAGGCATTTGGCAAACCCGGTGCTGCTCCTGAACCTGCAGCTGCTGCCTTGCCATTTGTTTGTGTGCGTGTTAGGTTGGGTGGCGATCTGCAGCCTTCTGGGATGTGAGTTGAGAGGGGCGCCAGCAGAGACTAGATGACTTCTGCCCAAGGCCGTGGCCCATGCCAGAGTTTTGACTGCGCTGGTGCCGGCCCCACTGCGCGTTTCTGAGTTGGCAGCTTTGCCCACAACCTTGGCGACAGGCCGACCTACCTTCGCTGATTGCTGCTGGCTCCCCTGACCTCTCCAGGCCCCAAAACCCTAAACTAACCCAACAAAAACCCTGCTGAAGGCCCTAAGCCCTAAAAACCCAAAGCCTGTGAGAGACCCGGCCTCAGGCTTGCAGAGCCCCTCTGCGTTCGTTTGCTGCGCATGGAGGTGGGAGATACTGGAAGCTACGGAGTAGTGACGGAGCAGTGTCGGAGTAGTGAGTAGAGAGACGGAGTAGGTGCATGCATTCGCTCCTGTACAAGAAAGAACGTAGGAAAGTGCAGAGGAGAGGTGAGTGATCAGCTGGACAAGCCAGGCAACTAGCGAGGAGCTCCAGGATCTGAGGTTGGAGGCCTCCCCGGCCCCGAGCCATCGGCCTCACGTGCAGCGTGTGCGTGCCTGTTGCAGGCGCTGGTCAGCTTGCTGGTAGCTGATGCCAGCCGGCGTCAAGCTGTGCAACGCCTGACCTCAGACTTCACAGCCGAGGATCTTTGCAGTGCAGAACATGGATGACTGCTTTGAATGGCACTGGTGTATTGTGGTCGAGTGGCATTTTGACAGGACCTGTCCTTGCATGAGCGCCGTGCCATTCTTCTCACCTTGTCGTCCGCAGCGCGGAAACTTTCTGCCAACAACGAGGTGGGGAAGCAGGGTGCGAAGCGCTTTATCGAAAGTTATGAGGGGGTGGTTCTCATACCGGTCCCTTCGAGGTACAGTGCCAGCCCCTCAAGGAAAGGAGGTCCCTCCCACCCCATTCGCCCCTCAAAAAAGAAACCAGAACAGCCCCGCTGTGACATCCGCCGGCAGGTGGAAGAGGCGCGTGGACCAGGATGCCGACCATACTCATCAAACCCTCTTGACACGCACACACACACACACACACACCCAGGCTTCGTCCCACGTGTGATGCCGTTGTACCCGCTTGCTGCTACATCCCTTTCAGCAATGAAGCATCTTAAGCAAGCTTGCATTCTCTTTGTGGGTGCTCTTCGTGAGAATTGTCGAGTGGTCGAAGTGCAGCTCCGTGACGATCCACGCTGAAGTCCAGGAGCCTCATCACAGCGACCTGCAGCTGGCAAAACGCGCCGCTTTGCATCAGCCACGCGCATCCCTGCATCCTTCCGAAACAGGCGCCTTCCACCAAATCGTAGGATTCTCTTATATTACCAAGGACCCTAAAAAGGCATCCCTAGTACTAGTATCGTAAAACCCCCATTTGGTGCCATGAAGGGCTCTGTGCAATCCGTTCTCTGGGGGCAGGTTTTCTGCAGAGGCGCGCCATTTCCTGATTCCGCTGGTGGCCAGGCCGGCAGAAGTCGGTTTTAAGTTTCAAAAAGGTTCAAAAACAAGGGGAAATTCTTTAGGGCAGTTTCTTGGGCATTTTCTCAAGGTGGAAGCAGCCAGACGGTGGAGCTGGAAAGTGGGCAGTTGGCAAGACTCCAAGCACTTTTAAATCATCGCGTAGAGAGATTCGCTTGCTGCGTCTACCTGGCATGGCAGACCCCACAGACTTTCACAGGAGAGCCGAATTTGGTTGCAGAGTTTCTTCGGTCATTGGCAGCGCGCCCGCCTGGATCCGTCACTCTGCTCAAATTCCAGTACACCAGGGTTATTGTTGGGCTGAGGTTATGCTGGAATGTGCGGGCCGAGCGTGTCCAGACCGTGACGTGCTTGGTCAGCATTGCCTTCCGCTGGCGGAGGAGGCCATCCAAAGCCGGAATCCAATAAACCTTAAACCTTAAACCCTAAACCTTAAACCCTGAACCCTAAACCCCAAACCCTAAAATCCCTTAACCGCTGCATGTTAACCCGAAGATGTCCTCGAAAAGGCCCTCCATCATCTGGAATCTCAAGTGCGCCGCTGCAGCTTATTCTTGCTGCCGTCGCCTTACCCGTTCGACATGCTGGAAGATGATGCCATGGCAGTTGCTTGCAGGTCACGCATCGTGCTGGTTGGGTGCGAGGGCCTGATTCTGGACAGAGACGGGATCCTGGAGCAGCTAGAGGCATGCATTCAGATGCTGAAAAAGCAGCAAGTTGTGCGGCAAGCCAATGCAGGTGATTCCAACCCAAGAAGCCGATGAGACATGCCGAAGGTTGGCTTGATCTGATGCGCTGCTTCCGGCCTTGACATTTGAGGGTTTACGAACGTAGGGGACCCCTAAAATAGACCCCCTAAATAGCAGGATTCCCCAATAAGGTACCCCGTAATTTCAGAAACCTCCCATTTCTTGTGAGGATGGCAGCTGGCATCTTGGCTTGCCTGAGTGTGGAGCCCCAGATTCACAGAGCTTACTTTGTGTGCCAGCGGGTTCTGAGAAACAGAGGGTGTCACATCCATGGCGGCTTCTAGCTGCACATTTCGCAGTATGCCTTGTCGACCTTGATTCTTTTGGTCTTGCAGGTTGCATGCTTGGGATCCAGGTCTTGCTTGTGCACATCCCATCTTGCACAAACAGCTGAGCTCGAGTGTGGGTCGTTGGAAGTGCCGTGCCACGAGGCAAGACCATCCTGAGTGCAGGCGTTTAACCGGTGACTTGCGCCAGAATTGTACAGAGCATCAGGGAAAAAGATATGGGCGTTTACGAAAATAGGGACCCCCTATACAGACCCCCGAATAGGAGGATTCCCTTGTAATAAGGACCCCAATAAGGTAACCCTACTTTCGGAAACCCCCATGTTTCCAAGCCAACCTGATACGAGGAATGCTTGCCAGGAACCTGACGGACGTGTCGGTAAGCACCTTAAACCTTACCAAGCCTTACACCCTTAAACAAAAAGACCTTGTTGGCGGAATTAAAGCCCAGGAGCCTTTGAACGAAGCAGCGGGAGTCGTCGTGGTCATCGTCCCAGTGGTCGTGGTCACCATTCGCCCTGTCTTACTGTTATGACGATTACTTGTAGAAGTCGTCGTGGTGGTGGTGCAGACGCAGCATTAGGAGGAGGACGAGGAGGATGAGGAGGAGTTGTAATTGAAGTACTTGTAGCAGGTGTCTAAGTCCAACTAAGTCCCTCTTCCGGTCGGGACTCTTCAAGCTTTCGGGCGGCAAGGCGTGCGCACTTGGGGTTAAGCATCTAGGGCTCACCTGTTTCTAAATGTTCAAGCTATGTGGGAGGATGTGGGGCGGAGGCCCGAGGTTTGTAACGGCAGAGAGGCAGGGGCATGTCGACAAACACCTTATATATTCCTGAAACCCTACAGCTTGATGGGAGTTGTGTGACGAAGACGTGGTCACAGCGCATATGCGCCCAGCTCTTCTCCTTCCTGTTGCCGTCTTCGCCGTCTTGATTTTCTTTCTTTTCTTATCATTGCTCTTGCTCTTGTTATGTAGTTATGTTTGCTATTGCTGCTATTGCTGTTGCCGTCGTCCTTGTTCTTCGTATCTCTGCTATTCTTACTATTGTTACCATTCTTATCATCATCAAGATCATTAATAAATCTATTTATGTATATCATAATCATATAGTTCTGAATCATCAGAACTATTCTTATACCCAAGCTCCTGCGCCAGCCTTGAGGCCCTGAATTTGATCTCTCGCGGCAGCTGCCCTTTCATGCATGCAATTTCTGATGTTTGTTTCCTTCGGAAAGTCGGGGGGGGGGGGGTGGGTTGGGGAGATTCTGCGTGCATATACAGAAAAGCTAGATACACATAGTGTTTATGTACATAGACACAGAACATTTGTACGTGTGTGCAGCGTAGATACTGTGGGTGTACAGCTGTCAGCTTGCAGGGTGACGGGCTACTGATACTTTGTCTGCAGCTTTCCAAGGGCCTTGGGAGTAGCAAGCAGCCATGGGAAAGAAGGGCCTCGGTGACTTCGTTGACCGGGGCCTTCATAGGGCCCTTGCTGAAGACTCGGATGCGCGCATGCGAGAGGCCATTCTCCAGGAGGTCTATTCCATGAGCCCCTTGCAGTTGGTGCGCGACGCCCGCGACAACTTTGATAAGGTCGCGGAAATCTACCGTCTTCGAGGCTTCCGGGGCTGTGACGAGGCTGAGCTAACTCATGTGGAGCCCAGCTCATGGGCTCTGTCCTGGATCGATTGGGGGCCGAACAGCTGGCACTCAGCGTCCTTCTGCGTGGAGACCTCATCCGGGCCCTGGCGGGTCATCGTTACGAAGAAGGGCAAAGTCAGCGGTGTCTTTCCTGTTGTGGATCCAGATAGTGCAGCAGGTGGGGCGCGCGGGGATTACTTTTGTGGGCTTCATTCGTGTTCCTTTGCCAATACAGGTGTTGTCACTGTATTGCATTGGCTTCATATTGGGGCTTAGAGTAGACAAGCATTATTCTGGTTGAAGTCTTCTTCTCATTATTGCTACTGCTTGTTGTTGTTATTACTATGATGATGTTCATTGTTATGTGATGGTGATTTGTATTCTTTTATTACGCCCCCCAACTATACTCAAAAACCAGTTGTTATTTCTCGTACGGCCGAGCCGCGAAGCCGACCTTTGCAGGTGCCGCGCAGGGAAAGTCTAGCCGAGAGGATGCCTCGGCTGCCCACGCGACCAAGGCTGCCAAGGCTGCTCGCAACGTAGAGAGGACGAGGCTTCTGGATCTGGGCCGTGCCATGCAGGACTTGTCCAAACTTTTGGGTCCACGGTGCAGGGATTTTGGGGGCCAACTGCTGGTTGCTGCCAGTTGCTGCTAGTTGGTTTCATAGTCGGCCCGCAGGATGCTACCGTTCAGGTGGAGGCATTCCTGGCTTCAGGGTGCCGGTCCCGGAAGGACGCGGTCTCGGAGGCGTGCCGTTGGCTGCAGGAGCTTTGTTGGGAGGACCTTCCAGATTTGAACAGAGACCTGGAGTGGGACTCCTCCGAAAGCTGGGGGTCCTGGGCCAAACGGGCTTGTGCGTCACTTCGCACCCGTTGCGGCATTCAGGAGCTGGTGCTGCCAGTAGAGAAGGTAGGCTTCACCCACGACTCAATCTCCACTGCTTTCAGACAGGGCACCGCTGCCGGAAGGGATGTGGAATGCCTGGTAGAAGATCTCCGATGGGGGAGGGCAAACCCTCTGGAGCACCAGGACCTTGTCATCGATGCTGTGTGCCACAAGGGCCGCATCCTGTCGCTGAACAACCGGCGCTTATGGGCGTTGAAGCAGCACAAGACACTGCATGCTAAGTCGGATGTGCGCGTTCGCGTGCAGGTCTTGCCCTGGAACGACTCTACCGTGGCACGCTTTCTGCAGGCCTTTACGTCCCAAAGCGAAGGCAACAGCATCGCCTGCCGCACACCCTTGGAGGGTGCGCCCCCAGATGCTGTGGTGGCCACGACGCTGGGCCGCGCGGTCATGGCAACGCCGGCCTCCGCACGGGCAGAGCGCAAAAGAGCCGAAGCAAAGACCTTGCCGGGTCAAACTGCACAAGGAGCGGCGTTTCCGGTGGATCCGCTATCTGGTGCACCAGGCGCCTCACCGGGCTTGCGGCTGGGTGGAGAGGTCTTCCCAAGCTGGCGCGAGGCCAAGGAACGTGTGCAGGCGATTCTTCGGGCCAACAGCGGCGGCCGGCCGCTGCCGGAAGCAGAGTATCTCATCGTGATGGATGCTTTGCAGTTCCATCCGGATCCGCAAGCAAAGCGCCTCAAAGAAGTAACAAGGATCACTGTGGGCTCCTCGGAGAAGTTTGCCAAGACCCCATGCTTCTGGATCTGGCGAGAGGATGGCTCCGGTGAAGACATTTCTGTAAAAAAGTGCTGGGACAAGCTGGACCTCATAGAGAAGTCTGTCACGAAGAAAGACCGGCAACGCGAGGTGCTAGCTGGGGGGCAGTGTTTTGTAGGCGTCCTGGACAGTTGGATCACGGGCCAAGGCAAAAATTTCGGCTGGCTCCGATTGGAGTGTGAGCAGAAAGCACAAGTCCCAACTGGCGCGGCTGGTCAGAAGTTGAACCTGGAATGGTCTGATGTGGCTGCTCATAGCCAAGCTCATGTGAATGCCAACCGTTCAGCAAAAGAACAACCACTCTTCCGAAAAGGCCAGCGATTTTCCTGTGTCCTTTATCGCTGGCATGAAAATGGCAAGCTTGGGTGCATGAGAGCGGAGATGGTGCAGCCTTATCTGCAGTAAACCGCAACACTGCATTGAAAGCTCGAAACCTTGAAGCTTGAAGCCTGAAATCTTGGACCTGCGTGATATGCTGAACGCTGAGCGTTCCAGCTCCTGGATGTGCATGAGGGCCGTGCTGTGGTGTGGTCCTCGTAGCCTTAACCTGAAACCGAAAGCCCTAAAGCTTAACTAAGCGCTTAAGCCCTAAACCCCATAACGGCGGCAATGTAGCATCAAACGGGGAAATCGTGTGGGATGTTGTTCCCCAGCAGACTCACTGCTTGGCCTTCATGCTGTGCTACACACCTAGCGGAAGTTCGGCTACATCGATATCTTTTTCCATATCCATATCCATCTATATCTATACCTGCTGTTTTATCTACTGTTTTCTGTTCGTATGTATATATGCATGCCATAAATGTACGTTTGTATGTGTATGCATATAGAGTGTGTTTGATGACGCCCCGCCCTGGGTGCAAACCATCTTCGAGGCCCTTTGCGGCTGCGTTGAAAAAGGCAGAGTGGCGGATCCACAGCTTTGCGATGTCAAGATTGGTTGAGCCCAACTTGCTATATCTTGTGCTCCGCAGTACCTGCAAAAAGTGAAGATGCCAGCAAGGCTTTAGCGTGTATCCGCGCAGTACGTATTGGTATTCGAGTGGATGGTGTCATGCACTGAGCCTTCTACATTCGATTGTCAGCTTTGGCTTAGAGGAGCTGGCTGTAGCTGAGCTGCGGGCAAAGCGGCCCCGTAACTCCCTTATTGGGTCCGCTTGTTCATCACATGTGTGTGATTCAATTGTGGGAAAGATAAGGATCTGACATGCTGCCCTGATTGATTGCATGTGGCCTCAGGCAGGCATGGCACATCCTGGCGGCATGGAGCACCTGGCTTTGATGGTCTTGACAATCTCCAATGCGGCAACTTGCGGCAACTTGTGAACCGCAGCTTGAGCAGTACTAAGGTTGGATGGCGCGGGCAAGCGCTTCCCTTCTGGTCAGGACATGCGGAATGGCTGATACTGAGCTTCCCGCAACATTTCTGCATGCAGGACTTGGATGTCACAGTGCTGGCGTTTGCGCAGTGGCTTTCCGATCCGCGGCTTGCACTACGTTGTGTTCAAGTCGCCGAACAAACAAGACCCCGTCGGAATGGTCAATCTTGAAGCGAGTTGCCTTGAGGAGATGAAGCTGCGCAGCAACTCCTCCCTACAACAGATGCTGCGGCCCTGAGCACTGTGCTGCGCGGCGTTCTTGTTTAAGTCCATCTGTCCCCCTGTCGAAGGCTCGCAGAGATGGGCATCATCCGCAACGGCATGGGCCTCGAAATACACATGTGCTCCCTCCAACTGTTCGAGCCCTCGCTGGTGCCAGGTATTACGTCAAATAACACGGATTTGACAGAGTTCAAAAGAAACACTGCCACCGTGCAAGCCCTACTCACTCAAACTGAGTGTGTGTGTGTGTGTGTGTGATAGTGTGTGCAATGATTGCCTCAGGCCGTTGCAGCATTTCGTTGGTATTTGTTCTGGCCACGAAGGGGTTGCGAGTGCCGTTAGGTGCAGCAGCAGATGCAATCGCAGATCTCTGATTTGCGGGACAAGCTCACTGATGCGTGCCCTTTAAATTACATGCCTTAATCAATCGTGGATTTGGCGTAAAAGGGTTGGCGTTGAGCAGCTCAGCAAGCATCGTTGGCTTGATTAACTTGATTGAGTAAGAGGTATACAGAGATTGCCAACATGAAGAAGACCAAAAGCCAGTTCGAGCAGGAGGCAGAAGCAGCATGAACGGTGGAGATTCTTTGCAGATTGTTGCTTGCATATTGGTCTTTGCCGTGCTGGAAGGTGCACGCCGAGAGTCAGTCCCTGTCGGAGCAGCTGCAGTGGTAGTGGCATGATTACAGTTGTTGATGATGTTGCCACCCGTAGCAGGTAGCCAAGTGAGTCCTGTTATGCCGAGCATGCCGCAATCTGGGTGGCCAGGTTCAAGACGCTGGAGCTAGAAACCTTGAAAAAGGCAGTGGTTCTCACCGAGAGAGGACGCGCGGACCTGGAAGAAGCTTAATATGTGTACCTTGTGGAGGCATATGCTCACACGCACCAGCAGCTCCAGCAGCAGATCATCCAGTTGCAAACAGAGGTGCCCCAAAACTGCGGTTTTGACAAGTTCAACGGATTCCGTGCTGCTGTGCTTCAAGGTCAACGAGCTCAGAATGAAGGGCGATGATGTGAACAGGCCTGCGCCGCAACCAGACCATGGTTCCATCAACGGTATTCTGGTGCTTGACATCGATGCGCCACTTCCCACGCGAATTCCCCCAAAGAGTTGAGGCAGCAGCATCTCACCTTCGAGCAGAGCGTGAACAAGGTCTCTGAGGCCTCGGAACCGTGTTGTTCGAACTGCGCATGATCTTCATGGAACACACAGAAGAGACGCAAAACCTGGCTGACTGAATGTTTTCGGCTTCAGCGCCAAACAAACAGAAATGATATAGCGAGTGAAGCGGCCCGATGGCTAAGCTAGCCATCGAGTGTCCTGTGAGCTGTCGGGGCGCTCCCGACACCTTGGTCTGGGAGGCCGGGTCACTGTGAGTCCCCCTGGTTCTGAGTAGGGAATGAGGGAATGAGGGCCCGTATATATATATATATATATACATACATACATACATACATACATACATATATACCCTTTAAGGGAGTACAGAGGGCACGAATTCCCTCATTCCCTACTAGGAACCAGCCAGTTACCGCAATTCTTCGCGTTCGGCTTTGTGGCCTTTGTGAGCGACAGTGGCCGCGAGGCCAGCGTATCGTCAGCTGCCGCGGCCTTCTCCCAAAAGGCGTTCCTTCAGAGGCCAGGACGCGCAACGCACTGCGACGTGGGTGGGTGCTGATGTTGGGGCATGGGGGGGGGAGAGGGAGACCATGCTGATCGTGGGTCCATGGTGTGCGGAAGGGGGCCGGTGGCAGGTTTGAGACGGAAGAGACCCTCGAAGCCAAGCTCTGAGTGTGGCTCAGGGTTGAGGATGACGAAGGAATAGGATGGATTAGGCGATGTTAGGGAGGTTGCATGCATCCCCACCATCGCAGGAGAAGCTCGCCGCGCTCGAGTTTGCTCAGGGAACCCGCGCATTTGATGAGCAGGTCGCGCCTTCGGGATGAGCTCATGCAGTGCACGGTCTTGCCCACTAGCTACTCCGAGAGCTCTGCTAACTTCTTGATTTGCAAGGTGGCTCTGCCAACAACGGTGGACCAGACGTTGGTACTGCATCAAGCCCAAGAGGTAAACAAATTTCCGCTGCTAAAAGCCCTGGAGTGATACGTGCTTGGATGCAGACAAGGCTGAGCCCTTTTGCCTCCGTGGATGAGCACCGCCGGGCTGTCCAGGAGCTGTGACAACATGGGTTTCAGAAGCACGTCACCCTACTTTTTCAAGACAGGACCTTTGCCTGGAGCCTCTTGGGCCCATTGAAACCCAGGCTGGGGGGGGGGGGGGGACGTCGTTTCCTTGCTTTTTGTCGCGGGGTTTCGGGCGCATTTCGGCATATCGGCTATGCTGAACCAGCCCGCGAGCTGCCGCGGAGGCACTGCTCTGCCAGCGCCGGGATCGTTCGAGTCCCGGAAAGCCATCTAAAGCCCTCTTGGAGGCCAGCGCCAAGCAGGAGGTGCCAAAGTGCGGACATCCGAGCGACAGTGGATGTTGGTGGATGTTCCGCAGGTGCAGGATGACAAGCCGCCGCGTGGGTCCCGTCCGGAGGCTTCTCTTTGCTGTGATTGCTGTTGCGTTGCATGGGTGCTTTTGGCATCTCTGCGACATTCTGGAGGGCGCGAACATTCCGACGCCGCTCGTGCTTGGAACCGAGAGTGTGGGATGTCGTGGTGCTGCATCTGGAGTCTGGATCTCCGAAGGTTCTGTGCTGGTTTGTGCCAACTTTGTGCTGGTTGCAGGCATTGTTCAGTTCCTGCCCATCCGGCCGTCTGTGCGTTGCTGCTAGATGCGCAGTGCCGGTCCCGGATGTGAGCTGGTGCTTCCATGAGGTTTTTTCTAGTGGTTGTTCTGATGGGGCGGCTGAGGCCGGGAGAGCGGGTGTTGGATCTATGCGGCTCTGCAGTGAAGGCCAATAATCACACGATTCAGTTCTTGGACGGTTTGATGCTGCGGAGTACTGAAAAATCTCGTTGTATTCGTCAGGCTGCAGTCCTTGCCTGCTGCATGTTCTCCCACAGACACGGCCCTGGCCTCAATTCTGAGGCGTTCGCAGAGCATTGCAGAGCTTTGCAGAGCATTGCAGAGCATTGAAGAGCATTGAAGGGACGAATTGAAGAGAGCCCCTACTGTTGACACCTTCGGCCTCAGGTCAGAGTTGGCTTGAAAGTGTTGGTCATGAGTCTGGCGCTTTGAGCTCAGGGAGGACCTCTCTGGACATCTAGAAAAGCTTGCGCGCATGCTCTGGCGTCGTGGTCGCATTTCCAACATGCCCCTGACTTTGGACTCCGCATGGTGACTACGCAGGAGAGAGGGCACCCTTCTGGTTTCCAATGCTCCTGACAGGCTCGGCACAGTTGAATGTGGGAGATGCCGCAGTGCGCATCGCAGACATCGCGCACGTCGCGTGCGTCGTCCGTGCCATGTGCACGGAGGACATATGCCCGAAGCTTGGAGCCGTGGCTCCAGAGCTTGCTTCCTGCAGAGGCTAGACGCCACATGTCTTCTTTGCACTGTCTTAGGGGCATTCGTTAGCCGGCTCGATGGTGTGATGTGGAGCAGGTTCCCGTACTCCATGCTGCAAGGCTCGCCCCTGGTGGAGAACATGTGCGCAATCAATACTGTTAAATAGATATATTCTGTATATGTCTATATATATATATAAATATGTATACATATATATATGTACATCATTGGTTACATATTTGTTTCGTAGCGCCCGTCTTGCATGCGCATTTAGCACGAATGAATTCAGCGCCCGCGCACCGAATCACTCAAGGTGGCGCAGAACTCTTTAGGGAGATGCATCCATAGTGTGCACTCACCCGAAGAGCGTGAGGGATTTCACCAGCAGCCTGGGGCAATTGCTGCGGAGCAATTCCGCACCGTCGGGCTCCATCACATCGCAAAGCCCCCGATGAAACTATCATGGAGGGGTCGAACAAACGCCAAAGAAAAAGAAACGGCTTAATTTGGCTGCAGCATCCTGCTTCCCTAGAGACATGCTGGATGCTGTAGTCTCACTGGCGCAAGCGCAATCCCACAGCACGCATCAACGTGGACATTCTGCAGCCCAAGCATCCCAAGCTCGATTTTTGCCTTACCCACGAGCAGTGTTCTCACAAACTCCTCAGATATCGTCACACTGCCTGAATCTCTATCAAGGGGCAAGTCATTGTCCCAATTGTATGTCGATGAACAAAGTCACTCGCCGCGACTGCCACATTATCACTGCCACTTGTCCAAAAGCAGCTGTCCATCGGGTTGCACGCCATGCTTGAGGCAGAAGAGCTCCCAGCAGAACATTGCCAACTGAGCTTCCAATGCAGTTTGCCGAAACCAACGAACTCTCACGTAGCGGCTCCCTCGCTCCACGTCATGCGGTGCCATGGTGAACGAAACCATGCCCCTGCTAGCCTTGGCTCCCGAGATTCAGCAAATCAGCGCGAACATCCTGGCATGTAATTCGTTGATGGCCATCAGCGTATCCGACCACGCTGTCAATGTCAGCTGGATCTACGCGAACAATGCAAGATGTGTTCCCACCCGGGCAATACCGCACAGCATCCGCATCAGCAGTCTCCAGACTATTGCAAGTGCAAGAATCCTGGTATCAGGGCCATGCGGTGCACTTCCAGGAGAATCATTTGTTTTCCACTGCAGGCCCCCACATCTAGTGCAGCGATTCTTGTGGCGTGTTCTTGGCTGACCCGATGCCTGGTCGTACCGCTTTCCAAATTCCATGGCGACTTAACGCGGTACTGGGGCTAACGAGATTCCCTGCAGCGCGCGAGTCGAGCCCACAGAAGACGATATAGTCAGTGCAGTTATGCGCAGTATGCGATTTTCAAAATGTTATTACATAGCAGAAGACAAAATGAGATGATGTATCACTACTGTGTTATGTAGTAAAAGAATGCATCATGCTGGCAAGGCCGGGAGCTTCTGGTCACATCCTCCTCAGCACGGTGGAGGCCCGGCGCGTAGTTTCCCTGAAACGGTTTGTGCGCCACGTTCATGTCACGCGGTTTAAGGTTTAGGGAAAGTTTAGGGTTTAGGCTGGTTTTGCTGGCACCTTAGACCTTCGCGTGTCGGTGATGTCCATCCGGATTACCTACCGTTGGGATGCCGTTGGACAGGCGTGGCAAAAACAGTCACTACTGCCACTGCAGAGGTCGAGTTCTTGGTACTTGCTTGTTTGCTGTCTGGCCTAGGCTGCACCACATGTACAGCCAGCATTCTGAAGCACGAATCCTGCAAAGTTTTAGCGGAACTCACTTTGCCCGGCTGCACTTCTCGGCTCAGAGTCGCAGAGGGGCCTGCCATGTCCAAACCCGTCAGAAGGCTGTGGCTGTCAATGTTAGTAAGAGCTGCTTGCTTCACATGTCTTGTTTGAAAGGCGTCCCAATGTCAGAGATCTTTGCGGATGCGCTTGTCGATGGTGGACTGAAGACCAACTTCGGGGCCGATGGTAGCTTTGAGGACCCTGGAAGCTTCTTTTTTCGGGCTCAAGGATGTTTCCAGCATGTTTGCCGTTCTTCGCGTTGATCAGGAGGATGATGCCATGCTCCTGGATCCGCCAGATCCCGTGGATCTGCTGATTGCGCACACCCATGCCGACGAGGCCGTCAACCTCGGAGCCAGGCCGCCCAACAGACCCGTGGGGAGTTCTTGCGGAGACTCGGGGGGGGGGGGGGGGGGGGGGGGGGGTCGAAAAGGTCCTTTGCAAAAGGATGAACCATTGGGAAGGGAGTGCCCTGAAAGGTGAACCTGCCTTGTGGGGTCATGTTGAGGAGTTTTTCGAAGGACCGGCATGCCCTTCTCGCGTCAAAAGCACAGAGGCCTCTGGACTTCGTCCGGGCCAAAGTCTCCGAACTGAAGAAGGAGAACAAGAAGCTAAAAGACAGGCAGAGCTTCTGGCGGAGCTTCGGAGGGTTGTGTGCATGCACCGGACAGCTGATGGCAACGTGGCCCCCCTCTGCAGGGTGGCAGACTTGGAGCAGACGCTGTCCATCGTGCAGACAGCCCAGGAATGGACCCTCGGAAAAGGCCGGCCAAGTTGAGACTTGCCAGAGATATCCAGGGCAAGCCAGAGAAGCTGTTGCATGTGTGTTGTCTTCTATCTAGTGTTCTGCCCTGTCCTGTTTGTCTCAGACTCATACCCTGGAAGTCATGTCTCTTGCCAGGCATGACGCAGGAGCAAGCCATGAGGATGCAGGAGATCAAGCTGCTTCTTGAGCAGGCCCGAGAAGCTCGGGCTTTGACTGGGAAACTCCGAGCTTTCAAAACGCAGCCGCTGTCAGGCCAAGAAGGCAAAAGAAGAAATGCATCCCGACTCCTATGGTACTGGTACTGGGTAGCTGTTTTTCCAGCACGTTTCGGATCGTTTCGGTGCCGGGCTGTGTGTTGGGACTCAGGCAAACCTTCTCCAGCGCCAGCCGGGCCGCGCTGTACGAGAAGCTGCGGACGGTCAAGGCGCAGCTGCGGCGCGAGCGCCAGGAAAAGCTCGAGATGAAGGACGGTAACCGTAACCGTTCGGGTTCCAATAAGACTGCCAAGAACTAGGCCCGGCGCTTCCAGGGAGCAAGGCTCTTGCAGATGTTTGCATTGTCATGTGTAGCAGGCTTCGTATTAGTGTTGCTGGCGAGTGTAGATAGGATTCGCTCTAAGTATTGGTGACTGTCTATACTGTATGTGTACGTATACATACACATTTGCGGATACTGGAAAGAAAAGCCCTGCTTCATGTGAAGGATCGGCTGATGCATGCCTTCGACCACGCACGAGCGCACCGAGATGCCTATCGCAGGCTGAAGATGCAGAGGGACGACGAGAGCGAGAAATGGCAGCAGGCCTTGAAAGAGACCAAGGAGCGGCACAGGCTCGAGCTGCGCCGGCTCCACGGTGATCCTGCAGCCATGCAGTCCGATCGCCAAGACCAGTTCAGCTACTACGGGGAGAAGGTCATCGATGATCTTCTCGCTCTGCAGCAGCATCTGAGAGGCGTGCGGGAACGCACCGTGGACACGGTGGTCTTGGATGGGGAAGACTTCGTCGAGGCCACGGAAGCGGAGGGCCTTGGAGACCCCGCCGAGGGAGCAGAAGTCTTTGCCGCGACTGGCGCCTTTGACGCTGAGGTAGAAGTCAACGAGACTGAAATCGCGGGTGACATGGTGGGTGGAGTTGTTGAAGCAAGTGCTGACGGCCCCATTGATCAGCCAGATGATGCCCCGGCCCCACCTGACATCCCAGGAGGCCAGGAATAAGTCAGGCATGTTTCACATGATTCTCACCGGAGTCATTGCATAAACGCAAGGCAAGTGCAATTAGAGGAGCAAGCGGGGTGCACGAGGAGCCCCTGCAAGTTTCACAAGCGATGTCTCACCCGATGATCCGAAATTTCATGCATTTTCAGTTGAACAAAAATAGTCCGCCCAGGATCTGGCAGAACTGTGCAGCGGCTTGAGTTGTGTTGCTTGAGGTTGTAGTTCATTAAGAAGCCAAATTGGACATGAAGTTGCTCTGAAGGCTTGGACCCTTTGACCGAATCATCGTGGATCCAAGCTGCACCGGAGGTTTCGGAGCAAGGCCCCTCCGATATCTTGAGCGCAATAGTTGTCGTGTAGTGTGTGAAGCGGGAAAACCAACTGTCAGTCACTGCCGTTCCGGGTCGTGGACAACCCTAGGAGTGAGATGCTGTAGGGTCTGTGTTGGTCACTCAGGGTTTAGGTTGGTTCGGGGTTTAGGGTTGCCAATGGTTGCCACAACTACCGACATCACGCTTTGGTGACCGACCGCGCCCGAGGGCTCACGACCAAGTCAAAGCAGCCCCCGACTCCAATTCCCGACGCCGCCACCAGGATGCCTGATCTAAAGTATCCTGAGCTTGCCGAGGCGCCTTGCGTGGTCACTTGTCTTGTAGCATGCAAGTCGCCATGCTCTGTAGATGTTGTGTGGGGTTGCTCGGCCCGATGAATTCCTGACATAGACTCTACGCGGGTCCGAAAAAATGAAGAAGTCCATGAAAAGATTGCACACAATGCGCAGAGCCAGCTTGTTGTAAGACACTGCTGCTTCTACGTGGCCTCCTCAGACAACTCTTAGCCTCAACTGAGATGGAGGCTCATATCCCCAAAATGTACTTGAACAGGCGCTGCTGTGCAATGCAGCGAAGCTTCTCCGGCCTGGAGGGATACTGCTCTACTCTACGGTGCGCGTAGAGGCTGGAGTTTGGGTTTTGTGGATGTCATGTAGGCCATGCTGTTTCCCGTGCTGTACGGAGTCGCAGGAACGGACCATGGACACGGTTGTGCGTGGTTTTCTTCGGAATGCCAAGGAGGACTTCGAGGCAACTGCCAAATCAGTGCGATGCCGGCTTGCATGTCGACATTTCGAGGCACATTGTAAGAACCCTGCATCCGTAAGAGGTCTTGCCGCCTGATCTTCATCTTGACGTTGCATCTGCCTGACGCCAAGACCAGCTATCATGGCCCCAAAGCAAGAGACTCACATGACTGAGACATGGCTCTGAAGGTTCAGATGGAGTTCGGCCAGCTGTTGAATCTAGGAGCCTCGAGCCAGCACCAGTGCCCAGAAGATTTCTTCGTGCAATGCCACCTGACCCGGAGGACAGAAGCCGAACCAAAGCAAGCTGTACATCTCAAGGCTGCAGAAAGCCATTTGAGGAGAGCTATGTCCAGTCAGTTGAAATCGAAGAGTCTTTACGTCATGACTAGGATGGTATTCGTCTGATAGGCTACTAGCACCACGCCGTTGAAAACAACGACATGCGCTGTTTAATGGAATGCGAACGCGTTTCACTGAGAAGCATCAGCGGGCCGACTTGCAAGTCGGACCAGAGGGTATCCGCAAGAAGCAAAAAGAGTCCTGGGTGCGCGGGTGCTTGCCATGCTGGGCATTTTGCATTCATACCCTAAGCCCTAAACCTTAAACCCTAAACCCTAAACACCCTAAACACCCTAAACCCAAAACCCAAAACCCTAAACCCTAAGCCCTAAACCCTACACCCTAAACCCTAACACAGCTGCTCGAGCAGGTGGAGATGGCAGCACAGTATGCGAACAATGAGATGAAGAGGAGCGGTCACTTGCGTGGAGAGATCTCGAACCATTTGCGAGCTTAGGGTTTAGGGTTTAGGGTTTATATAGGGTTTAGGGTGATTGCCCGGACAGCAAAGGCTGGCAGATGGTGGCAGTACCCTAAACCCTCAACCCTAAACCTTAAACCCTAAACCCTAAACCCTAAACCCTAAACCCTAAACTTTCCCAGATCCAATGCTACCTGTTTCCTCGTCGCCAGGCTTCGCAACGAGCATGATCAGGCCATAGCCAGTCTCGCCGAGAACATGAACAGGCAGGATTACTGGGTATAACCCTACACCCTAAGCCCTAAGCCCTAAGCCCTAAGCCCAAAGCCCTAAGCCCTAAACCCTAAACCCTAGACCCTAAACCCTAAACTTTAAACGAGTCAATGAGTCCCCACACTTGCAGGTGGAACGACACTGTGCGAGACCTGTCCAAGGAGTTCCACGACTTCCAAAAGGTCACTTGAATCAGATATGGTGGGATTCTCTTCCTTCTTAGGGCCCCGTTTTCGGGTCAGTGTTTGGAAGGCGGCCCCCAAATATTTAGGGTACCCTCAACAAAAAAAGGACCATCATTTGAGACATGACCATATGGTGGCACGCAGATGTGGCAGATGTGGCCCTTTGTATGCAGAGAGCTCATTGGGGCCTCTCGCGGTTTGAGAAAAGCTTCTGATTTTCGGTCAGGGACTGTCTCTCGGGTTGAAACTTTCAAGGCAAGCAAAACGAAGAGACAAGAGCCACCTAGGCATAACAGAGAGACGGTGCACTGTGTCCGGTTCCAGTTTATGGTTACGGGTTTTCGATCCTTTTGCCTTGTAGGCAGTAGAACCTTCGGAGATGTCAAGCAAACGGTGAAACCCTCTCGGTTGCTGTGTCGGATATCTGCCAAGCAACCCAGGCACCGCAGTGTTCACTATCTGAGATACCCACTCCAGCTTGTGTCGTCCGCTGCAGCTCTCTTTGTACCGAATACTTCTCGAGGTCATGAACGTCAACCACCAGCGGCTGCAAAGCTCTGTTTGGGAAGTTCAGGCAGTGATGGGTGCTGTCGATCTTCGCTTCTTGCCCCCCTGGTATCCTCGACCCGAAGCCCTAAACCTCCCTGGCCTTGCGCAGGGCAAGCTGGGCCCGGCGGCTCCCAGTGCTCCTCAAATAGAAGCAACTCACAGCGTCTATGCTTCTCGTCAGCACGAGCTTTTGCAAGTATGCATGTTGATCGCATCCTCTGTACGTGCCTTGTTGTGTGGAGTTTGCGAAAGCATACAGACGTTACAAGGCTGTGAATAATCCTCATCAAGTGCCTGCCTTAGCAGAGCCTTGCGCGTGATCTGCAAAGGGCAGCAAAGGCCGCACATAGCAGAACATCGCTTCGCGGGACTTCCTTACTTGATAGCTTTTGATCTTTGGCGCAGCGGCTGAGGAATGTCGTGCTTGATGGCCAGGTTTCAGGGTCCAGGGTGTACGGGCAACACAAGTTTGCGTGCTCCCAATCCTGCAGCCAAAAAGGGCCCTTTTTTAGAGCCCAAGCAAAACCCTCAGCATGCTGAAAGCGAGACGCCGCAACCCAAAGAATGTCGGGAGTGAGGGACGAGAGTGGGTGCGTGAGAGTCTAGCAGTTCATGGACCTTTTTGGGGGTCTCCAGTATACAGTACAGTATACTCCTTACAAGTTTAGACTACCCCAAAAAAGCAGTAACCTGAGTCGATCTGCACAGCACTGGCCCAACTCAAGGCGTTTGCAGCGGGGGCGCCCTGTGCTGTGGGGCTCCCGGGACCGTGCGCCTTTGGGGCTTGGAGAGATTGAGGTTTGGGACGTCCTTGGCTTCAAGGATTGCTTTCTGAACCTGAGGGGGCTAGCCCACCCTTGGTTTTAGGGTTCAGGCTTCCTCCCTCGTTAAGAGTCACACATTTTGGCCAATGTGTCTGGCACCTTCACATGCTTCAACTGCTCATCCCTAAGCTCGACTCTCTCTCTCTCTCTCTCTCTCTCTCTCTCTCTCCGTCTCTGTGTCTCTCTGCCTCAGCCGTCTCTCAGGGCGCTGGCATGAGAGCCCAGTCACCGCCGGCAGCCAGGATGTGCAGATTTCATGCATGCGCCATGGTTTAGGGATGTTTAGGCAGGGCTTGCTGGTGTCTGTGTCGCACTGTGCGTGTTTTCATGGCAGGAAAGCGATGGTGGCTTCGAGGTGAAGGGCAGCGAACAAGGGTCTGTTTGGCAGCTCGGTCAGCTCGAGGGGCTTGCTTCGCTTGCTTGCCTGTGGGGGCCATGCTGGGTCGTTGCAGTGGAATGCCTGTAAATGCTTTGGGCTAAAGTTGCCCCGGAGATAGCGCGTGGAGCGGTCAAAACTTGGGTCTTTGCTAGCACCATCGTGTCTTACTTGCTCAGAAGTCTCCCAACAGCTTTGCTTGACCATTGCTCGACAGCAGTGCTCGGCCACGGTGCACTCAGCGTTGGCTTCAGAGGAGCAGGCCGTAGCTGAGCTGCGGAGGGCTCCCCGCAGCTCCCTTATGTCCGCGCTCGGATGAGTGTGATCCACATGTGAGTAAGATCAGGATCTCAGATTCTGCTGCGATTATCTGCGCTTTTCTGTGAAGCGAGGCAAGCATGGCACATCCTGGTGGCATGGAGCACCTGGCTTTGACCATCTCCAATGTGGCAACTTGTGGCAAGTCAGCAAGTGGCTGTATCAAGGTTAGACGGCGCGGGCAAGCGCTTCCCTTCTGGTCAGGACACGTGACATGACGGATGGGTACAGTAGTGATGAGTCTCTCGCAACCTTTCTGCATGCAGGACTTGGATGTCACAGTGCTGGCGTTTGCACAGTGGCTTTCCGAACCGCGGCGTGCACTGCGTTGTTCTCCTCTCGCCGAACAAACAAGACCCCGTCGGAATGGTCAATCTTGAAGCGACTTTCGCTGAGGAGATGAAGCTGCGCAGCAACTCCTCCCTACAACAGATGCTGCGGCCCTGAGCACTGTGCAGCGCGGAGTTCTTGTTTAAGTCCATCTGTGCCCCGAAGGCTCGCAGAGATGGGCATCATCCGCAACGGCATCGGCCTCGAAAGACAGATGTGCCCCTTCCAATTGTTTGAGCCCTCGTTGGCGCCAGGTATCACATCAAACAACACGGATCTGACAGAGTTCAAAAGGAACACTGCCACCGCGCAAGCCCTACTCATGCGAAGTGAGTGTGTGCAGTGATTGCTTCAGATCCCAGGTATTGTTAAGCCAAGGGTTTCACAACAAAATTGAGAACTGACACTGGTTTCTGTGAGCACAGTTAGGTGCAGCAGCAGATGCAATCACAGATCTCTGACTTGCGGGACAAGCTCACTGATGCGTGCCCTTTAAACTCCTCAACCAAAACACCGATTCAACATGAGAGGGCTGGCATTGAGCAACTGCACAAGGAGCAGACGGCTTGATTGAGCAAACAGGTATACAGAGATCGCCAACATGAAGAAGACGAAAAGCCAGTTCGAGCAGGAGGCAGAAAACAACATGAAGTGTGGAGTTTCTTTGTTGGGAACTGTTGCTTGCAATATAGGTCTATGCCACCCTGGGAGGTCCATGCAGAGAGCCAGTCCCTGTCGGAGCAGCTGCAGTGACAGGGGCATGATTCCAATTGTTGCGGCCATCCCAAAGTCCTTCCATGCTGAACACACAGTCCGGGCCAGGTTCAAGACCCTGGAGCTGGAGACCTTGAAAAAGGCCTCAACCCTAAACCCTAAACCCTAAACCCTAAACCCTAAACCCTAAACCCTAAACCCTAAACCCTAAACCCAAAAAACAAAAACCCTAAACCCTAAACCCTAAACCCTAAACCCTAAACCCTAAACCCTAAACCCTAAACCCTAAACCCTAAACCCTAAACCCTAAACCCTCAACCCTAAACTGCCGAGAGCGCCGCTGTCCATTTACATGGGCGCTCGAGGCTTCGACCGAGGTCCCCGACCGAGCGTCTCCACAGAACGGTGAGGGAGGGTAAAGCCTCCCGGTAGACGGGGCCTGCAGTGCCTAGCTACGCCTCCGATCTAGGGCGTCAGCCCTATTTTAATTAGGACCCCAAAACCCGAGCCGTTGGCGTGTTTTTGGGGGTCTGGGGCATACCCTCCCCGAAAGACCTGGGGTCCCAGCCTGCACGATTTTACCCAAAAAGCACCGAAAACCAGGGCGAGGCCCCTGCTACCCCCTACCGCTTTGCTGCCCTAAGGCTGCATGAAGCCCCGCGATCCAGGATTTGCCCAGACCGTAGTGAAAATGTTGGTTTTTTAGTATTGCAATCGACGGTTTTGGGCACCCCTCTGTTTTCCTCCGTGAAAGCTCCAAGAAGCCTACGAGCCACTGGCAGGCTCCACAAAGCTCAGGAGGCCCCACGCTGCTCTTTGGTATAAAGCAAGAAAGCCCCCTCAGGGGGGCAGGGGGGTGAACCCTAAACCCTAAATGAAAATAGTTTGGGTGGTGGGGGTGGGACTACATGCTAACACAAGCGAGCGGCCCGGGTGCTTTTAGCACCAGCGAGCTTCCCTTCTACACACCCTAAACTTTCTAAACCCTAAACCCTAACCCCTAAACCCTAAACCCAAAGCCCTAAGCCCTAAACCCTAAACCCTAAACCCTAAATCCTAAACCCTAAACCCTAAACAAAGACCGCCGTGTTCCCCAGCTGGCGCTGGCGGCGGTCACTACCGCGCCCTCACTGGTGGGCGCGGTGCGTCCACGCGACGGGAATCAGCCCTTGTGGACGCCGACTTGGATCCGTCCGGTGAGGACGGTCGACGCTTAGAGCTAAGTGAACCGGCGTGCAGGCCACGGTCCTGCTCTTAGCTCCTAAGCTAGTTGCCCCAAACCCCCTGATTTGGGGCATCGTCCTAGGATTTAGGATTTAAGATTTAGGGTTTAGGATTTAGGATTCAGGGTTTAGGGTTAGGATTTAGGGTGTAGGTTTTAGGATTTAGGGTTTAGGGTTTAGGAATTAGGATTTAGGTTTAGGGTTTAGGATTTAGGATTTAGGGTTTAGGGTTTAGGGCTTAGGATTTAGGGTTTAGGGTTTAGGGTTTAGGATTTAGGGTTTAGGATTTAGGGTTTCGGATTTAGGGTTCCCAGGCAGGTCCCAAGGGGGGTTGCAGGACGGTCCCAGGACGGCTTTTCAGGCACAGTGTGCGTGTGACGCCTTGCAGGGGCGGCCTACGCTTGGGGATGGAACGACAGGCCGAGCCCTAAACCCGAGACAAAGTTCGGCGCCGACCCTGTTTGGGCAAAATGGGAGGCCTTGCCTGGGAGGCCTCTGCCTGAGAGCCCGAAAAACCACTGCCAGGCAGGCCTGCCTGCCTGCTTGCTTGAGGCCCCTGGCGGGCGGTGGAGCCTTTTTTGAGGGTGGAACGAAGGACATTTCCAGATTGTGATTGAACACAGGGGGGTTCGATATTCTTCGGTTGGTGCTACAGCAATTTCGGTGAAGGGGTGATTAGACTAATCTCAAATCCAACAAAAACCCTAAACTTTACAAGGTTGAGATGTGGGCGGGTGGGTCGGGCGAGAACGTTGCACACTCGCGCGCACCACAACACACGCCTGCGTGGTGGTGCGCGCGGAACGTTTAGCAAACCCTAAACCCTAAACCCTAAGCCCTAAACCCTAAGCCCTAAACCCTAAGCCCTAAACCCTAAACCCGAAACCCTAAACCCTAAACCCTAAGCCCTAAGCCCTAAGCCCTAAGCCCTAAGCCCTAAGCCCTAAGCCCTAAGCCCAAGCCCTAAACCCTAAACCCTAAACCCTACACCCTAAACCCTAAACCCTAAACCCTAAACCCTCAGCCCTAAATCAATGGGCATGGACCTGGAGCTGCCTTTGGCCTGTGCACCTTGCGGAGGCATATGCTCACACGCACCAGCAGCTCCAGCAGCAGATCATCCAGTTACAAACAGAGGTGCTTGCATTTGGTCATAAAGATACCCCAAGCCCTACTACCTCATGAATCCTAGGTGAACGAGCTCAGAACGAAGGGCGACGATGTGAACAGGCCTATCCCCCCCCAGGATTGATGTGGTGTCCCCGAGATGTTTCTCATCGAAGACTTCAGGCAGCAACATCTGACGTACGAGCAGAGCGTCAACAAGGTCTCCGAGGTTTCGAACCCGCGTGGTTTTTTTTGCTTTCCGCCCAAATTTGCCGTGCCGTCCCACAGAACAATTGGGTTTGAGTTACAGATGTTCCTTGTTGTGTCCTATCTGGTCTTTACTGCATGCTTACAGTTGCTGTGCTTGATTCAGTCCCGCTTTCCGTTTGTGGTTCGTAGCTCATGGGGCCTCATGGGGGACTCCACTCAACGATCCTTCTCGCGCCCTTTGGGGGAGCTGGGTGGTGCTTGGCATTGCGAAACCCATGTCCGAACTGGTGGGCTGGACGGCGAGCGGGGCGCATGCACGGCCCGTACGACTCCGTGAGCACCTGTATGGTCCCGCGCGCACCCGGGCCTGGAAAGATCCCATCAGCAATCAGCATCATGCCACGTTCGAAGTGCTCGAGGGTTGATGTAGGCGGCTGGAGCCACAAGCAATTCTCACGGCAGCCACTTAAAGCTGTAGGAATAGCAGCAGCGCAAAGCACATTAACTTGCAAATAATAGAAGCTCTGTTCGCAATGGTCACTCTGTCATGCCTCTCACCGTCGGCATTATGTACTGCCACTGAAATTCATAGACCAAAACTTCTTGGAATGAAGAAGCAAGTCCGGATGGGTTGTTGTCGTCGGAGCATCTGCAACTAGGTCTTCGTCAGTAGCCTGCTCTGACAGGTGGAGATGGCAGCGCAGTATGCCAACAATGAGATGAAAAGGCGTGGCAGTCAGTGTTGCTAGACCTCGCTGCCTGAGTTTGAAGATAGGGGTCAGGAATGCAAGTACAATGACCAGTACGGTGTTCAGTCACTCATCTCGAAAAGGTTCTAGGAATGCCACTTGTCTTCTCGGCCAGGCTTCGCAACGAGCACGATCAGGCCATAGCCAGTCTTGCTGAAAACATGAACAGGCGGGGGATCAACCGGTGTCGGTCATGTTCCAATGTGCTGATGACCACGCAGCTCACCATGGCCTGCAGATGGAACGACACCATCCGAGACCTCTCCAAGGAGTTCCACGACTTTCAAAAGGCCACTTGGCATCCGTTTAGATGGGTCCCGACAGCGCTGAAGACAAAGGAGTCAATTGCAATCTCATAGGCATTCTTACTAATTCTTGCCCTGCGGGGATGGCAGGGCCTGCCCAGGTGGAGTCTTTGTGTCAGTTTTTCTGCGTTGCTGCGTTGGCCAAGTGAGGTCATGAACGTCAACCACCAGCGGCTGCAAAGCTCTGTTTGGGAAGTTCAGGCCAGGATCGACAGTGTGCTCCGATTCTTGCTACCGCGCTGGAACCTCCTAACCCTCAACCTGAAACCCGAAACCCTAAGCCCTAGATCCTAAACACCCTAAACCCTAAGTCCTAAACCCCCATCCATGGGTGCAGGGCAAGCTGGGCCCGGCCCGTCCGGGCCGGTAAGAGATGTGAGAACACGCCGAGCGCACTGAAGCCCTCCGTGGGTTGTTTGCCCACCTGGCTCCCAGCGCTCCAACAAGTAGAGCAAGCTGGATGTGCGGGGTTGATCTAAAGATCCTCCTTTGGGAAAGTATGGGTTTCGTAGGGGATAGTTTTCGGGGTATATTGGGAAGAGGTATTTTGATCAACTACCATGTGTGCGTGCTTAGCGGAGAAGCTGATGACCGGCAGAGCAATTGTTTGTCTTGCGTGTTGCAGGGCCGTCAACGGAACCTGCACAGTTGTACAATGTAATGAAGATGAATTGGGGCTTTCCGAAAATTAGGTTCTAAGGAGGACCCGAATTTCGGAAATTCCCAATTGAGTAATTAAGCGGGAGGCTTACCCCAAGCTTCACTCTGAATGGAACGGAACGGCTTTGTGCAGTGGGTGCTTGTGTCTGCCTGCCCATGGATCTGTCTCATGCTCCCTCTTTCTCTTCCTTCGTCTCTCCTTCTCTCCTTTTCTCCATATCTCTCTTTGTCTCTGTCTCCGTCTAGGGAGCATGTGTGAAGATTTTTGCAATCATGCACGAGTAAGAGGTGGCGTGAGCTACAGGCAGTTTTTATGGTGGGATTCTGGCTTGCAGCTTAGATCAGCATTGCGCATCAAGACGCAATTAGGAGACAGGCTGTGGGGTTGCACAGCCATGAAGCGGCAGCCTCAGCTGTGACATGTGTTGGATTCGCAAAGGGGCACACAGAAAGCTTTGCGAGTGGCAAGCTGGCGGGGGCTTGGGCGCTGAAGCTTGCCCGTGGACCACGGGCAAAATCCCAATCCACCATAATCCACCCCCTGAAGCTGTGCGCCCTGATCTTGAGAAAGAGTTTGTGCAGCTTCACTTTCTTGGGGCCCTGTGGCCCTCAACCCCACAAAGCTGAGTTCCCAGCAATAACCCTGAACTCTAGACTCCCTAGACTCCCTAGACTCCTTCCCTGCGGGCGACCACCCCCCCCCGTCCCCTCTTTCACATCTCACCCAGGGCTACGCCCAGAAGCTTTGCCAACCGCGAGCCGCTCCCATCACCTCGAGCATCTGTGTTGCAGAGAGAGGGTGTTTTGTTAGGGGTATTGTAGGGGGGCTGGAGTTTTGTTAGGGGTATTGGTGTTTGCTTGCCCCGACATGGGCTGCTCACAAACCTCAACTGGGGGCTCGTGACCGAATCGCCTCTATTCTCCCATGCCCCATTCGTTGGCGTTATGGTTTTTGTGTGCCATAAACCCTAAACCCTAAATCCTAAACCCTAAACCCTAAACCCTAGACCCTAAACCCTAAACCCTGAAGCCTGAACCCTGAACCCTGCACCCTGAACCCCGAACCTTGACCCCTAAACCCTAAACCCTACCCCACATGTTGTGGTCCAAGTAGCCCTTGGAGGTTGGGCCAGCATCTGGCAGCATGCGCCCAGCTATGACCACGGCTCTACGGCGAACGGCCGCCATCGGATTTTTGGCAACTTGGCCCAGCTATGCCCAGCTGAAAGGATAAGAAGTTTAGGGTTTAGGGTTTGGGGATAGCAGGGGATAGCTGGATCTGCGTGTGCATTCTCCACAGTGGGTTCGAGAAGCAGAGTTGCACCATAAACTGCTGCATGCTTCTCACCTCTGTTGTGATACATCTAAGGAGGAGAAACTTCATATGCAAGCAGAGCCTTGGATCTTGGGACAAGAGGCAACATGCGACGTTGGGCTTGAGGAGCAGCTGTTTCACAGACTGCTTGCTGTTCCACCAAGGAGACGGATCGGCCGGGGACACGAGAGCTTTTATACAGAGGTGTCAGCGCTGATGGCCACGGTCGCACTGGCCCTAGTTGTTCAGAGATTGAGAGCATTCTTGTACAACGTAGCATCAAGGGCATGCTCCTCTTTGCAGGCAAGGAGTATCTGCGCCGGCGTGCGGGATATGGCATTGCCGAACGATATGGGCAACCGCAGACAGAAGCCCAAGTCATGAGCTTGAGCTGCTAGGCAAGAATACGCAAGATCAGGGGAAGGAGCTGCACTGTGGACCCATCTTTTCAAATGACTGGCAGCTGGTTGACATGTGCGGTCCAGGCTTGAGGATGAATCCTGGGGAGCTACGTCCACCTTCATATGGAAAGAAGCCCATCATCGCAAACACGTTGCTTGGAATGCATCATGTGCCGTCCTACTTGGAGGTACATGGTACTTATCACCCAGTTATCACTGTACTTATAACCCACTTAGAAGCCCCTTAAGTGCCCTAACATGCTTATGATTGGGTTATATGCACAGTCATAATTGGGTCAACAAGTACCATGAACCTCCAAGTAACAAGGCACCCTTGCCTTGAATTGGTGGAACGTCAACAGCGCAAGGTTCTATCGCACACGCGGAGCGGGTGGCTTCAAAGAAGCCACTGCCGACGTGTAGCCCATGTGAGGACGGATCGCAGGAACAGCTGACACTTCTAGTTTACCAGCCTCCGAACTTTGGAGGCTATGAGGGGAGGCGATTTCGCCACGCTTAGTCTCCAGAGCTCGTTTGGAATCATGTTCCAGATTGTCCGTGATCAGCTTCCCTGACAAATCTTTAGCAGTGGCAGATTGTGGAGGGCGCCCGACTCTGCCACTAGCGCTGCCAACCTGGCTTTTTGATTCTGCGGCTCTCGCCGAAGGCAGCACGCAGGACTCGCGTAGGGTTTTGGTAGGTCTGGTTTTCGAAGGTCCTCATAGCTCACTTGCATCCGAAGCTGATGCGAGAACACTCGGAGGGTTTTGGAAGCCTTAAATGCGATTTGGAAAAGGAAAGGTTCTGCAAACGCGCGAGCTTACAGAGAGTTGGGATGGAGTTCATGGCTGTGTTCAAGAGTGCGCCTTTTGCGGAAATGTTGTGATCCAGACAGGTTCTGGAGAGAGTTGAAGCAGCTGAAGCCAGCTTTTGCATGTTTGTTTTTAGGCTTCCCCAAGACACAGAGACCTTGACGCGGAGACCGTCAGACACATTGCGGTTGAGCTTAGACGAACACCTTAAAGGGCAAAATGAGGTGTCCAGCTGTGCTCCCTCATGGACGGCATGGAATGGGCCAGTATTGGAGAATCGACCCTAAAGACCGAGCCCCAAAAGGCCCTAAGCTCTTGGATCCGCTTGAGTCCGTTCGTTTCTCCAGCTTCCCACTTCTGGGGTCACCTCTTCGGGATCTACAGATTTGAGCAGGCCAGTGCTAAACGCAGCACAGGTGCTAAATGCCTAAATGCTATTCTACAGCATCCAGTCAGCCCCCTCATGCAGACATGAAGCCATCCCTGATGCTTTGTAAAACGACAGGGTTTCATCAATTTCAATACTATTCCGAGCGAATAGCCACTGGCCTCGCTGCGATGCGCCGCCGAGGGCCCGCCCTGGAGCTGAACCCTACGCTGCTGGAGGGCGGGGCGCGGGACCTCGTTGAAGAGTTCGGGGATCAGCAGGGCCTTGGCCGGGCCGAAGCAGCGGCCGAGTTGAAGAAGGCCGGCCAGCGTTGGAAGGCCTCGGAAAAGGCCCTGCGTGCCGAGCTCGCGGCCGATCCCGCCGCCGATCCCGAGGCCGCTGCATCAACGCAGAGGCCCGATGAAAAGCCCAAAGACAGCGAGTCGGATTCGGCCACGTGGGCCGAATGGCTCGGAGGGCTTCTCTGCTGCTGCCTGCAGCGTGAAGGCCACTGAGCGGCCGAGCCGCATTGTGAGCGGCACTTGCGGGGTTCGTGGGTTCAGTGTGGATTTGGAAGCACCCCTGCTTTGACTCCTCAGGAGTGGTTGGCTCTTTTTTTCTTGCCTGTAGCGTAGAGTGTCCTAGAGTGTCCTGAAGCCTACAGTTCTTTTCTGTTTCCGAGGCCGCAAGTGGAGTGGCCGGCATCTGCCAAGAAGCGCAGCAAAGCATCTGAGGACCAGATCGAGGGCGGAAGGTTTTGGGTTGAGAGGGGTCAACTCTGGGTGGCTGCTGTAGCTGAGTAGCCTCAGATCCGCCATGAACCAGCGCCCTGCAATCCTACCTGCACGGCCAAAGGACAGACAAGCAAGCTGCACTCACGTTGCTGCGGCCCTCAACCCTGAACGCCCTGAAGCCTGGTTTTGTACTCCCTGACAGGCGTGTGTTGCGGCTGCCGCGCCCGACTTACCACTGCCACGGCACCCGGTGGCGAAACCGGGTCGTGGCCCGCTGGCATAGCAAGTCTCCGCGCACTTCTCCAAGAGCGAAGAAAAGTCTAGGTTGCGGAGAGAGGACTCTCGATGTGATCTTCATCCCAAGTGACCTTCCCGAAGCCCTGAACCCTGCAACGTGGAAAAACCTAAAGCCAGAAGCTTCTCGCCATCCTTCTTTCTACTCTCTTGCGACCTTTATTCGGCGCGGTGGCTGCAGCGGTGAGGTTTGTGGGGTTAAGCTTTTCCCAGGTTGTCCCGTTGTTATCCCTAAACCCCAGTTAAAGAAAAGTCAAGCCGGGCAGAAAACACCCTTAAACCATGCAGCCCGACCTCTGGACCCCCATGTCCCAAATCGAACGCGCTCCCTAAACCCTCAGTTCACACCCTGCGCCACGAATTGAGGCTTTTCTGAGGGACAGCAAGCTCCTGATCTGCGCTCCGCGATGCCTGCCTGGCTGCGCAGATTGCCGCCGCGCTTGGCATCGATCGCAGGCCTTGTACCTGAAGCCTTGGTAGTTCTGCTTGAGCCTCGAACACCAGCAAAGGTTCAATTTTGACACAATAGAAGATGCACTTGGAAGGGTTTAGCCCCCAGGTGTACACCCTGGTCTTGGTTGCTTCGGGTTCCCCCCCCCCCCCCCTTTTTCCGGGGTTCCGGCTTGAGACGTGTGAAGTGCGAGGTGTCCTGGGGACGGTTCAGGCTTCAGCGATTTCTTGCGGCATCCTCTAGACGAAGCGACGAACCCAAAGCCGTGAAATTCCTTGAAGCCCTGAACCTCGAGCGTGCTCAGGCGACGTTGCAGCGCTCTACTCTATGGCGCGCTGTCGTCCGGACCTCACTGCATCCCGGGACGATAGATGTCCTGTGAGTGTATGCGGCCAACGCCATCGAGTCTGACTTGGGATTTGGCGACCCTATAAACTTTCCGGTCAATCCTAACAATCCATCGAACAATCCCCCTGAAGCTAGACTCCAAGCTGCCGGGCGCAAACCCCAAGCAGATGTGTTTCAGCAAAATGCACACACATCGATTCCTCCCCGACAGGCAAAAAAAACAGGCGAGCTATCCGGGCTGCGGAAGTTATATCCGAGTATTTTTGAGAAAGGGCTTAGTTCTGGGTAGCATTAGGGTCGTAGGCCAGTGACTAAGGGCTGCTGTCAAGCAACCCTCTGATCCAACTCTGCTGTGTCTGGCACTCCCCACCTCTGATTCTTGAGCAAAGGGGGGGGGAAGCGGGAAGCATGGCCGCTAGCTCAGCTCAGGGCTCCGCGTAGTGCAGGTGCAGAGGGGTACTTCAGTATCCGTTCGGCGAGGATGCAAGGTTTGTATAAAACGATGGGGATTGCGTCGGATTGCTCATCATTCCGAGCGACGTCGCTGCGATGCGCCGCCGAAGGCCCGCCCTGGAGCTGAACCTGAAAGGTGGGGCGTGGGACCTCGTCGAAGAATTTGGCCCTGCGTGCCGAGCTCACGGCCGATCCCGCTGCCGATCTCGAGGCCGCTGCTTCAGCGGAGAGACCCGATGAAGAGCCCAAAGACAAGGAGTCGGATTCCGCCACGTGGGCCGAGAATGGCTCAGAGTGCTTCTCTGCTGCTGCCTGCAGCGTGAAGGCCACTGAGCGGCCGAGCTGCGTTGCAAGCCGCACTCCTGGGTGGGGTAGTAGTACTGTAGTACTAGTAGTACTAGGAGTACTAGTAGTACTAGTAGTACTAGTAGTACTAGTAGTACTACTAGTACTAGTAGTACTAGTAGTACTAGTAGTACTAGTAGTCCTAGTAGTACTAGTAGTCCTAGTAGTACTAGTAGTACTAGAGTAGCACGAGAAGTAGTACTTGTAGTAGTACTAGTTGTAGTCCTAGTCGTAGTCCTAGTAGTAGTACTCGTAGTCACCACCCCGCACCACCACCCACACCCCCGCAAAACGTCCCTCGGAAGGTTGAAGATTGGTGGTGGGGTCTGGGGAAAGATGGGGTAGGGTGGTGCCGCCAGAGAATGAGAACTCCCTCAAAAGGAGAACTGTCCGTGTGCTGACTGTGCTTCCAACACAAGTTTGTAAATCGTGAAAGGCCCTGCGCCCGCACGTGTTGTGCTTCTGTGCGAGACAGGGCAAGGGCCATTATTACTCGGAACACACAGCACACGATGTTTGGGCCTGATGCAAAAACCAGGTTGCGTATGCGTTGTCAGTGTTTGTCAGTTTGTCTCTGCTGTTTTTGGCTGGGCCGGGAAAGATTAGTCAAATTTCTCCATGTTGCTCCTTCGTGTACAGCGGTCGACGTGACACGCATTCTTCGCTGCGGGTTGCCGACATGGAGAATGCCGACGAACCCGTCCCGGACGATCACTGTGCCCCCGGGGTCGAGGGCACCCGAAGGGGCAGGACAGTATCCTGAGGGTTGATGGGTGCTTTTCAGAGGTCTGCACGTTTGAAAAGGATTCTGGTGAGACTGTCCGCAAGAGAATGGATAGGGCTGGAATGAAAAAGTACGGGACCCATGTCATGTTGAAGTTCTGCATGTCATCCATGACCTGCTAAGGCATGGAACCACACCAAGCCGAAACGTAGGTCCATGTTTGGCGCATGTTTTCCGAGGTTTGCTGTGGATCACGTGGGTGTACAGCGTAGCTTAAAAAGGCATATTATGGTAAGTCACACAGTTGCGTTGGCGTTCTATCCTGCTGTTCGTCACTTGTTTTGCCCAGATCCCGCACGAGAACCTCTAATCCTAGACTGTTGCGTTCGAGATCGACCACTGTGCGGGGGCATCTGATGAGAATTGGCACTGTGGTAATTCGACTCTCGCTTGCAGGACGGAGAGCGAAAGCACGGTGAAGAAGGTCAAAACGAGCATTTCCATCCGCCACTGGGAAACTGAGCTGCGGGAAGTGGCCGAACAGTTCGACGAGGACTGCTGTTCTGAAGGGTTTAGGGTGCGGAGCTGCAATTGGTATTGTAGAAAGGAGTTAGTGTTGAGGGTTGGAAGGGTCAATGAACCCGGAAATCTTATTTGGCTCAAGATGGCCAAGAGCCGTCAGCTTTTGTTGAAAAAGTACGTACGCCTGGGGTTGGGTTTAACGGGTTGGAGTAGTCCCGTCCCTTCTCCCTTATCCTGTCCCCTTAGGGGTGGGTGTTCTTGTTTCTGGTTCGATCTGGGAAATCCATATAGGCGACTGCTGAGGGTTGGTTTCTTTCCCTGTTCCCTTTCGGTTGCCCCCGTAGGTTATGAGCCCAAATTAGGTTCCCTGCGGTTGAGTGTTGTCTTAAGATCTTTGGGATCAAGAAGCAATGCCTTCTCCTAAGCGATGGCTCCAACCTTCCTCGGATGGTGGACAGAATGGTGGAGCTGGAAATGGTGCAGCTGAGTCTCTGGGTGAAAGAGCGGTGCTGGAAGAGGTGATTCCCGGCGCTGAAGAACATCTGGAAGAAGCCTTGGTTGCGGAAAGCCCCAATGTGGGTATGAATCCCAATGTGGATATGGTTAGCAATGCTGAAGCTGAAGGACGTGCTGTCTCTGTATCGCCAAAGCCTGGTGAAAAAAGGAACTGGGACGCGACTGGTGGTATAGATCGTGAAATGGAGGTGACTGTTTTACGAGTGTTGCAAAAACACGGGTATCAGCCGTCGACTTCGACTTCGGGTCGAATGGTAGACCAAGGGTCTCAGACCGATCTGATTGGAGAAGTGCTGCAAGCGGCCAGGAGGCCTCTGAACAAGATTAAAGGGGATCCATCTTCGAGTTCCCAAGGTGGTGGAAGCGGTTACGAACAGAAGGGTGCGGACAGCTTTGAAGCTGCACCAGCTGCTGAATACGCCATGGGGGAGGAGGAGATCCTACAGATGGAGGCTGAAAGGTTGCAACAGTTGTCAGAAGAAGAGGATGAGATGCGTCAGGTCTCTGAAAGGGATGGTTTTCGGAAAGATGAGCATCTGATCCAAGCGTGTGCTGCAGAAGAGCGAGTGGTGGATGTGGTACCTGTCGTTCAGGAAGGTGGTCCTGGAGATTCGGAAGACGGAGGGAAAAAGTTGTGTGTTGCGACTGAGGAAGTCTCTTCGTTTGGTGCCAAGAATCCTGCCATTCAAGGGGAAAAAGAAGCTTCTGGAATAGCTGGAGACACGGAAGATCTGAAAGATGAGGCCTGGAGCGCCAATGATGCGCGGGTCAATGCGCCAGATAGTACCTGGAGTGCGAAGGAAGCACGGGTTGAGGTGCATATGGTGTCACGTTCCACGGGCGACTGCAACAATGGGGCGCAGGTCTCCGCAGCAGCTGATGATGGAGGTTCACAGGTGGACGCACTGGTGCAACCTGAAGTTAGCCGCGAGGAACGAAATGACAAGGGCTACACCGGAGCCGATGAGGCAGCTGTGGTCAATGATGGTGGCAATTCTCCTTTGGAAACCATGGAACCAAAGGAGCCTGCGGTGGAAGAAAGTGTGCCTGCCGTGGATGATCAACTCAATCGCCCTGCAGTGGAAGAAAATGTGCCTGCTGCAGAAGGTGTGACAAAGGACTCCAATGATGGGTCCACTCCCATGAAGGGAGAAGTGTTGCCGTCTGGAAGTTCGCCGGAAGTCGACACCGGGCGAACTGCAGCAGATGAGGCAAAGCCTTTGGCGGAAAAAAAGGGAGGTCCTGAAATCCAGGAGCACAAAGGAGATGAGCCTGTGGGACTCGTGGAGCAGGACGAGCAGTGTGACCCAAAGGTGAAGACAAAGGATGCGTCAGGAGCCGATGATACAGAGGTGGTTTCTGAAGAGCATGCAAAGAAAGTGCCCCGAGCGGGAGCCTTGGAATCACCTGGGAAACATTGCTATCAAGAGGGAGATGAGATCATGGGTCTAGTGCGCTGCATCAATGGGTATGGAGCCTTTTTGGACCATGGTGATTTGAATGTATTGGTTCCTGCAGAAGGGAACAATACATGTCAGTTCAGATTTGGTGATACTGTCAATGGAACAGTGAAACGAGTGGAAGATGATGGTACCATAATCTTGGACACCTTTCTGGTTTGGGAAGAGGACGTGGAGGACTCTTCCTCGACGCTGCGTAAATGGAAACCCAGCGACTGGAGTACGTGGTGGACGGATTCATGGTATGCTGGTCAATGGTACCAAGATTCCAACGGTCAATGGGACTGGAAACAGGAGGAAGAGCAATCCGATGAAGGGCTTGCGGTACAGGAGTTACCCGCAGAAGAACGAGAGGAAAGGCAACTTTATGGAGAAAAGATCTACAAAGCTCTTCTGGAGAATGGAAACGAAGATGAGGCCTATGTTGGAAAAATTACTGGGATGCTGTTGGGTCGCCCAATGGAAGAGCTACAGGAGTGTGTTGCAGATCATGCATTCCTCAATGCGGAAGCTCGGCGCGCGTATGGCGTCTTGCAAAATGATGGTTGGAAGCCTGATGGTACAGAAAGCACAGGCTTGGGAAAGTTAACCACTTTTTCCCGAAAACAGTACCACAACGCGCTTTTCGAACTGGCATGCAGAAAAAGGAGATTTACTCGACCAGTTGTGGGTGAAGCGGTGGCAACGGTGCTGAATCAAGGGGAAGATGAGTTTTGGAACGCGCTTTGGTTGGACACCAAGCTATTTTTGCAGGAGCTTGATGGTGCAGTGCAATCCATGAGCAAAAGGGAGAACAAGCCAATGGAAGCCTACATGGACCCTGACCAGTACAAAAAGGCTCACATGACTCCACAGACTGTGTCACCTGGATACAGCAAACTGTGCAAGTTCTTCAATAAGGGAAGGTGTCGCAATGGTGATGGTTGTCCCTATGAGCATCGTCGTTATGGTGAAGGTTGGCCAGAAGGGGGGTCAACTGATCCAAAGAACAGCCAAGAAGCTGAAGATGAGGATGGGAACATCGGTGACCCTCCCACAGAGGAAGGTACAGTGGATGAGGCACAGCAGGAGCGGGAGGATTTAGCCTTCCGGGCCAAGTACAATTTTGGCAAAGGTGCATCAAAGGGTGAACCTACGTCGGGTGAGCCAAAAGGTCGTCTGTGTCTGTATTACAATCAAGGTGGTTGTAAATATGGGACTACATGCAGGTATCTTCACAACGATGACATAGCATTGGAAGGGACTTGGGAGCCCGGCAAATCTTGGGACAATGCTTCCAGGAAGGCACTAAGGGACGCAGGGTTCCACCATTGCTGTTTCGATTATTACCTCAGAGGACGTTGCCGGAAAGGGTCAAATTTCTGCAAGTACTCCCACGACGAGATGTCAGATGAGCGGCTGACGCTCCTGAAACACTTGGTACAGGTGGCCAATCAGGTCCGGTTTGAAAAGGAGAGAGGATGGGAGATTTCGGACAGAAGCACTTTTCAGCCACCTGCGAGTGGGGGAGCTGAATCTTCCTCATCCTCGGCACCAAAAGCGCTGCAAATGACCAATGTGTCACAAAAAGAAGGTGAAAAGGTATTCTGGATGAAGCAGAAGCTGATGAACAAAAGAATTCGGTGGCTGAATCCACTGGTACTCGGCTTCAAAATCCGGAGGAGCCAATTGAAAATTGGATGGCTCGCAACGAACACCTGTGGGTGTATACCCCTCATGTAAGTGAGGTGATGATTACACTTGGTGTGACCAATGTGTCGGACTTGCAAGAGTTCATCTTTGTGGAAGATTTGGTTGACAAAGGGATCAACAAAGTGACCGCATGCAAAATTCTGCAATTGGTTGGTGGTGTCCGATATCGTCCGGGAGGACCGGAAAAAGCAGTTCCTTCCGATGCATCTGTACGGGTACAACGATCTTCTGGGAGCAAAGGAACTGGAAGAGCAGCGGTGCGAACCCTCACTCAGGTGCGTGAAGCTGAAGACTCCGGTGCAAAAACCATGCCGAGAGGCTCCTATCGGGAGCTTTTTGATAAGGTCAGGTACCGTGATGCTTGGACGCTTGCGCAGAGGTCTCCGCTGTGCGTACAGAAGCTGCAGTTGGTGGGAGTTGGAATGCCGCCGGTGAACCCGCCAACAAAAAAGTATCGGTCAAGATCAAACCCTGTGAGAAGGGGAAGGCCCTTGCTGGACAAAAAACAGGTGCGACAGGTGCCACGCTCTCGGTCACAACGACGAGTGCAACCGGCGGAAGTGGTGGAAAAGCCGAAGCCACTGGAACTGAAGCCTCGTGGTGGGTTGTCGTATCGGTTCAGCAGAGCGTGGGCAGATGTGGTGGATGATGATGAACAGGCGGAGGCTTTGGTCTCGTATGCCGCTTCCTCAAGCGATTCAAGCGAGGAGGAGACCAATGCCGCGCAACGCCTGAAGGAAATCTTCTTGCAAGAAAGGGATTCACAGAGAACTGCGATTCGTGGCAATGTTCCGCAGGGTGGTTCTTCAGGCCCCAATGACGGGCCGAAAAAATCGGTTCACCTTGGCGAAGGGCGCGACAAAGCGTCGCGGGGGGAGACCCGCCAAGAAGTGACTTCACAAGTTTTTTCGCTACCACAACCTTCTCGTCGAACTGAACAGTCTCAAAAAAGAGCAAGGGATGGTTCAGTTATGGTTGGTTCGCTGGCGGTGGGCTCCACGGAGGAGGTTTTACCTGGGCAAGGTGTTGCTGGACAGGTGAATGTATCTGAAAGCGCTCAAGTTCTTCCTGGGCAAGAAGTGGCTGGACAGGAGACGGCGCTGGAAGGAGCAGTGCAAATTTCTGGCGAGGAGACTGACCAAAAAGAAGGAGAAGGTGGGAGCAATGAACTCCGTGGTGATGGTGCGAAGATATTGGATGTTTGTCCGGTGAAGAATGACCTTCAGCAATTGCTGGTTAAAGGTCTCCTGACTCGGATTTATTGGAAGGTTGCTGTTGGCAAGTTGCCTGTGGGGCAAAGAGACTGCCAAAAGGGGTCCAATAAGATGGATCGAAATTTGGTTATTAGCATGTCATCCGAGGGCGCAAGCGAACAGGATGAGAACCTGGCACTGGAGGACGATGCTGATCAGTCAATGGGTGACGGTGCGATGGTGGTTATGGTGTATGATCCAAGAACGCTGATTCAGTCGCCAACAACTGATTGGGTTATGCGTCGCGGTCTGACCGATCGTTCCGTCTGGCCAGCAATGGCGTCCATGGCACAGAGGATATGTGCTGAAATGGTTCAAGTGGATGAAATGAATGCCCAGCTAGGGACTGGAGCACTCCTTTTTCAAAGGAGAGATCAAGGACATTATTGTGACCTGCGTCATTCGTTCCATGACAACCCGTGCTTGCCGGCGGTGGGAAATTATCCTCTTTCGGTGATGGGTGCATTGTTGTCTCCTGGTCTGGAAGGGGAATTCAAAAACACTGACAAGTTTGGAACTGCTATGGAGGCAATTGCCTATGATTGGAGTCGCAGTCCAGGCATGGAAGTTCACATTGAACTTATGGCGAGGGTAGCCAAATTGGTTCACCCGTTCCTGAACCTCGGAGCCCAGGGGTCGGTGATGGTTTCGGAATTTCTCTGGCAGCGCGGGAGGGCCCGGTTGATGGAGTTCCTTCAGGCGGCGACTTGTGCGGATCAATTGGAGGCTCTCTGGAAAAGGATGGACGACGATGCTGATGAAGAGGTGGATCCTTCGACAGCGGTGCTGGAAGTTCTTGGACCAGAGGATGCGGTACTTGATCAAGGGAACAATGAATCCCTTATTCCCATTGAAGATGCTGGAGGTGAGATAAGTGGTGACACTGGAGGGGATGGCAAAGCGCCAGAAGTTTCTCCGGAAGAGGAGACATCCAGTGGGTCATCAAGACTGGCGGACACAAGGATTTTCTTGTGGTCAGTGTACTCCCGCGTGGCTTCTAATTTCTCTATGCAGGACCGCACTACTGGTAAGATCTTTGACAGCACCAAAGGGTATCCTGGTGAAGGACCAAGCAATGATGACAATCCTTCCTCTAAGAGGAACTTACCCTGGATCTCGGAAGACTACCTCGACGAAGTGGTGTCAAAAAAGATGGAAAGGTCTTCAGATATGGATGGGTTTGTTCCGGGAAGTGAGGGACCATTGGAAAAGGTAGAGGTGGAGAATGTTACTGCCTCTAAAATTCTTATGGCTCTTTGGAAGAAGGGATATAGAGCTGGGTATAGGAGGTTGTGTCGTTTGAACGCATCTGGATGCAAGGTTGGAGCAATGAAATGTCCAATCAAAAGGGTGCAGAAGATTGGCACTAGAAAGGCCTTCACGAAGATGTTCAATGTTTTTGGATCGTCTCAGCATGGCTCAGGAGCTGGCGGAAAACCAATCATGAAGGTGGTAGGACCAAGGCCAGGTTTTCCAGCTGTACTCCAAGCATCAAATACTGATAGCACGTCGGGTGAAGGGAGCAGTTCCCAGGTACATGGCAATGTTCATGTAGAGCAGAATCGCCCTATGGACCGGTACGAGGCAGAGCGCTTGGAGAAGAGGAAGAAAGGCTTCTGCTATTGGTTCGGCAAGGGGAAAGATCGCTGCAAATTTGGTGAAGACTGCAAATTCATCCATTCAGAAGATGATGTGGTGCTACATTCGTATTGGTGCAAATACTATGTGGCAGGGAGAGACTGTTTCGCTGGAAAGGATTGTGGGTTCTCGCATGATGCAACTGGTGTGAGGTGCATCCAGTTTGCTCGGTCTGGGAAGTGTCGTTATGGTGACAGGTGTGTCTTCGAGCATGGTGTTCCGCTGGATGAACAGAGGCCAAGGTCTCCAAGGACGCCCCCAAGGGATGGTCCAAGGAGAAGTTCTGGTGCAAATGGTGGTGAAAAGGAGATCTCTCCTGAACAGTTCGATGATGGTGAGGAGGATTTTATGGTTTATGACGATGATACCAAAATGACGGAACTGTTGATGGAGGCGATTTCATTTCTGTCCAATGGCAAGCCAGATTTGGCTCGAGCAGAGGCGGACCCATTGTTCAAACTCCTGAAGTTCACTGGAGATACTGACCAAATGGATCAAGAATGGGTTTCGTGGACCACTGGTATGTTGACCGTGCTGGAACTTCTCGAAGTAGTGAAGTCGTATGAGGTTTCGCTCGCGGAGGTGGAAGAATGGGTCAATGACCTGAGGATATGGTACGAGCGAGCCAATTTGGGAGAAGAGAAAGATTCCAAAAGAGGCAAAAAGAGGTCCCTAGAAAGGGAGTCCAGCAAGGATATTCCTGCCGAAAAAGAAGTGGTTGAGACTTCGGAGACGGAGGTTGCCGTTGAGGAGGAGAAGAAAAAGGTAAAAAAGAAGAGGAAAGCTGCAGCTATCGAAGATCCTTACACTCTCATGGTTCCAAAGCCGAAGAAGATGCCGACGATCATTGAGAAGGGTGGATCATCATCCAATGTGGTGGTCTCTGCAGTGGAAAAAGCCTCGAAAACGCGCACAAAGTCAAATGTCGGTGGAAAGACAAAGAAGAAGGAGAAAAGTCAGAGTCCCAAAAAGGAAGAGGTGGTAATGGTGCAAGGTCCTGAGGAAAAGGATCGTCCATCTGATGCGGATGCACCAGTGTCTACCACTGTGAATGCAGAGCTAGGTCAATCTTGCCAAGCGATTGAGGACGCAAAGAGAGAAGGATTGGTATCCTCAATTCAAAGGTGCGTACAGGATCCTGTTCTTACAGTTTCGGACCTGGAGTATATTCTGCTGCAACTTCACCTCAAAATTGCCAACAATCGGAAAAAGAAGTGATTGGATGGTATGGATGAAGGGATGGTTTTTCTCTTTCTGGAGACAAGTGCGCTGGAACAGCCAATGTGCTGACAATGTGGTGGGGGGGTACTATTAAGGGTATGGAAATCCCTGATAGTAGAAGTCAGTAGCTTTTCGCGTAGCAAAGACCACGGTTTGTGGTGAAGAAGGCCAAGGAGTCTTCAATGATAAGAGGATCATGGTGAAAAGAGATTCTCTGTGGTTAGTGGGTTAGCCAATGTGCTATAATTTCGTCCTGGATGACGTTAAACCATATTGTGCATTTCAAGCAGCTGGCTGCTGCCTTAATAGCAGTTTTTGGCCAAAATATCTGCACCTCCAAGGTGTCCTAGGAAATCCTAGGACAGGGGGAGTGCGGAGCTGCAATTGGTATTGTAGAAAGGAGTTAGTGTTGAGGGTTGGAAGGGTCAATGAACCCGGAAATCTTATTTGGCTCAAGATGGCCAAGAGCCGTCAGCTTTTGTTGAAAAAGTACGTACGCCTGGGGTTGGGTTTAACGGGTTGGAGTAGTCCCGTCCCTTCTCCCTTATCCTGTCCCCTTAGGGGTGGGTGTTCTTGTTTCTGGTTCGATCTGGGAAATCCATATAGGCGACTGCTGAGGGTTGGTTTCTTTCCCTGTTCCCTTTCGGTTGCCCCCGTATAGGGTTTAGGGTTCAGGGTTTAGGTTCAGACTCTTGGTGCAATGGATTCTCCATCGCTGCACAGGACGGCTCCCAGACACTTAGCTCCGCAGAGCTGAAGGCCGCCTTGCGCCAGTACATGGAGCTCAAGAAGAGCGCCGCGCAAGGGATGATCGACTACACCAACCTCCCGCCGGAGGCACTTTGCGCAACTTCTTCTTCATCCGATGCTTTTTTCGAAGCTTTCTGCTGTCTGGTAGTGTCTGGTAGTGTGTCGAGTTGCTGAGCAGAAGAGATAAAAGTCCCTGGTAACACGCTGTCCGACAGGTGGCCACTGCACTCAAGGACCGAGCGGGACGGTGACAGTCAGCCCTGGGGTTTTGGTTTCGGGGGGCTGTGGAGGTTTAAGGGTTTTATGTTATCATATCCGTAAGCTGTTTGGGGCTATGCCCTGGGCAATCTGCAAAGCCAACTTGCCCTTATCAGGAGTTTGACCACGCGCAGGATGGCAAGGTCACCGGCTAAGTTGTTGAAATTACGAGTTCGGGTCATACTTGTACATGCCGTATAAGGGGGGGAGTTGATGCAAGAAGCCTTGTAACAGCATGGGCCAAGTCCAACGTTTGAACCTGTTCGTGCACGGGCGACCAGTTCAAATCCAGAGGCTTGAGTTTCGCCGCATGGTTGACCGTACATACCGGCGGACATACCGCCTAAGCCTAGGGACCTAGCCGAGAAGCACGCGCTCGGATGTCATTTTCCAGTAGTCCAGGTCACGTCTGTCGAGCTGGTGCGGGCTGCAGCAGAGTCCCGTCAGATCCGGAGCCAGAATGCATTCTTCCGCAAGGCAGATCCATGTCGGCTTCGTTGACGAGTCCCAAGCACAAACCAACTTGAAAGTATGTTTTCGCGCATGCAAGACAGGCTCTGATCACCCTGTTGACTCTCAGCTGCACTGGGCCTGCTTCGAAATGCTGCATTGCACTTTCTGTGCGGAAGGCCCGCGCAGGTCCTAAGCTGGGGGTGACTTGTGTGGAATCAAGAGTAACTCCAGTGCGAGAAAAAAACGCTCACCGCCTGGCACCGCCAGGACATCAGCACAAAATCCTGTTCTCCCGAGCACTTGTGCTGAGGTTTGCTGTGGTGATCTTGCTCATCGGCGTCTTTGCATTGACCTTCGTGGCCATTGACCTTTCAAAGGCGACTGGTGGTGGGGTATGGTGGGGTCCACGGAAGGGATCGTGCATGCGTGCTAGGTTTGCGGGCTCTTGGGGGCTCTTCCTGAAGTGAAGGCCCGAAGAGTCCAACTGCCCGCAGTGCTTTCTTAAGTCCTTGGCTCTTGCGCCTAGAGCCGTATCATGCGCTTGAAGGCCTTTCTTCAGGCTGCGTAGTGGGCGAGTCGCACTCCCAACAGACACTGGCCTCCTGCTTCCCTAGTCCCGTGCCTCGGTTCTGCCTTGGGGGTTCGGGAGGTTTCTTGCAGGTTGGGGGGTCTTCCAGGAGACCCGAAGCTTGGAGAATGGGGTCCTCACGGCTGCCTCCAATGGGCAACGACGCTTGTCCAATAACACCCGGAGCATGCTGGAGTTTAGGCACTGCCTGTAAACATGTACCAGACACGATGGCTAAGGAACCCTGGTTGATTCGGCCTCCTTTGAGGTTTTACCCGATGGCCGTATGGTCGTGCGTGATTTGGACCAGGCCGGGCACGATGCCGTTTGGGCTCCTCTGCAGTGTGTTTTCATAGGCCGAGGTCTGACGTATAATTCACGAGCACCTGCACGATCGATTGCAGATTTTGAGGACGGCCGTCGCTTGCAGAATGGATCTGCTGAAGCGGCATCGTCGGGCGAGGATGTTTTGATCACCGGTGCTGCTCCAGCCAAGGCGGACTTCTGCAGGAGATGCTTGACTGCGGGTCTCAGTCCGTGTTTCAACAGATGCCTGCAAGGCTCGCGCCCTGACTTCAGTGGTTCCTGACCAGTATCTTTCCGAGATGAAGAAGGTCAGGCTCGAACTCGGCGCCGATGGAGCCACCTTGGAGCTCGACGTGCGGCTTCGACTGAATTAGTATGCTTGGTGCAACCGAGGAACCCTAAACCCTAAACCCTAAAATTAAATCCTAAACCCTGAACCCTAAACCCTAAACCCTAAACCCTAAACCCCAAACCCTAAACCCTAAACCCCAAACCCTAAACCCTAAACCCTAAACCCTAAGTCGAAGTCAAGCCTTGTCCTGCTTGGTGTCTTGGTGGTACGGGGGATGTCGAAGGCATGCCCCAGTCAAGGCTGCACTACGTGCGAAAGCTCGATGCTGGGAGCCAGTGTGGGAGCGTGGTCCACTTGCAGACTGAGTGGGGTGTTCTCATTCTGGATGACACCGACATCTACCTGGCTTCTTGAATGCTTCAGCAGAATATTTCCGATGCCACGGCAAGCATCCAAGTTGTAGGACAAGCCCTGTGATCTGAAGGACCTCAGCTTGAAGAGGAAAGCTGAAGAGGAACTGGACATGAGCCTGGAAGGCCTGGAGGGTGACTTCTCCGCCTCCAGCTTCCGGCGCCTCTCGGCGGGTTCGAGCATCGCCGCCTGGCTCAAACAGTGCATGAAGCCAGCATAGCGGCGTCGCGGCGTAGCGCTTTGCTTTTCGGCTGGACTCGTGTGACTGCGCAGGTCGGCTTGTTCAACTTCATCATGGACTACGAGTGGTCGTGCGACAGCACAGCAAAGCCGCTTGAACAGCTTCAGCCCCCCTACAGCTTCACCATTCGGACATTGGTCTGGTGCGGATCCTACTGCAACTCCGAGTTTATCAGCGGCTCGTCCCTGCCGGGCTTTGCCACAGACCTTGCCACGAGTGAGTACGAGTACGTGGCACAGACCGAGCGAGTGATAGCCTCCGACACAGAGATGGTCTCCATACAGCAATGGCCTAACTTGCCTGGTGTCGAGATTTCCAAACATGTGAACATCCAGACCGGGCTCGCGCAGGTTGTGAAAACCTTCACGTCAAAGATGCTGAGTTGCAGCAGCGAGGTGACGCGGGGCCAAAAACGGTTGATCTGCGGACATGCTCTAACACCCCAAGATACAGTATTCATATTATATTATAATATAAAATATTATATTATATTATATTATATTATATTATATTATATAATATTATATAATATTATATAATATTATATAATATTATATAATATTATATAGTATTGTATTATATTGCATTATAGTTGAAGAATCACGAGCTTCCTTCCTGTAAAGTGATGTATGTATAGTCATGTTATGCAGATCAGGATGGCTTACCTTCTGACCTTTGGCTCAAGATGAAAAAGGGCCGCTCTGAGAGCGGGTTGTACGTAGGGTCGAGGGCTGTGTTGATCCCCAACCCTTTGTGGTTCTCCCTCTTGTTGCCTTGTTCCCTTAGCTCAGGCATCAGAGTTTTGAGTCTTTCAACTGGTTATCAGGTCCGTATTGCTTTCATAGCTAAGACCCTAAGTGTAGCTGCCTGAGAATGGATGGACAGTGAGCAAGAAGGTGCTTTTGAGCCCCGAGGCATCCGGAGCGGCTCCAGTCTCGAGTGAAGGTGCAAGCGCTCCTGCGAGGTGGCTCAGGCGCGTGCAGTCCTTGCTTTTGATTTTCACGGAGTCCTTGACCGTGATATTCGTCAGAGCACAAATTGGCGCGACGATTGCCCAGAGTATCCGGACCGCAACATTCGCTTTTTGCAGAGGTTGAGTCAGATTACGGAGAGCAGGCAGATATTGGTGGTGGTGCTTTCTTATTGCCGTCATTCTGACACAGTAGCTCAAGTTCTCGGCACGAGTTGCAACAGCACTGATCGGCTCATCCGTGAAGCAGGAGTTTCAGTCCTCTCGCTACTTTTTATCACCCGCAAGCCCACGGGTGAATCAGGAAAGCGGGCGCTGCTGGAGAAGGTCTTTGATATTGCTCGTTGTCCCATTGCCATTGTTGACGACAGTGCAGAAGTTGTGGACGAGTGTGCCGGAGCATCATTCATCACTCCGTTCCACATTTCTTTGGCTAAGCGCGGAACGCGAGTTTATCCTCGATCTACGGTGCCCAGTTTTTCTGGTCTGATTGAAGCAGAAGAGTCGCTTTGCAACTGGTGTATCAACTCTGTTCCGAATTCCGAGGAGTGAACGGAGTGCCTGTCCTTGAAGGATAGTTCGGCGAATTTTCGCCACATCCTTCCACTGTTGCACCAGTGAACGCCGTGAGCCTCGCCTCTTCCGCCAAAAGAAAGGGTGCGGTGAGCTGCTGCTAACCGCTTCCACCTCCCACAGCAATGTCTTCTCCTTCTGACCCTAGCAATCAAGCCAGCTCGGTGCTTGATTTGTCAAGTGCTTCAGCCACGGCATTGCCAGGTGGTGTTGGTTCGGATAGTGGTTCGGTTGCTAGTAGTTCAGCAGTTGAGGTCCGTGAAAGGTCCCCTCCTCTGACTAGACAAGCCTTGTCTAGACCTCGCAAAACTCATGAGCACTCAAGCCCTTACCCTAATCTAACCGCTCAAGCCTCATACACACAGAACATCCTGAATGTTGGAGCCTCTCCGCAAGAGGTTTTGGATGCACAGCGTTTAGCCGCAGCGCAAGCAGCGCAACATGTTGCTGATCATGCTGAACAGTTGCATGCCACAAGGCTAGAGCGTGTTGAGAATGAGGCTAGAGGTTTGGTTGAATCCACCGTTGAGCAAATGCGTGAGCAGTTGCAACAGTACGAACATCGCTATGATGAGATCCTTCAACAGGGTCGAATCTTGGAAGAACAGCTCTCTGTAGCTAAGGCCGAGCTAAGCAAGGCCGAAGCAGAACTTCAGGTCGCTCGTGCAGGGTACCAAGAGCTTGAAGCCGCCCTAACCAGCTGCCGGGGTGACAACAACTTGCTGAACTCCCAAAACACCCAGCTACGTGTCGAGTTGCAAGTCAAAGACCGCGAGATTCAGAGACTTCGCCAGGCTGCTGCAAGCGCCACGAGTCCTGGGTCTTCGCCTCCAACGTCTGCTCCTCACCAGCCAGATAAGCCGCCGGTACTTGCGTCAAGTGCATGCTCTGGTGGGTTTAGTTGGGTACATAACGGTTCTAATGAGGATAGTAGTGGTGCACCTTCATTGCCGCAAGTTGTCAATGAGTCAGCCCCTTGCCCTCCTGCGACCGTCCCTCCTGCGACCGTTACCGATCCTCGTGTTGATCAGTTGATTGATGTCGTACAGCAACTGCTTGCCCAAAGAAATGGCACGGATCCAGGATGCAATGATGCATCTCCTGTTCATGAGATCGAAGAGCCTGAAAGGCAAGAGAAGCACATTGTTGACAGCCGAGCTTTGTTACATCTCAAGCTTGAGCCGGTTCCTTCCGACGCTGCTGGTTTCCGAGCCTGGAAAAACTCGTTGTTGGTCCAGATTGCCAAGCTTGACATGTCAGGCGAAGGTTTGGTTGTTGCATGGTTGTCTCGGTCTTTCACAGCTGAAAAAGAAGAGCTTACTGAATCAGGTCTTCTTCCTCGCCTTGATGCTTGGATTGCTGGAGAGATGACTTCCATGCGTGTGTTGAAGCAAGTGACTGAGTTGGCGCAAGAAGTTATCGCCTACGTTGAGTTGTGTGGCCAGACAGGGTCCCAGCCGAAAGGTCGATACATGCTTGCTCTTCTTGCTCGTCATTTCAGCATTGACCGCGTTCGAGGCACTGTGCTGACTGCTTCAACGTTGTTCCAGGTCGAAATTGGAGGAAACTCCATTCGAGATCTCCGGGATTTTGTGCAGCGCGTTCGGACTGTTCTGTATTCAATCCCAATAGGACAGAGGCCGGATGATCGCCTCACTGGCGAATGGCTCTTCCACCGTGTGAAGCACATTAGGAAGCTAGAACGTGTCATTGATGACATCAGAGAATCTGCGCCAGAATCCCGTCGTCGTGAGTGGAGTTACCTATGGAACAAGATACAAGACGTCATCGTTCAAGAACGAGAAGACACCAATGCTCAGTCGGTAATCAAGTCCCTGCAGATTGCAGCTCCGCAGGCAAAGGCCAGGGGGGTACCTGCTGAGACCGAAGAGCCACCGCGAAGTCCTCCAGTGCCCAAGACTCCGCCAGAGGCTCCAGTGTCTACAACCCCAGCACCAACCCCTGAGCCTGAGGCGAGAGCAAAGCCAAAAGCAAAAAGCATGTCAGATGCAGAAAAGGCTAAGACGCCTTGCATTTTCTTCAGGATGGCATCTGGTTGCATGCACGGAGAGGACTGCAAGTACAGTCATGACCCTGATAAGACCCCTAAGGTTGACCCTAAGTCTAAGCCTAAGGCCGCCGCTCCCAAACCCAAATCCACAGGAGCCGTTGCGAAGGCAGTCGTGGCAATGATTGCCGCCTCAAGCGTGTGCAACATCCCTGGAAGCAACGCCTTCAGCGTTGGGTGGGCTGCGGATACAGCTGCTGGTCGGCATCTTGGATCGGCACGGGCGTTGGCAGACCGGGGAATTCCGTCGGAGTCATACAGGTCGTTTCTTGCGCGCTCAGCGAGCCTTGTTACGTTCCACGCAGGCGGTGGACCTCAGCCCGGTTCGCAGAGCTTGGGATTTGCGTCCGACAATATGCCTCTCGCCATTCACTACATGTTGGACAACTGCCCAGTTGTTCGAAGCACTGGCTTGGATGTTGAATCTGGGAAGGCCTTCATATGGTTACCTGGTTCCCTTCCATTCTTCGCGCATGACTTGTCTAAGCTTCGGGTCGACTGCGCCGAAGAAGCCAAGCTTTATGCCAAGCGCACAGATGAGCGTGTGCCGATCTTCACCAGCAAATGTCAGTTTGTCCATGGTCTTGCTGCATCAGCTGATTTTCTTGACGAGTCGGGTGAGGAATGCCAAGAGCCTTCGCGTCCCGTTGCCCATGATCCAGCTGAAGAGTATGCCAAAGACCTCCTAACAAAGCGTGGTGATATTCAGCCCAATCAAGTTCGTAAGATCTTTGGACTTATGAAACGTGGTTCCGCATCCCGAGGGATTGAGCCGAGCGATGACTCGTCCTTTGCAGTAGGTTGCTTCTGTCGAGGTGGTGTGGTCGGTCTACTGAAGTCCAAGAAAGGGGTCATCCGGTTTTCCGCCAAAGATCGACTTCGTGCCACGAAGCCTTGGACTGGTGATCGACTTGTGATGGTCTTGTGTGCGGCAAAAGATCCTGCTTCTCTCGAGCATGATGTTTTGGATGCTCTCATAGGAGTTGGGTTTCTACTGGACAATCTTCCGCTGGTTGATGTCATTCCCGCAGAAGTTGATTCGTCCGAGATACCTTCCTCTTCGTCAGGGGGGTTACCCAAAGAACATCTTATCGAAGCAAGCCCTGATGGTCCTGCTGCGTCTGCGCTTCCTGAAGGGGACAAGCCTCTAGATTTGAGTCCACCTGGATTCCCCGTTGTGGATGATGCACATGTCAGTGATCGAGTTCGCAAACTGAGAGATGAAGCTGTAAGTGTGAAGCATCGCTTCTTCCACTTCCCAAAGAACCCGGTCTGTGATGTGTGCAATCAATCCAAGCTCTTGTCCAGAAGAGTGTGTCGCAAGCCTCGTGATGAGGACTCTGAGCCCGCGTTGCTTGAAGCCTCGGAATTTGGAGAAGCCATCGCAGCTGATCACATTCATGTGTTCAAGTCACTCAGCGACTCCAACGCTCCCGGAAGAGAGTATGTTGTGTTCGAGCAGTGCCCTGTTCAATGACGCGTTGCCTTTACTTGAAGTTTGGCAAACCGTGATTCTTGGCATCAAGCTTTTGTGTCATGCAAATAATGAAGCTTGTGTCGCCATTATCCGAAAGGATATTCAGCTAAGCTGAGAAAGGTAATTCTTTGACGAAGGCCCTTTCAATCCGGAAATGGGCTCATGCACTAAAGTTGCTGCGCATTTCTACTAAACATCTGCCAGATGTTCCCAGCTAAGTGTGTTCGCCGTCACCTAAAGCTTTGTTACAATTGCCTCTGGTGATAATGTTGCGATGGTTGTTCAGCTGAGCGATACTTCCATCACTGTGCAACTTGCAGACACTCGGATGCCCAGCGGCCGCTCTCTTCATCCTTGTGTCATCCGAATGAGCTCTTGAAGAACTCGTTCCTAAACCACTGCCTATCCTCAATCTCGCACTGTGTGATGTCGGTGTTTGGCTGCTGCCTAGCGCCACTCTGACTCTGCATGAGCACAGCTGTGCTTCTGATTGGGAGTAGTCTTGTACAGTATCCATCATCGTGCTTTTGCAGACACTTGGATATGAGCCATCATCCCTGTGTCATCTGAATGAGTTCTTGAGGATCTCGTTCTGCACTCCTTGCCTGCCCTCAGCCTTGCACTGCGTTGTGTCAGTGTACGGCTGCTCCCAAGCGCCGCTCTGACTCCGCCTGAGCACAGTCCTGCACCGGTTGAGAGTAGTTTTGTATAGATCGCAGGTAGAATTACCTTAAAGGTTTATTGAGTCTACGTTTCAGCCTGATCACCTGAGATACCGGATTCAATTTGTACATGGCTAAGCCTGTACTTCAATCGACAGTAGGTTTGGCTGCAGAGTTGAGCTCGTAGCTGTTGCTTCCTGAAGTCCAGAATCGAGCTTCAAATGAGCTCTAGGACTTGAGAATCTGCAAACATGAAGGGGGGAGTTGAAGAATCACGAGCTTCCTTCCTGTAAAGTGATGTATGTATAGTCATGTTATGCAGATCAGGATGGCTTACCTTCTGACCTTTGGCTCAAGATGAAAAAGGGCCGCTCTGAGAGCGGGTTGTACGTAGGGTCGAGGGCTGTGTTGATCCCCAACCCTTTGTGGTTCTCCCTCTTGTTGCCTTGTTCCCTTAGCTCAGGCATCAGAGTTTTGAGTCTTTCAACTATTATACTATATAATATAATATTATATTATATTACATTATATTACATTGTATTATATTATATTATTATCAAAAATAATAATTTTATATACACAATTTCCCCAAGGTTGACAACAGCATCCTGGCCTTTAAGAACTCCGCCGACTGGGCCATTGCCGCAATGGGTCGAGTGGAGTCGGGCGGGGAGTGGTTCCGGAGGCTCCTCCCTCGGTTGATGGCATGTTTGGCGTAAGGCAGTGCGGAGGGCGGATCCGGAGCTCTTGCGGAACGCTGTGTTTCGCTCCATTTTGCCCTGTGTCGCTCTATGTCACCGTGTTGAGGTTTCACATCTTCCTGAAGGACGAAGGCATCAGTGAGGCGGCGCGAAAGATGGCCACCGTGGAGCTCTGGGAGCGGAGCGCCACCATGGAGCCCTACAAGCCACCAGATTGAGGATTTAGGGGTGAGAGCTGAGTATTCAGGCTTAGGGTTTAGGTTTGGGGTTTAGGGTTTAGGGTTTTAGGGTTTAGGGTATTCCCTGATCCCTGACATGTTCACGAGCCCCAGTTGCAGGGGACGTCGATCAGCTTCTTCACCAACTTCAGCAAGGAGGTGTCCTTGGAGGAGCTCCAGACGATCAAGGAGGATGCTCCGATCCCTAACCCCTTTGGCCGAAGCCCCACGACAGAGTACTTGCTAAGGAGATTAAGTCAACTGCAGGACATCCAGGATGACTGCTCGAAGACGGTCGAAGGCCGCGACAGCCGATTTGCCAAGTTGGCGAACGTCTCGGTTTTGGATGTGACTTGTAAGAAAACCCGGGAGTCGTTTGATTGCTTCAGTGTAGCACTAGTGTGACGGGGAAGGGCGAGCAGTGGCGAGCAGCATGAGCGCCGCTGAGGAGAAGCAGAGCATTCTGAACCTCTACCAGGATCTTTTCGATGAGGGTTTGATTCCCGTCCCGGATGTGCTCCTTGCTTCGATTCTTTTGCAAGCGCCAAACCATGAACCCGGAGCCCGAATCGAAACTCAAAGACTCAGCTTGAGGCCATACTGGCAAGCTGTCGCTGCTCAAGATTCATCGGCTGAAGCCCCGCCGGTTCTGGAATTGCAGGATCCTGGGTGAGCCTGGGTGTTGAGAAGTGATGCCATCACCTCGCATTTTCAGCCTTTGGCAACACTTCTGCAGGTCTGATGCTGCTACTGTGACTAGAATTCTCGCGTTGGCAACTCTTAGAGGGCAACCAGCCGCGAAAATTCGAAGAAGATTGGGGACAACATGTTCGAGCGCAGGGAAGGGCTGCGGGGTCGTCATGTAACGAGAGGACGGGCAGTTCCATGAGGCGAAAGCATAAGTGGCGTGCAGCTATCAGAAGGCACTAGCGTAATCGCGAAGTCCCCAAGTTCCTGCTGGCAGGAGTCCGAGTCCAACGGGTCCAATGCCAGCGGAAGCCGGCGCCTGAGCGCCCGTGGGGCAGAACTGGCGCCCCGGGTCCGGCGCCTTCGCGCAAGCAGCGATCGTCGGCGCCGAGCCAGCCAGCAGGAGAGGAACGAGCTGGACAGTGTGCAGCCTGCCTCACATCTCTGAGACTAGGCAGACTGACTAGGAGCGCAGTAGACGAGTTTAGCTGCAGCCTAGGTCACCCACACTCTGCCCGATGGCTTTCAAACTTGGAGATCGCTTCTCTTTCCAATTCTGCAACCAGAACGAGGTGGCTTCCGATGGCTCCCGCACGGAGGACTTCGCCTTCACGTTGGACGCTGAGCACGCCCCCAAGGTGCAGTTCGGGCCCGTGCAGGTTGGATTGTCCGGCATGGGAGAGTTGAAGGTGAGATGTAAGGTGGGCCAGGACCACTGCTATGGAGCCGGTGCCATCGAGTTTGCTGTGGAGCTTGGAGTGGGCCTCGGAGAGCTCATTACTGCCGCGGTTGGTGGTCGAGGAGGACTGGAGGTTGAGGTGCCGACTCAAACAGCCGGAGCTCCTCAGGACACTTTCAAGGTGGTGGGAAGCCTCACTCCCTACGGCACTGTGGACCTATTTGCCGGTTTGATCTCATTCGAGGTCCCGTACAAGTATCCAGGGATCGAGGTCACGTTTGATCGCCTCGGGCCCTTCCCCCTGCAGAACCCGAATAACAAAGCCGATGACACCATCTCGATAGCCGCGAAGTGGACAGTGGAGGTGAGCTTCTTGGGCATCTTCACATTCACCGTGTCTGTTCCCATCACGGTTATGCCCGAGACGACCCTTTGGAAGGCCACCCCTGACATGTACGGAAAGCAACCCTGGTTCACCAGTGACTGCGAGTTGGTGGAGCGTACCTATGATCGATGCAGTCAAAACCATATCAAGCTTACCGGGACCTGGGACGAGAAGACCGGTGAGTGGGAGCGGCACATTCAGAAAGGTCACGAGGCCTACTCCATGATTTCTTCAGATCCCAAAAAAGACTTCCGCTGGTGCTGTGGTCACAGCTGGTGTGATGAGTGGGTCCGCTTCGATCGTCATGTGAACAAGATCGTTGTGCAGCTGGAAAACAGTGATCGGAGGATTGTTTGGGTTGGGCTTGTATGTGACAGGTACCTCCACGACAACAATCGTTTCCACTATAGTGGTAGGACAGATGATGGCTGCCGAGAGGACGTCCGAGTCGAGACAGCACGAGGCTGGGTTCATGTGCCCAAACATCATCGAAAGGGGGTGATGATGCACCGCTGGTCCGACAACCGATGGACTTGGTACTGCAATCACAACTCCCGGCGAAGGGGCTACAGGCAGGGCCACCACGGAAGTGGGTGTGGCCGCCACAACTATCTCGTTGTAGACTGGCAAGACCGCCGGAGGAACACAGCCGTCCGCTGGGAATGTTGGCAGCGACTCGGCAAGGAACGGCCGACATCGGGTACCTGCACTTCGGCTGAAAACTTCTACTTCCGACCTTGGTCTTCCTGGAGCTTTGGAGTAGACTCGCCCCAGGCTCGAGGATGTGTGCTGAAGACATGAGCTGTTGGCACTGGACTCATTGGACCTGGGAGGCGACGCTTCAAGTTTGCATCTTCTCGCCCAAGGACGTCACGCTTCATAGTGACATCCCACAGACCTTCAGCGGCCTTCCGAGCTACAACTGCGAGGCGACCTTCTTCTCCTTCGAGATTCCCTTGCACTCCAGAGAATCGCAGACCTTCCAGCTTCCGCACACTTTGAGCGGCCAGGACGGCGAAAGCCGGGACGGGGGATGCTTTTGCAGACTGTTGCCCCTTGTCGCCCGTTTCCCGACTTGCGAGGACGTGGTGGTAACCACCGTGGACTTGACCACCTGCAACACGATCATCACGGAACCGTGTAACAATGATGACGCCCGTTGGATGGTAAGGCAGTCCGAATGTATCGGCCGAGGCTCACAAATCACGGTGTCGCGATCGCCTTTCTCCCCCACCCATTTCAAGTGCTCGGGGATGGTCGCTGTAAAGACTTCTCTAGCCCTCCTGCAGATCGATCTGCCTGAAATCAGTTTGGATTTCTCTCTTCGCTAATGTTCAAAACCTACGAAGCGTTCAACACACTCGTGTCTGGTTACTGTAGAGGATGGTGAGTCCCGTGGAGTGATGCTGATGGTATTTGCCAGGACCGGATTCAGCATAGCAAATGATGTTCCGCAAATGCTGTTCCAGAGTACAAGGGGATATGACATGACGGCAACTACCACGATAACCCCGGGCACTTCATCCGTCCTCGTTACCTGCAGTGCTGCGGCAACCTTTAAGAAGATGCCAGCCAGCTCTGCGTTTTTCCTGTCCTGCTCTTTGACGGACGCGCTTTTGCCAAGGGTGAAAAGCTACGCTCTGCGATTCAGATGCTGTTGGAGTTCACGATTTCGTTTACCAGGAGCAGGAGCATTGGCCTGCATTCCTCGTGCGGTTCACCCCGTCGAGCGGCGGGACGGAGGGCAGGAGAGAAGGAGGGAGGAAGGGAAGGAGGGCCTCCAACCACGGTCCGAGCTGTTTCCGTGTTTAGGTGAACGGCAGAAGACTGCAGGAGGCAACGCGCAGCTTTCCTGGGTTGGGATCATTCATCAAGCTCCAATTGAGTGCAAGCCAAACTCATCGGTGGTTGTGTGACATTGTGGCATGGAATGTTGCGCTCGGCAGCTTTTGCATTGTAGTGCTTGATTCTGGACAAGACTGCATCATGTGTACATATATATATGTATATATATATATATGTATATATATATATGTATGTACATATATATATATGTATATATATATGTATGTATATGCATATATATATATGTATATATGTATATATGTATATATGTATATATGTATATATGTATATATGTATATATGTATATGTATATATGTATATATGTATATATGTATACATGTATACATGTATAGATGTATATATGTATATATGTATATATGTATATATGTATATATGTATATATGTATATATGTATATATGTATATATGTATATATGTATATATGTAAAAGTATATATATATATATATATGTATATCTGTATATACAGTAATTATTATGCACATGTAACATACAAACATACACATACTACGCATATATGTACATCGCAATCTTGGCAGGAAGTAGAAGTGTAAGTAGCTGTGACGATGAAACAGTTGTTGATGGCACAAAAGCTTTGCTGCCAGAACAAGAGGATCCAGTTCCTAGTTCCTCGTCACAGTCTGCAGAATTAGAGTTGTGTTTTTTGAAAGCTGCAACATCATTGGCTTTTAGTTCTGTTCGGCCATGTCTTCAAGCACTTGGGCTTCATCGGTTTATGAGGTGTCTTCGCTGCCAGCTCGTGGTCTTGGCGGCAACACAATGCCGCCATTTGTATGTTGGCACCTGGTTGTCTGCTGGCATCGAGAACGGCTTCTTGAGACTTTTGGGGCAGGTCTTGTTGGTGTTGTGTATCAACTTGCTACTCGGTGAGCCGGCATCGCTTACGGGTCATTTGTGTCCGTAGGAAGGCAGCAGTAGCGGTTAGTTTGCACGAGGTTGACATGCAGGTTTGACTTCCAGAAGCCAGAGGAGCGGCTGCTGCTTGCAGCGTGCAGGCCACTGAGCGGCCGAGCCGCATTGTGAGCCGCACTCCCGTGCGGGGTACTCCTCAGGAGTCTTTTCTCGCCTGTAGCGGCAAAGTGTCCTGAAGCATACACCCATTTATTCTTCCGAGGCCGCAAGTGGAGTGGCCGGCGTCTGCCAAGAAGCTCAGCAAAGCATCTGTCAGATGCTTTGCTGAGCTTCTTGGCAGATGCATGGCGAGCTCCTGATCCGCGCTCTGCCAGCCTGGCCGCGCAGATTGCCGCCGCGCTTGGCGTCGATCGCAGGCCTTGTAGGGCTTGTGGACGCTTATCTGATTAACCTGTTAACCCTGAGTTGTAAGCCCTGAGCCCAGAGCTTTCTTTGCATCTGAAGCCCCGCGCAGACACAGTAGAAGATGCACTTGGAAGTATCCCGCAGGGTGTACACCCTGGTCTCGGGTGCTTCGCATTCCCCGAAGCTCCAACCCAAGCCCTCTATTCAAAGCGCCTGAGTAGTTCTAGGGTAGTTGCATTAGGTTCGTAGTCCAGTGAGCTTAGTGATGTAGAAGGGTGCTCAGCAAGCCTCTGATCCAACTCTGCTGTGCCTGGCACTCCCCACCTATGATTCTTGAGCAAAGGGGGGTGGGAAGCGTGAAGCATGCCCGCTGGCTCAACTCGCTCAGTTTCTGGCTTAGATGGTCTTTTGGGTAGTAGGTAGTAGTAGGTAGTAGGTAGGTTGTCGGTAGTAGGTAGTAGGTAGTAGGTAGTAGGTAGTAGGTAGTAGGTAGTAGGTAGTAGGTAGTGGGTAGTGGGTAGTAGGTAGTAGGTAGTAGGTAGTAGGTAGTAGGTAGTCGGTAGTCGGTAGTCGGTAGTAGGTAGTAGGTAGTAGGTAGTAGGTAGTAGGTAGTAGGTGGTCGTCGTCGTCATAGTAGTAGTAGTAGTAGTAGTAGTAGTAGTAGTAGTAGTAGTAGTAGTAGTAGTAGTAGTAGTAGTAGTAGTAGTAGTAGTAGTAGTAGTAGTAGTAGTAGTAGTTAGTAGTAGTAGTAGTAGTAGTTAGTAGTAGTAGTAGTAAGTAGTAGTAGTAGTAGTAGTAGTAGTAGTAGTAGTAGTAGTAGTAGTAGTAGTAGTAGTAGTAGTAGTAGTAGTAGTAGTAGTAGTAGTAGTAGTAGTAGTAGTAGTAGTAGTAGTAGTAGTAGTAGTAGTAGTAGTAGTAGTAGTAGTAGTAGTAGTAGTAGTAGTAGTAGTAGTAGTAGCAGCAGTAGTAGTAGTAGTAGTAGTAGTAGTAGTAGTAGTAGTAGTAGTAGTAGTAGTAGTAGTAGTAGTAGTAGTAGTAGTAGTAGTAGTAGTAGTAGTAGTAGTAGTAGTAGTAGTAGTAGTAGTAGTAGTAGTAGTAGTAGTTAGTAGTAGTAGTAGTAGTAGTAGTAGTAGTAGTAGTAGTAGTAGTAGTAGTAGTAGTAGTAGTAGTAGTAGTAGTAGTAGTAGTAGTAGTAGTAGTAGTAGTAGTAGTAGTAGTAGTAGAGTAGTAGTAGTAGTAGTAGTAGTAGTAGTAGTAGTAGTAGTAGTAGTAGTAGTAGTAGTAGTAGTAGTAGTAGTAGTAGTAGGAGGAGTAGTAGTAGTATCCTGCTTCTCAGGATACTAAGATGGCGATCTTTCGTAAAGCATTTAAACAATGCTCTTAGGAGGCTATGATACTACAATACGTACATTAACAAAACAGACTCGTAGGCCAGAGTGCCTGAAAGGAGGAGGCTTGCAGTGGGCGACGACCAGAGCTGAAATTGTTGATGCTTGACAGTTCTTCAACCTATGTTTCTGCAATCCTCAACCCGAAGCCATTCCTTGTATCCTGCGGATGTTTGGGTTGTAAGCTCACCTAGAGATATCTATCTTTCTACACCCTTAAAAAAACCGGAAGCATTATGGAGGTGCTCGCTGGCTCGCTGCACCAGAAGGCCGCCGCAGATGCGGCGGGCCGCGGAAGGCGGTTTAGGGTTCAGGGTTTAGAGTTGGGGGTTCAGGTTTAGGGCATATTAAGGGTTTACGGATCACAGACGGCGCAAGGAAACATCAGCGCGTAGGAAGGGCGTTTGGAGTTTCATAGCTTTAGTTTAAATTCAGCGGTCGGGGTTTTATGGCTTTGAGACTCCTCTCGGGTTGATCTAATTGAAGGGCCCCTTGTAATGCCACCTTACCCGTCACCCTCTCACACGTGATTGAACCAACTGTAGGAGCGGCATTCGACACTTTCAAGCTTCCTGGCTTTCTACTATTGTGTATGTGTATATATGTACATTTACATATATCTGCATACGCAACCATTATGCATGTTTATTGTTTTGTCGGGGAAGGTCCCTTACAGGGTTTACGGAGGGTTTAGGGCCCCCTGGTCTCCATAATGTTCTATAGTATACTTGTTGTTCTAGCTCAGGGCACCCAAGAGGCGCCCATGATGAAGTCGAAAGCCCCAACTTCCAACTGCTGCTTTTTAGCTCCAGGGTCAACAACTATAGGGTTTTGGGTTTGGGGCCCTATAAACCCTGAACCTTGACAGTGGATGACCCTTGCAGGCTCCGGCAAGAGCATGAAGCCCACCCTAAACCCTATAAGCCCTAAACAAACCCTGCGCAACAACAGTGGGATGACCAGCCCTGGGTCCCAAAAACCCTCGAGTCCCAGGTGTTGGGAAGCCCCTGTGGCACAAGGCTACCAGCCAGGGCCCAAGAGCATTACCTGGGGGAGGGGAGGGAGAGGTCAGAGGTTTAGGAGAAGTCTAGGGTGCTCAGGGTGTCGAGTTTGCCATTGCGTGCTGGCGGAGGAGTCTGGGACAAGGCAGGTTCGAGCGAGCTTTATATCCCATTCCTAAACCCGAAACCCGAAATAAAAACCAAGACGCAGATGTGGTGGACGACACGGGCCAAATTCATAATCGGTCGCGGCAGAAAGGCATGGTGGTTCAGGCTTCATCGGGTTAAAGGCTATAGGACCTGAGGCTTAGGATGCAGGATTCTGGGCTCAGGGTTTAGGGTTCAGGATAAAATTTGGTTTTGGGGTTTAGGGTTCTGGGTTAAGGGGTCTCGCCAGGGTTTAGGGAGGGTTTAGGGCTGTACGCTTCTCCAGATAGTAATTTAAACAATCGTGTGGTGGCGCTCTTTTTGTCCTCCGAGGATCAATCGTTTTTGAAAACGATTGTTTAGGTGGGATTTATGTATCTTAAAGCCAAATTAAGCCTGGCTAATATATGCTCGTTGCGACCTCCTGTTTTCAGCCATGGCAACACCTGGTGACGTGCAGGTGCAACTTTACGGGCAGGCGACACGGAATGCCCAAGTAGAGGATTCTCCGCAAGATGGACTCGTGGGAGTACTTGCGCAGATGCAGCCGGTCGCACCTGAGTTCATTCGCTCGGTAAAGCTGGGGGACGTGCTAGGAGGCTTTGGCTACATCTTCCGACATCCAAGTTCAGAGCAAGATTATTTTTTTATGAGTCGCGAGTGCAGCAAGATCCACACATTCCTGAGCCACAGCTGGCGCATGAAAGCTTGGAGAAAGGTCATACTTCTTCTCTTGACTTACAATGGTCCTGTGGCCTTGGCCGTCAGCATCCTGGACCTCTGGGGTTTTAGGGTTTTGTGGCTTTAGGGTTTTAGGGTTTTGGGGTTTAGGATTGTAGGGTCTGGGGGTTTGTGGGATTTAGGGTTTGGGGATGTGGGGTTTTTGTCTAGGCCCATTTCAGATGGGTAGTTTCCCCCATATATACCCCGGAAATAACACGAATGTAGCCCTTAGTGCCCTTATATACACCGTATAGAAGCCTTATATAAGGTACCCCACCTGGGAACTCCCCTCCTGAAGCTACCCTAAATTTTAGGGTTTACGGCTTCAGGGTTTTAGGGTTAAGGGCTTTAGGGCTTTAGGATATTTCGGGTTAATCTGCTAAGGCATAGTGGCGGCATTCCTGACCGGGCTCCTCTTTGTGCACGGAGATCTCCCAGCATTTCCAAAGACGGCCCTGGCCACTGGCAAGGACATTTAGGGGCTTTTAGGATGTTTTGGATTCTTGCCTTGCAGTTTAAGGGCTTATTACTTTGTTTAAGGGTGTTGAAGGTTTTGGGTTTAAGGGGCTGTTAAGGTCTTTGTTTAAGGGTTTGGGGCTTAGGGCTGTAGATAAAAGACGGTCCTTATACCACCGGCGAACGGAGTACCTCTTCGGATCCCTAAGCCATCAACCCTGAACATATTCCATACAGAAGGAGTACCTCTTCGGGGCCTGGTGCTCCGGTGCTGGTATCGTCACATTCTTGCTGGTGCTGCTGTTTCGTCGCCCCAAAACCTCGATGTTTGTGGACGTTGCATGCGTCCACCAGAAGGATTGGCAGATGAGTTTAGGAGATAAGGGTTTAGGGGAGACTAGGGGAGTTTACATCTTGTCTAAAGTAATTTGTATCAACCAGAAGGACTCGCGGATGAAAGGCAAGGGGATTTTGAGCCTTGGAGCTTGTTTGAAGAACTCTGACCACCTCCTGATCCTATGGGACTCTGTGTGGGCGTGTTGGTTTCTTGTCTCTCTTCTGCGCGCCTTCTATGAAGGCCAACAGCGTTGGGTGGCTGTCCGCGGCCACTTTGCCAGCTCTTGCGTTGCCCCCACACGGGGATTGCTCCAAGGCTGCCCTGCTAGTGTTGGGCTGTTAAACGGCTTAATGTTGCTTTGGGTTCGGAGCATCCGTGCTACCTCTCCCACTGTCAGCATGTCCGTCTTTCTTGACGACCGTGCCCTTTGGTCTACCGGCCGGGGTGCGCCCGATCATCTTTGTACTGCCTTGCAAACTGCTGCCACTGTGGACCAAGCTTTGGCTCTGCAAGTTCACCCCGACAAGCTCGCTTGTTGGGCCACCCGTGCTCCCGCTCGCCGTGTGCTTGCTGCCCGGCCGGCCCTGTGTGGCCCTGTCGTTTCTGGCTTTAAGCTTCTGGGCATTCACTACCGCCTTTGCGCCCACACTGGTGCTGTTGACTCTGCCCGTCTCAACCCGGTCATCACAAACCGTGCTCGCCGCATTGCCATTGCGGCTCGCCACTTGCATCAACGCAGGCGCCTGCTGATGGCCTTGGTGATAAGTTTGGTTTCTTGGCTTGGCCCCTGGACTAGCGTACCTCACCTTACTGCTCAAGGGTGGGCTAGGGCTGTGGAGACTGCTGTTGGCCGTGTTGTCTCTGCCCGGTCTCGCTTTTTGCTTTGGGCGGTGTGGGCAAGGCCGCGCCTGCATCCCAAGTTTGCTCTTGCTTTCGCTGCCGTCCGCCATGAGTTGCGGCGCAGCGGTGGCGCGCAACCGCCTCCGGCTCGCTCTCGCGCGTGCCCTGCTTTGGCTGCTGCCTTGTCCACTTTTGCTTGGACCATCCGGCCGGATGGTGTGTGGTGCACGCCTTTTGGTCAGTTTAGGCCTGGGTTTCTTTCGGTTGGGGTTGCTAGGCTTCTAGCGGAAGATTCCTGGCTTCGTGAGCTGTGGGCGGCCGACCCTAAATCAGGTGGCCCGTTGCAGGCCACCTCGCATTTTGCTTTGCGTTACCACCGTGCCCAAGCGCCGCACCATGCCACTGGTGGTGCGATGCGCCGTGTCTTGCACGCTGCCGCTCATGATACTCGCACCTTGGAACGCATGCGCATTCCCTTCACGCCTTGCGTGTGCGGTGACCCGCTCCCCACGCGCACGCATGTCACCTTCGACTGCCCGGCTATGCCTTCCCCTCTGGCTCATCGCTCCTCTGCAGAGCACCGTTTCTTGGTTCCCCTGCTTTCCGGGCTGAGTGCCCCTGAGTGGCAGCTCCCGGATGTCCCTGAGGACTTGTTGCTTGCACTCTCGGACGCCGAGACGATTGACTCTGCACTGCTGGTTGCCACCGATGGCAGCGCTTGTGGTTCCAGCACGCAGGCTGGGGCATTGCTTGTGCACCTGGTGTAGGGTTTGGTGGGGTGGTTCCTGGGTTAGATAGGTCCTCCGCTGCAGCAGAGCGCTATGCTCTCCTCGTGTTAGCCACAGCAGCTGCCCAGCTGGGTGCGCCAGTGTGTGTTTTCACAGACAACAAAGCCTTGGTTACCGGGTTCCGATCTGCTCTTGCCATAAACGGCGAGTTTCGAGCCTACTGGGCGCTTGTTCACCGCCTGCTTCCTGCAGGCTCCGCTGTGTACTGGGTTCCTGCACATGGCCGCCATCCCGAATGGGAGTCGCCACTTGCTCCAGTGCCTACCGCAAAACTGCGCGCTCTCAATGAGACTGCTGACAGCGCAGCTGGTCAAGCCACTGCGCCTTTTACCCATGTTTTCGCTGCAGCCAAGATGGCTGCGGCTCAAGCTGCCTCCTGGGCAGAAACTGCGGTGACCCGCCAAGCCTTGCTTGTTGCCACCTGGCACGATGCTGTCGCCCAGGTCGCTAGAGCAGCGGGCAGGGTGAGGGACTTCTAGACGCCTTGACTGGCTGTTACCCACACTTGTGGCAGGGTGCAGTCACGCCATACATACATACATACATACTCTGTGTGGGCGTCGCGGCTTTGGTGTGTCTTTGAATTGGCGGCATTTTTACAAAGCCACCGAGTGGATCAGTCGATCCTTGTGAAGCCTGATGCCATTTTGCTTCTTTACATAACACAGCTGCTCACTTGGCTGCTGATCGGGCTTGCCGCACTTGGCCTTCCCTTCAGCTCCGGGGGTATGATTGTGTTCTTGGTTGCAACTGCTGCCATGTGCTGGCTCAGCTATTACCTCATGCTGGTCTATGCTTCGTCCTGTGCTTCTTTGCAAAGCCAGTTGGAGCAGTTCACCTTCGGGAAGCTGGACTGCGCATGCTGCGCGAAAGGCCATGCAAGTGAGGACGAGCACTGCGATCGGAAGACCATCTCGCAATGCATCTCCGTGTGGTTCGGCTCCACTGAGCAGTTCGAGCGAGCTGCACGGCAAGAGGTGCAGCATGCACTCCAGCAGCAGCTCGGGAAAGCACTCTGCCCTTACAGCCTGCACTTGCAGCTCGAGGTGCTGCTTCGTGAAGAATGGGGGGGGGGGGGGGGGGGGGGGGCGGAGAATGACAATGGGTCAAGGGTGTAGGTTTGGGGTTCCGGGTTTAGGGTTTGGGGTTTAGGCTTTAGCCCAAACCTTAAACCCTAAACATTGTTTTTGACAATGGATAGTTATTTATAGGCATTCCGATGTAGGTAAGCCCTAGATGCCCATGGATCATGAATCTCATTCCCAGCTCAGCATCGAATTCACACGTACACACTAAAACCCTAAACCTTAAATATCCGAAACCCTAAATGCCTAAACCTTCGATATCCTAAACCTCTCAAACCCTTAGCCCCTAAACCCCCAAACCCTGAACCCTACACCCTCAACATCATCCTAGACCATAAATATATGTTCTAAACCCGAAACATCCCGAAACCTAAACCTGAAACATTCTAAACCCTGAGCCTTATATAAAACCATTAGTATCTGAATCCCTACACCCTCAAAGTCCTCAACCCTAAACCCGAAACCCTAAACATCCTAAGCCCTACACCCGAAACCCAAAAAGAACCTGGGGTCTGCTCTGCCCTTCTTACTCTTACAGATTCCACTCTCCAGGTGCCCTTCCTGTGGGCCGGCCTCGACACAGCATCAGCAAGATTTCGAGCTGGGGACTGGGAGGAACCGTGGGGGGTTTAGGGTTCAGTGTTATTTTTTTTTACGTGAACCCTAGACCCTTACCCCAGCCACCCCCCACCCAACAAAAATAGACATAACTTTACCCTCCCCCCCCCCCTCCCCGCTAAACCCTAAAGCCTAAACCCTGAACCCTATAAACCCTTAACTCCTAAACCCTAAAGCCTAGACTCTCCAACCCCCATGGAGGAAGGGCTTTGGCTGGTCCTTGGTGGCTTCCAGGGCTGGTCTTCAGAGGTTTTTTTGTTTGTTTAATATATTAGTTTGGGTTTAAACCCCTAAACCCCCTAAACCCTAAACCTCTAAACCCCTGAGTCCCTGAACCCCTAAACCTCTAAACCCCTGAACCCCTGAACCCCTAAACCCCTAACCCCTTACGCATTGTGAAAGAAATATATAAAATGTTGTAGACCCAAGGTTTGGTCTGGTTTTTGCTCATCATACCGGCCATCTACCGCCTCACGATCAGTGCCATCCTAAGGCGGGCGTGGGCCGTGAGAGTGGGGCGAGGGTTCATTAGGTTTGAGGGTTTAGGGTTTAAGGCCTTTGGGCTATAGGGGTTTAGGCTTTAGGGCTTTAGGGTTTAGGAGGCTTAGGGTTTATTGTTTCCGGACACGTATTCTCCTAAATAGGATGAGTGCTGATGTCGTACTATCGTATTTTGGCTCAAGTAAAATAGGTGCATTGCAAATTTCGGAGCGCTGTGCCCGAAGAGCACGCAGAAATGTGGTAGTGTTGTGGGCCCGGTTGGTGCGGAAGCAGTTCCGCATTCGGCACTTGTTGTGGGGGCTTCAACCTCTACATAGCGTGTAGGGCTTACAGGAATTTGAGTCAGTGTAAGTAGTTAACCTTAACAATTTTTACAGGGTCTCGGAGCGTCGACAGGACCTCCAAGCTTACCGGCTGGCAGAGACATGGATCCTGTTTGACTTGGTTTGGGTTCCAGGTGTTGGGGTATTGGCCTGGGGCGTTAGGGTCTATGGCGTCTGTGGGTTAGGGTTTCTGGTCTGTGGTACGGGATTTAGGCAGGATTGGTTTCGTTTCCCGGTCGGTCACCATACCGTGGCTTTGTTTTAAGGAGCCATGGGGACCTAGGGGGCCTTGGGGAAGGTTCGGGTTTAGGGTTAGGGTTTAGGGTTTCGGCTTTAGGGTTTAGGGTTTCGGCTTTAGGGTTCAGGGTATCGCCCATGGACACTTTTCCGTGAAAGGTACTGGTAAAATAATGGTGGCTTCCGAACCTTGTCTCACCCCGAACGCCCGCACCCCTAAACCAAAACCTTCAACCCTAAACCTCAAACCCGTAAAGCCTAAACCCTAAAACCCTTAAAGCCTAGAAAAAACCCTACATCCTAAAACCCTCAGCCTAAACCCCCAAACCCTTTTCTTAAACCCTTTTCCTAAACCCTTAGACCCTCCGACAACCAGTTCACCCATTCAAAATGAATAATTAATTAAACAGTAATAAATAAGCCCTCGAAACTTGACGGGGACCCAAGGAGATTGGGCGCCAATGTTTTGACAATCTTTTTGGCCGGGATTTGCTTCTTTCCCGCCTGGAGGCTGAGGGCTTCGGGGGTTTTGGCTTTAGGGGTTTAGAAGGGTTTAATATGGTTTAACTTGGGGTTGCCCTAAATTCCTAAACCCTAGGGTATAGGGGTTTAGGAACTAGGGTTTAGGGGTATAGGGACTTCAGGATTCAGGCTTTGCAAGGTTTTAGGATTTGTGTTTTTTCCGCCTGGAGGCTGAAGCGGCTGCTCCTGAGTTGGCCAAAGAATGGACTTTTATCTTGTCGGGTAGTGTTTAGGATTTAGGTTTGAGGTTTAGGAGATTTTGGGGGGTTAGGATGTATAGGGATTAGGGTATAAGGTTTATAGGGCTTAAGGTTTTGCACTCTTTACACCTTTTTCCCTTGGTCCATTAGCCGACTGAGGCTTGAAGAGAATCTGGGCTTCACACCAGGAGGGCTATTGTGGATGGGCATTGTGATTCCACCAAGTCTACTAACGCTGCTGCGTTTTCATGAATGCTTTAGAGCAGTTGCCCCTGCCGTCTCTGAGTAAACTCCCAGCGTATTGGGATCGGAACGAGGGAGCCTCCCTATACCCTGAACCTGAAACCCTAAACCGTAAACCCCAAACATACTGGGATCGGATTGAGGTTTAGGGGTTAGGGTTGAGCTCCGCCTCTTTGCCATCCCGTGTACTAGGGCGGGACCTGACCAAGTGCGCCCATGTTTGTTGGATACAAGCCTAAATGTTTCCGCCTGTCGCTCAGTCGGGAACCTACGCGTCTACACCCTAAGTCCTAAACTGGTAGAATAGAAGTGGCCAGTCGCCCTAGTTTTCAATTTATTTTTCCGATTTGGCGCCGACACAAGAACTGTCGGAACAAGCGGACGGTCTTGTTGGAGGGTTCGTAGCATAGGCAGACTCCCTCGGGGTTCTAATCCCAATCTTCGTAGCGCCATCAGTTTACCCGTCCCTCTCACCCGTGATTGAACCAACTGTAGAACAGCATTCGACACCTTCAAGCTTCCTGGCTCTCTACTATTGTGTATGTGTGTGTGTCTATATATATATATATATACATTTACGTATATCTATATACGCAACTATTATGCACACGTTTTTTGTTTTTCGGGGGAGGTCCCTTATAGGGTTTACGGAGGGTCTCGGGTCCCCTGGTCTCCATAATGTTCTACTTGTTGTTCTAGCTCAGGGCACCCAAGAGGCACCCATGATGAAGTCGAGCGCCCATACCAGTACCACTGCAGACCAACTTCCAACAGCTGTGCTCTCTTCTCTAGTAGATTATAGTATAGTATAGTTTGGTTTAGTTTAATATAGTTTAGTCTAGTTTAGTATTGTATAGTATTGTATAGTATAGTATTGTATTGTAATGTTTTGTATAGTATATTGAATAGTATTGCATGGTATTGTATAGTATTTCTTAGTGCCAGCCAATTCGAAGGGCAAGCTCTATGTTGAAGGAGCTTCCTAACCATGCGTGGCGTGCTCGGGGGAGATATTTGTCTGCTCGACAACTACTACTACTCCTACTACGACAACGACTACGACTACGACGACGACGACGACGACGACGACTACTACTACTACACAACTACACAACTACACAACTACACTACTACTATACTACTACACTACTACACTACTACACTACTACACTACTACACTACTACACTACTACACTACTACACTACTACACTACTACACTACTACACTACTACACTACTACACTACTACACTACTACACTACTACACTACTACACTACTACACTATTACACTACTACACTACTACACTACTACACTACTACACTACTACTACCGCGACTTCTACCACTACCACTACCACTACCCCCACCACTACACTACCACCTCCGCTACACTACCACTACCACTACCACTACCACTACCACTACCACTACCACTACGACTACTGAACACTACCACTACCGCCACTACTACTACTACTACGACTACTACTACTACTACTACTACTACTACTACTACTACTAATACAACTCATTGCTACTGCTACTGCTTCTACTACTACCACTACTACTACCGCTACTACTACCACTACCACTACCACTACCACTCTACTACTACCACTACCACTCTCCCGCTCCCGCTCCCACTCCCACTCCCACTACAACTACCACCACTACCACTCCCACTACCACGACCACGACCACGACCACGACCACTACCACTACCACTACCCCCACCTCTACTACACTTCGACTATGACTGCGACTACCACTACCACTACCACGACGGCGACGACTATTACTACTGCTACTACTACTACTACTACTACTACTACTACTACTACTACTACTACTACTACTAGTACTGCCTACTGCTACTGCTACTACTACTGCTACTACTACTGCTGCTACTACTGCTACTACTACTGCTACTACTACTGCTACTACTACTGCTACTGCTCTGACATCATCAACGACTACCTTCGGGTGGCCGCCCCATTTCTGCCATGGCATGCCACAGCCGAGATGTCCGGACGGACTTTTCATGTCTGCGCAGCCACCTCTAAATCCGAGGTGCAAGTTGTGTGGAGCGCTGCAAGAATGAAACATGGTCTTTGGCTCAAGATGCAAAAGTGAGAGGGCTGGAAGGGATTGGTTCTGGAGGTGGGTTGGTTAGGTTGGGTGATGAGGCGTGGACCAGTTATCGGTTATCCACACCTGGACGCCTCCTTTGTCCCTGGCCCCCGGGGTTTGTGATTAGGTTGAAGTTTATATATTTTTTGGTTTCTTCAATTTTTTTATTTGTGAGGTTGAGGGCTAGTTGAACACTCTTGCTGCTTCTCTCTGTCATCTTATTGTATAGGCTTGAAGGGTCTGAAGTTCGTTGTGCCCATGGCTGTGAAAGTACGCAAGTACTAAAAGATCGTACTATATAGTATATAGTACTTTATATTATATAGTAGTATATGGCATACCCAGTTCGCTACAAGATAAGCTTCCTCTGTACCAAGTTTCCTGAGGACCTCCGACGAAGCCTGAAGGCCCCTAAACCTTGAACCTTAAACCCGAAATCATAAACAAAAAAACTCAGGGGCAGTATAGTATACTATACTATACGGTATTATATACTGTCCCCAACTCTGCATTCATCTCAAGCCCAGCAGCCACAGACACTACCTTCAGCCCGTACGTGCCTCAAAGACTAGCCAGCTGTCATTAGATTCGGAACCTGAAAGAAAATTTACTATATGATACGATTTAATATACGATAGTATACTATAAGATGTGGTGCGAGAGAAATCTCGGTAAGTAGCGCTGCCCCCATTGTATCCCCCAGGGTGTACACCCTGGTCTCGGGGGCTTGATTCCCCATAGTTCCAACCCAAGCCCGATTCAAAAACCCGCTGAAGGGCTTCGCGCCAGCTTCTGGCTTGGCAGCCAAAGGACGCTGCCAGCGGCCATCTCCCCCAAGGCCCGAGGAAGTTTCGCTGATCGGGGACTTTGGGGACTTCGGGGACTTCGGGGACTTCGGGGGCTTTGTGGACTTCGGGGCCACAAAGATTTCGGATTCAGGAGGTCCCCAAACTTTTTCCTCAGCTCTCCCACCCCAAGCTCTTGCTTTTTCAGCATCCTGTCCGAGCGTTGCCTCAGCGTTGCCCTCTCATGCCTTGTCAGACAGCCTCGGCGACACCCGCACCTGGAGTGCTCGCAGCGTGGCGAGTGGAGGTGTGTCGTTGTTTCTTTTTTGCATGTTTTTCCTGACAAGAACAGATATGAAGAGTTTGAAGTACATGACCTCATGGCCTTCGGCTGCCTGCAGTCGCTTTTCGGGGGAGACCCTCGACGCAATCGAAGTTACCATCCGAAACTGCAAGCGCTTGGCTAGAAGGCTCTAGCAGGCAGTTCGAGGGCCGTTGAGTTGGAGGAGCGTGGGGAGTCAAAGCGATTCAGGGGTGAGCCGAGGGGCTTAAAAGCTTAGAGAATATGGCTTAGAAATGTTCGGAGCTCAGCCGTACTAGTTGTGGCTTGCATGTGGGACTGGAATGCGCTTTTGTTCACTTAATGGGTTCGGGGTGTGCCCTTTGTGCTCGGTGATGCTTACGCCTTTGCATCCCCAGCTCCAAGCTCGAAGACGATGATTCCTAGAGATTTAAGCGAAATGACCTGCTCTCTCGGGCACTTGCACAGCGAGCGCAGACTCTGTCAGAAGATCGCTATTTTGCTGACTGACATGCTGCTGTGCAAGAGGAGAAGTTCGAGGGGGAGGACCCAGAAGACATGGACGAGGCAGAGTCTCTTGCGCAAGTTCATGTCTTTGGTTCCCCCCCCCCCCCCCCTCCCGACGGTTCCGGCTTGAGATGTTGTGAAGTGCGAGATATCCTGGGGACGGTTCAAGCTTGAGGGATTTCTTGCAGCATCCTCTAGAGGAACCGAACCCCCTAACCTCTAAGCGAAAAGCCCGAAGCCTTGAACTTCCTTGAAGCCCTGAACCTCTAGCGTGCTCAGGCGATGCTGGATGGCACGCCGTCGCCTCGGACCTCGCGCTGCATCCCGGGACGATGGAGATGTGTATGCGGCCAACGCCATCGAGTCTGACTTGGGATTTGGAGTCTGGAGCCTGCAGTCCCGGACCATCCCAAACCCTAGACCCTACACCGGTCAGGCCTAACAATCCCTCGAAAAATCCCCCCTGAAGCTAGATTCCACGCTGCCAGGCACAAACCCCAAGCTGATGTCTTTCAGCAAAATGCACACATATCGATTCCCCCGACAAGCAGAAAAATGCCGGCGAGCTGTCCGAGCTGCGGAAGTCATATCCGAGTATTTTAGATAAGGGGCTCCGAGCGGCTATGTAGTTCTAGGGTAGTTGCACTAGGTTCGTAGTCAGTGAGCTTGGTGATGCAGAAGGGTGCTCAAGCAAGCCTCTGATCCAACTCTGTGGTGCCTGGCACTCCCCACCTGTGATTCTTGAGCAAAGGGGGGTGGGAAGCGTGAAGCATGCCCGCTGGCTCAACTCGCTCAGGGCTCCACGTAGCCCAGGTGCAGAGGGGCACTTCAGTATCCGTTCAGCTCCGACATGAAGTGTCATGAATCCATCCCTTGTCCGAGGATGCAAGATTTGTATGAAACCATGGGGATTGTGTCGAATTACTAATCATTCCGAGCGTCGCTGCGATGCCGCGGGACCTCGTCGAAGAATTTGGCGATCAGCTGGGCCTTGGCCGTGCCGAAGCAGCGGCCGAGCTGAAAAAGGCCGGCCAACGCTGGAAGGCCTCGGAACTAGCCCTGCGAGCCGAGTTCGCGGCCGCTTCCGCTGCCGATCTCGAGGCCGCTGCTTCAACGCAGAGGGCCGATGCAGAGCCCAAAGACAGCGAGTCGGATTCGGCCACGTGGTCCGAATGGCTCGCAGGGCTTTTCTGCTGCTGCTTGCCACTGAGCGGCCGAGCCGCATTGTGAGTTCGTGGGTTCAGTGTGGATCTAGGAGCACCCCTACTTTGACTCCTCCGGAGTGGCTGGCTCTTTTTCTTGCCGGTCGCGGTAGAGCGTCCTGAAGCCTACACCCTTTTCTTTTTCCGAGGCTGCAAGTGGAGTGGCCGGCATCTGCCAAGAAGCTCAGCAAAGGCCTCTGAGGACCAGATCGAGGCCGGAAGGTTTGGGTTGAGGGGGGTCAACTCTGGAATAGCTGAGTAGCCTTAGATCCGACCGCCAAAATAGACAAGCAAGCTGCCGATAGACAAGCAAGCGGCTCTCACGTTGCTGCGGGCCTCTACTCCTTAAATCATAATAGGGATCCCTTTATAGTTTAAGGTATATATTCCATGATATTCCTTAATTCAGGGGTATTGGGCTCTCTGGGTAGTGAAGTCATGGCAAGAGGCAAGTAAAAGTCTGATGCGAAATCACCCCGGCAGGAATCTTTGGACCCCAGACCGTGTTTGATTCTCTTGCTTGCATGCTGTTGAACCCAGATGCATTGTCGTTGCGATGTTTCCTCACGAACTACGGTACGAGCAATACTGATGTTTGTGATCGTGGCGGTCCATCATGCGTGACGTGGTCGTTCTGCATGATCCTTGCATCAGATGCTTCTCTTTCCCATGTGTCCGTGATCAGGACTCGATTCTGCGGCGCCGTTGCTGAGCCCAATTCTGTGGTGCCCGCATGTGTGCTGCACGTCTGGAACCTGGGGGATTGAAGAGGAGAACACTGCACGCTTCCTGCAGATGCTGTTCCGAGTGAAACTTGCTGCCCACTCGTTGTTTTTCTCCATGGACATCTTTCTGGATGTGTACTATGTTTACGGCCTCGTGACAACCCAGCAGTGGGTCCTCGCGGCTTTACAGCTTGCCGTGCTTGCTTCGAGCCAGGTACAGCAGCTTTCGTTTGGCAAGGTTGTTGAAGCAATTCGAGAATCATTCCGAGTTGGGTACACGGCTGATGTGCTGTTGCGTGTCATGCAAACCGAGAAACTTCAGGAAGGATTTTTGTCCCTTCTCATTCAAGCAGCTGGCCTTGCCAGATTACCGATGTTCGACTTGGTGGGATGATTTTTATTTTATTCAATGCCAGCATGTTTACCAGCATGATAGGGATAAGCCAGGCCATCTATCAAGATGTGCACTTGGGCCTCGGAAGGTTCCAGACGGAGACAACCCCCGCCATTCTATCAACATTTTTGGCTCGCACAGTGTATGGGCGACAGCTGGGCACGGAGTGAGGATACCTCAAAGGCATCATGGCGCGCGTTCAACCACCCAGAGTCGGCAGACATCAACGACATTGTGACATTGTGAAGCAATGCTCAAAATGCCGGGGAGAGGAGTACCCCAGCTCAGCTTCAGAAGAGTTGCATTGGATTCCAACCCAGAATCCGGAGTGCACGATCGTTTCAGCGCCTTGCTGATGTAGATGGTGTCATGTTCAAACATGTTGTGAGTGGAAGCAGCCGAGTGCAGCCGAGTGCTGATCTGCCTTTCTTTCACAGCTGCCCCTCAAGGCAACGTGAGAGGATGTCGCATGTTCTGGAGCCAGATACTGGAGCGAGTGCATAAAATCTCGGGAGTGATGGCTTCAACTTATCAGGAGATCCTGCTAGTAGCGGTTTAATCCCGAGTTGCAACTATGAACATCTCACAGAGTTTGGTCAGTTGCTCAGTCGAAAGTCGGGTGAACTCCTTATGTGTTGAAGCTTCCTTCAGGTCTTCGGAATCACGTGTAGTCACGCTTGTGTGCCTTGGGGCTTGTGAGGCTTGGATGGATTGAGCTAGGTGAAGGGTCCCTAAACCCTAAACCCTAAACCCTAAGCCCTAAACCCTAAACCCTAAACGCTAAACCCTAAACCCCAAACCCTAAACCCTAAACCCTAAACCCTAAACCCTAAACCCTAAACCCTAAACCCTAAACCCTAAACCCTAAACCCTAAACCCTAAACCCTAAACCCCCGAGAGTTGATGCGGCCAGTGTCGAAGTCTGATTTCTGATATGGGATTTGGGGTCTGGAGCCCGAAGTCCCAGACCATCCAAGACCCCAAAATCTCTCCGGCCAACCTGAAATCCCAGAAGCTTGACTCCAAGCCGCCAACGTTTCAGCAGAATGTACCCACATCGATTCGCAGACAGACAGAAAATGCAGGCGAGCTCTCTGTGCTGCGGGGTCAGTATATGACGATCTGAGATCTATTTCAGAGAAGGGGCTCCGAGCGTATGTAGGTCCGTGTAGTTGCATGAGGTTAAAAATTGCTGAGTTTGGTAATGCAAAAGTGTGCTCCAGCAACCCTTTGATTTACCTCTTTGCTGTGTCTGGCACTCCCCACGTACAGTATGATTCTTGAGGAAAGGGCGAGAAACGTGAATCATGCGCGCTGGCTCAACTCGCTCAGGGGCTCCATTCGTATTAACTGACAACCCTAAAAGCTAGCAGCTAGCGCAACTTGCCAGCGTGACTTGCATACATCGCGCAGCGATCCGGCGTGTTTCCGCAGCACGGGCCAAGAGGTGCTGAGAGTCCGTACCGGCAGCCGGCATTTCTTTTTTTCGTGCTTTTGTTTTTTTTGAGGAACTTCCGGCACATCTTTCGCAATTGCTTTTTGTTCACCCGTTCAAGCTTCACGGGTCTCCAAGCGTGGAGGCTTTGTTGGGTTTTCTTAAGAGAGAGCATGTCGCACGCGTCGCACATGTGCCGAACGGTGAGTGAAAGGGGGAGGCAGCGAGCAGTCCAAGCCCAGAACTCCACATAGTTAGGTTTAAGGCTTTGATTTGGGACGACTTGGGAGGGTTTGTCATCCGCAAGTATTCTCGATGTACCCTTCCATGTTGAGCTCATGAACGTGACTTGAACTTGAGCATCGTTGGATTCATTGGGGCTCTGAGGAACGTGGATGTGAAAGGGGGAGGCAGCGAGCAGTCCAAGCGCAACTGACATGAAGCACGTTTTGACAGAGGTCTATGGACACGAGAGGGCATGTATGTGGGTTCTAAAAGGAACGGATCTTTATGGATTCCAACAAAGGAAAATAGCAGGAGCAATACCAGGATCACTAGGGATTCCAACAAGGGATGATATCCGCAGCCGGCTCAAGCCGTTGAGCATTCAGGCTCCGAGACTGAACTACATCACAGTCCCGACTTGGCAGATAGACGTCATGGCCCGACTGAACCGCATGGCTGTGAAACTTGGTGGAACTGTGGTTCTTGCTGCGACTCTCTTGCAAAGTTATTCCATGCCTGAGGGCGACTGTGACCAGCCGGGCTTGCTACAGCTCCTCGCTAGCAAAGATCGTGCTTCTCTTGGGGCAGAAAGTGCGGCTGCTTCCATGTTTGTCCGCAACTTCCTCAGTTTTGTGCAGGGACCCAGCTTCGACAATAGGAGCGGAGATGCCTTTCAAGACTCCCTTGGAGCCCTGGCAGAATTCGACAAGCACATCTCGTCGAACTGCTCAGAAATCTACGGCAAGTCCATGATTCAAAAAACACGCGAAACGAGTCACACAGTTTGCAAAGGCAAGAGCAGCGTTGTTTGCCATGAGAGAGTGCCTTTCGATATACCACGCTACTTCTGCGAGTTGCAGAATGTGCAGATCGGTGAGGACAGCACGCGAGTGGAAAGCTGTGAAGTGACTGCTTGGGCCAGGGAAGCTACATGGGGATGGTGCGAGAAACCTTTTCTGGAGGAGCTGCAGTCGCAGGATCTGCCACTTGCTTGCAACCTTACCACGTCTCGCAAGGCATTGCTACAAATGCCCTGGGACACGCGCAACCTTTACGAGTGGCTTGGCGACTGGGTCACTTTGTGGGAGACTCTGGCAATCCTTGACTGGAATCCCAAGGATGTCGACATCTTCCTGAACATCGAGCCAGGGAGTATGAAGAGTCGTCCGTTTGATGATGCTTGGCAACATGCTTTCTCAAGCGAAGCCGTGCATGTTGGCACCCGAAAGGACTTATTCGGGCAAGGTGCATGCTTCTCGCATCTGGCCACGGTGCCCCATGGCGGCCTCAGCACTCCCACCTTTAATGGCGGCCGTGGTGGCTTGGTCTCCTGTGCTTCACCGACGCTGATGTCTTCAGCCGTTTTCCTGGAGCGGATCTTTCCTTCTGTGAAGCCTCCAGGAGATTTGACCTTGACTTTGATCTTGAGAACTGGGAGCCGGGGCTTTGAAGATGAAGACGAGGCAGTTCAGGCTGTCACGAAAGCATTGCTGCCAGGCTGGAGCTTGAGAACCTACCGCCCCGAGACCCTGAAGACCTTGAACGAACAGATCGCCGTTGCGCAAAGCACGCAAGTTCTGGTGGGAGCGCACGGTGCAGGGATGACCCATGCCCTCTTCCTTCCGCCTCATGCTCGCGTTGTGGAAATCTGGTGTGGTGATCGCGGTTCAGAGAATCATCACTTTCGAAACCTTGAGGTTCTGTCTGACGAGAGTGCTGCACATGCACCTGAGCAATTCCATTTTGGTATCTCTGCTTTACGCTGCGGTGTGGACGAGAACGCTGTCAAAGCAATGAAAGCAGCCATGACGGCATACCAGAAAGACCAGGCTATGTGACCTTTTCTGATTTCTTTTCACGACGGCAGCCTCTTCTGTAATGTTTTGCCTTGAAAGAGGTCAGGATACGCCCTCATCACAAAACTGTTCTCGTTGCTAGCCTGCTTTGCGGTCGTAAATCTTTTATAGCACGGCTCATTTGAGGGCCTTGTTGCCTTCAACGAAAATGTGCCTGGGTCTTAAGTGGCAGCTGGACTTTCAGCCCAGATTTTGTCATTCGGTCATCCCTCGGAAGACCAATTCTTATGCTTTAAGAGGTGGTGAGCAGGTCGAAGACTTGCGAGCTTTAAGGAGTGTCAAATCCCAAAGGGATGACAGCCATTCTTGTACACCTCAGATGAGACACGGAAAGGGGAAATGATAGGGATCTGGAGGGCCTCATGGCAGTTCCATTTTTGCATACACTCGAAGTGGACGATAGCAACCTTCTCATGTTCTACAAGAAAACGCATGTGACTAGAGAGAAGCCTAAGCAGCTCTCCTAGACAGCTCACCAATACTGAAATGATGGGAGCAATAGTGCCTACGATGTCTAAACGACCGGCCTTTCCATCCTCCAGGGCTTGCGGGAATTGGATATAGAAATAATCAATCAAAATCCCTAAGCCCGAAACTCTGAATTGTACGAAAACCTACATGCCAAAGATCTAAATGCCCCATCTTACGATCTCATAACGACACTATAAACGACCCGACAATAATAATTCAACAGAACAAATGAGAGAAATATCTTTATGGGAAATTGAACGAAAAAAATATTTGGATAATTATCAATAGATACACAAAAATATGGAACAATCTCGAATTTACGATGGACCAGGAAATCTCCAATCAGATTCTAAAGATTTATTTTTGGAATAATGATTTAATATTGGATGATCTAGATTAATTGAATTATTATTATATTTTTCATCTATTGAATCTATCCTCATTTAAATCTATCCTCATTTGTATGAATCTCATTAATATTATTTAAATTTGATGATAGGAAATGGATAATTTTGGATTTTCTGATACGAATTCGTAAGGAAATATAAATCTCGCAAAAAAAGAAAAAAATTCTGATATTCTCGAAATATTATATTCTCATAAAAGGCTATGGGCTCGATTCTTTTTTGGATCTGCGGCCGCCTTGTCGGATGTCTCACCTCCTTTTCCGATTAATTTGGTTGCTTGCGAGGGCTTGTAGGGGGATCCGGAAAGTTCCCGGAATTTTAAAATCTATTATCTAAAAATCCTAGGAATTTTGGGAATCACCCGGATCTGAAAATTCTCGGAATTTTCGGAATCATTCGGATTGAGATTTAGGCTTTCCGGATTAGAAATATTAATGATATGGATGTTCCTCACCTTCAAACAAATCTTCAAGGAAATCTCTTGATCCAGGATAATTCCGATGATGGTCGTCGTCCGCCAGCTGTTCAAGGGGGTTCGGCCTCGCGGTCACCTGTCAGCAATGGTTTTCGAGGAATTTAGAATTCCGGATCCCCCGGGTTCAGGGTTTTACGCTTTACGGTCTAGGGTTTGCATTCGGAGTTTTATCGTATTTTGGGGGGTTTTGTTTTTTGCTTTTGCTGTCATGGTTTGGGTTCTGTCGGCTGTTAGTGTAATTGGGGCATTGCAGACTACGTCCTAATATGCCCATCGTAAGCGCGCGTGGCTGTCGTTGCGAGGTCCATAGGGTCTTCGAACTCCAATGCCCTGATATCATCGCAACCTTCTTGGATCTATATGAATGATTCATGCATATTCTTTGGATAGCCTGGTGGGTTGTTTAGCATACGATTTCTTTTTCGGAGGCATAATAACATCTCAGATCCCATTTATTTATCTCCAAAACTATTTCATCATATTCAGGAATTATCTCAATATCCTTGCTCCGTGATTTTTCCAGAGTTTGCGACTCGAGTTTGGAATGGATCGGAACGGTTCGGAATGATTTCGGAACGGATTCAGGAATTGGCGTGCCGAGGTATTGCAAGATCAGAATAATTCGGAATAATATCGGGTCAAATAGATACCGAAAATATGTAAATAAATTCCGTAGTCACGTTCCTATATCAGATAGACAGCCCGCCGGATAACCCAAAATATTCTCTTTCATTCGAATTCCTTGAAGGATATCCCTCTCGCATAGGATCATGGATCGAGCCTACCTCCTGAATACGATGGATATTTGAGGAAATTGAAATCATATTTCGTCTCATCAGAATATCTTTTTGAATCGATGATTCAATTCATTTTTGATTCTTTATATTTAGGAATCTTCGATTCTTCTTAGTCTTTATGGGATGATTCGTAATTGGGGGTGGCGGCGGGTTTTTAAACATATCGAGGCGCCTTGGAGAATTCGAAATTCTTCTTATTTTCGTGGATATGGATTCTCTTTCTCGAATCGATCTTGACATTTTTCTTCTTTGGATATTTCTCTTCTCTCCGGCTCAATTCGGGGTGGTGGCGGGACTGTGCACGTACTCGAGAATAGGGAAATATCCTTTCATTCTTGGATTTTTTTCTCGTCCAATTCGAGGATATTCATTGGTGCTTTTGGGCGCAGATGCCGCTTGCATCGAATATGACGGCTCGTATTCGAGGATATTCATGCGTAGAGAAACGGTTGGATGGATATGGATTGGGAATAATACCTCTCTGAATTTAATGGATATTTCTTGGCACAAGTATCGTCTATCAATCTTTTAATTGATATTTTTGGGCGTAGATATCGTTTGCATCGAGCATGAGGATGATATGATGGAATGACAAAATTTTTAAAAAAATCCTTTCATTGACTTGGATATATATAACATCTGGATGATATATTTCATTCATAGAATGAATTTCCGGATTCGAATTTGGAAACCTTGTTCCTTCAGGCACCAAGATCCTAAATCTTAAGCGACAATCCCTAAATCTTGCCTTCAATCTTCCCCATTCGGTCAAATTCTTATTGGATAAATTGGTATCCTCCACGCTCGCGCGTCAGGCTCTCAGATTTCTATACAGGGATCCCGAAATTAATTGGACCTTTTATTTGTCCGTATTTCTTCAAAGCTTTAACGTACGTCTTTTTCCATTCAATAGGCGGCTATGCCATCGATGGAATCGACGGGTCCCCTCGAATTTTTCATATTTAGGATTCAGAATTTATGAATAATCGAATACGAATTTAGATAGATAATATAAATCCCATGATTCAGATTTTTAAATGAGATATTAATATGGATAATATGAAAATTATTTAGGAAATGATCTATTGATTTTGGATACTTTAGATAATTCGGGAATAGATCTCATTGCATTTATTTTAAAGATTTGAAAGAAAATCATTCTAGAACCTATTCAATGGGAGAAGAAAAGAATCTTATTCTTTCAAATATTAGATTAAAATCTTAATTCGATTTCGAACTCAAGGATGAAATTTATGATAGAAATATCATGGGAGGAATCCATATCTAAAATAAAAAAAAGAAGAATTTCGAATTCTCTAAGAAACCTCGATATATTTAAAACCCATCACTACCCCCAATTACCGAGATATTCCAAAAAGACGAAATAGATGAGAAACAATGAGGATTCCCAAAATGAAATATATCGATGATGAGATCCAGATATTTAAATTAGAAATATGAAGCAAACAATCTCGGAGGAAGGAGATAAGTAATCTAAATCAAGAAGGCATTCAACTCAATCTCCTATCAATCGTCTTCAATACTTGGGCTCGGCCCATGACCCTACGCGAGGGACATCTTGCATGGATTTTCATGAATCATTCATATAGATCTAAGAAAGTATCGATGGCATGAGGTCCCGTCCCATATCCCAATCGAAATATAAATCAAATTATAATCGGCCCTAATATTCCTGAAAAGAATATTCCATCGAACGTCGATATCGCTCATCGATCCGTTCTGACTAACAAATCCCGAGACTCTTATTCGAAACCACCCAAATTCTCAAAGACGATGGATTCGAAACCGAGATTAATTGCCGCCCATTTCGCAACGATATCCACGTGCGCACACTTATATTGGGCATATCGGATCGTAAGTCATAATATTCAATTATACTGGTTACCAAGGCGGAAAGGCTAATCCTCGTCCCATCCAATACAACTCGGGGATATTTAGACTAAGAATTTTGCCGAAGCGTGGGAGGGCCCGAGATCAAAATATCAATTAATATCAATTGGTCGACAACGTGGATCGTCCGGCAAGAGATTCGTAGCTTCCTAAAGAGGATTCAAATCCATAAGATAAGTATATGGAAAGATAATATTATATAAATTATTATGAACCCTAATTTTTTCAATCTTGACGAAAATATCCTCAGATATGGTGTCCACATGGGACCAACGTATGATTGTAATAAGGGCACATTCGTAGCCTGAAACAAGCTGTATAACACGGCTATGGATTTGACGCCTAGAAACTAAATTAGCAAGATCGATAATCTGAAAGACTTGCATTCCCTAGCCCCAGGCCCCCGCAACGATCGGAAAGGCGACTCTGACCATTACGAAGATATGAATGTTTTATCCAGAATTCCCTCCAAATATTGATATTGGATCATGGGAAGGATTTCTTCTAATAATATAGATACATATTCCTAAGAAAATTCTCGAATCCTAATGGCGAATTCGCCGAATATTGCAGTGCCATATACTAACTAGCTCAGATCTAGTGACGATCCGAATCCTAAGGATTTGGAATTCTGAGATATCTCCTCGAAATTATTTCCCCTCGAGAAGATAGAGAATCCACTTAAGGAAATCGAAATAGAAATCGAATCGTTCCGATGAACCTATTTCAATTTTGAAGGCGTTCAGAATATTCTCCCCCACCCTCGTATGATAGATATCATCGATAAATTCAATCTCGAAATCAGGAAATTATCGACACTCAATCCGCACGAGATCGAATATACGACGCCGAGACATGCAAAATATGGTCACTATAAAGGGATATCCTTGTTATCCTCGATACGAGCCTTCCAAAATATCC